GGCCTTCTCACTACTTGCGAAGGTACCTTTTCCACTGTCTTCCCTTCCTGTCGCATGGGCAGTATTAAGAGCAGCGTTCTCTTTGTTTTTGTACTGAAAATCAGAGTGGTTTCTGTGTTTCTTCTTCACCTTGTTTTTCATCACCCTCTTGCTTTGTCATCTTTGTGTTAATTTTGCCATGTTTACTCTCTTTATTCTTGCCTTTCACTAAGATTCATATTTATGTTAATTTGGCAGTTAGACTTTTATTTCTCACCTTCAAATTGCCTTTTTTTATCACCATGCCTGCTTGTTGTATGAGTGAACTTGCAGTTATATGAGATTATTTACCCTACTTTTTTTATTATAGACATGAGTTCATCCTTTGATAAGTTACTTCTTTCTTTTTTCAGTTCCATTTAGAACAGAATATTATCTTTATTTAAAACATCTCCATTAGAAACAACTCTTCACGTTTTATATGTTCAACACTTCAGACATTTGCAGTTTGTTTGCTTGTTAATACAAGCACAAGAGGCCTTCCATTCTCCTTACAGAAAATCTTTGACAGTGTGATGGAGGAAAGTAAGATTGCCCATACTTTCGCTTGTCTCCATATTCCTGACCCTGTTCTGTATTCTTTCATTGTGAGCGGATTGTTGTTAATCTGCTGTATTGCTGCAGAGAATCTCTCTTCCAGAACTGTGCAGAAGAGCCATAGGCATACAATCAACTGGCATTACTGTGTAGATGGCTAGGCAGTCCTTACTTTTGTCCTAAAATGACTTGATGCTTGTTTCTTCCATATCTTTAAGTTACAGAAAGCATGAAAAAGAACAAGCTACTTCTCAGTAATGATGGTTCTTCAAGTGGTCATCTCTGAACTTATAAAGTCCAGCCTCCTCCTCTTTCTTCATATTTGTGCCTTCTAGCATACTCAAAAGAGGGGGAAACACTGAAGTGCACTTACTCATGCAGTGTTGAAAATGTGGGCAGGGCTCCTGCCAAAAGTATATTAGAATGTTCTAATTGTGTGTACAAGTTCAGAGTAAAGAAACTACTGTTACAAGTAAGAAAACTGGTGACCAGCATAAACACATATTAAATGGATTAAAGTGATCACTACTTTAAAAAGCTTTGGGAAAATAAAAAGGATCCTTGGCTGAAACCAAAATATAGCAAGTTAGGTGATAGGCAAGTTCTTCTGGCGAGAGAACATTCAACATCTAGGCTGCAATTATTTACGGTATAGGGGTTCCACATGTGGGACTATGCTGTAGGTGGATGTTCACCAATCCCTGGACCTACACTGCAACCCCCTGACTTACCATAGAGTTGCTAGAGGAACCTGCTCCCCTCTCCCCCCAAAAATCCCCAATGAAACCAAAGGAGCCATAGGGTGTTTTCTTCAAATTGTCTTCCCTTTCCCTACACTTTTGCAGGTATCTTGTACACAATCTTCCCATTCAGCAGAATGAAGGGGTTAAATTCCAGAGTAGGTAAAATGGTTGGTTTCACTTCATAGTATAGATGGAGGAATGTTTCAGTACTTTATACCTGTTCTACCTCTCTGTTTCAATTCTGGATTTCAGCCTCAGATGACAATCTTTTGAAAAACTGGGCTATAGAAAATGGCTCAGCTGCTGTAAAGAAATCCAACAGATTAATATGACTGCTTAAGTCACACGTTTTCCACCAATTTAAATATGGAAGATTTTTTTTCATGTCAGGAGCAACTTGAGAAACTGCTAGTTGCTTCTGGTGTGAGAGAATTGGCCGCCTGCAAGGACGTTGCCCAGGGGATACCCAGATGTTTTGATGTTTTACCATCCTTGTCAGAGGCTTCTCTCATGTCCCTGCATGGGGAGGTGGAGCTGACAGAGGGAACTTATCCACGCTCTCCCCAGATTCGAACCTGCAACCTGTTGGTCTTCAGACCTACTGGTACAAGGGGGCTCCTATATGGAAGAATGATTTCCAAATAATGTGTCAATTGCAATTTTGAATCCTTGGTTTCATTTGCATCTTTTTTTTTTGTCTCAGGTTGGATTCACTTCTGTTTCACTCCCATCACATCTGCATCATGTGATCAATTTGTAAATTGAGATTCAGTTATCATTTGTATTCTTTGCATGTATTGAAACTTAACAGTTCATTGGAAAACTTTAGCAGAACATAAAATAAAGAGGCTCTATTATAGTATATTTCACTGACTCTGGGGTGCCATAGGCTGTGAGACACCCTCCCCCTCTTTTTTTTTAAGCTGATGTTTTAGAGAAAATAATTTTCTTAAAATAGACTTAATAGAATAGAAAGACTTGAGTAGTCTTTTAAACCGTGAAGAAACCCAGAAGTAATCTTATCTGCATGAGCTTTTTTTTTTTTTTTTTTTTGCTGAGTCTATGGGCCTGTTGGGGAGGCAGCAAAAGCAGGAGGTGGGGGCTCCCACAACTGTTGTGGCCTTTCCTCCTCCTCTTTTGGAGGTAAAACTGTTTAAAAAATGCCTTAAAAGCAGAACCATTTGGGGATGAGACCCTTTTTCTCCTCCCCCCGAGAGGTAAGATACAGAGGTAAGATACAGTTTTTAAAAAAACAAAAAAAAAACCAAACTCAAAATCCGCTAATGTAAGGCACCATCGAATCTAAGGTTCACCCCATTTTTGGAACCCCTAAAATGGGAAAAGTGTACCTTAGATTAAGCAAAATACAGTATTAGAAGTTTGTCCTTTACTTAATCCCTGATGTCATAATTTTAAAAAACTATCAATGGCAGATGTGGAGATCTCATGTCTGGAAATGCATGTTGAATCTAAGTGCCATGTGAATTGATGGGTATCATCAGTAATAAAGGCACCWATTTTTTTTCTAAGAAAATATTAGCGTAATATTAATGAACTAGAATTCATTTGGCAGTAATRTAGAAATAGTGATACAGTGTTTTGGAATTGAGGTTTTAGTAAAGCATGAGTATGTAACTTTCGGGTCTCCAGATGTTTTGTATTTCTCCCCCCCCCCCTCCCCCCAATCTTGCCCTTTTCCCATTATGGGATTTTTGAAATTATACTAGGGCAAAGGGTAAAACATAAGCAATTAGGAGAGTGGAAACCCAAACATCTAAATGGCCAAGGTCTCCAACCCCAGCTTAAAGTGAAATTGTATTGAGAGATCTAAAAGTTACTGCATTGACCTCTGTCATAAAAACAACTGTTACTCTTTACTTGGGCTTGTTTGTAAAGCCAAGTACAACCTGGAAACCTAAATATAAATATAAGTATATGGATGCATATAGTGACAGTGAATTCAGGATCACTGACATAATGTAAGATCAAAGGCAGGGCATATGTGCGTGCCCAGTTGGTGACGAGGGAGCAAAATTAGCTTTTTTGTGTGGTGTCTGATTATTTGATCTCTCATCTTTGATGTTTTCACCCCAAGGGATACAGATCTTTCTTCTCAGTTTTTGTAACCTGTTCACTGCCATGTATGTTTATCATACAGTGCTGTTTGCCCTCTTAAGGAAAGGTTTAACAGGTAGTCCTCAAGCTACATTTACTAATCCGAGTGTAGAGGGATCTAATATAGCAAGTCACTCACAGTAGAAATAATTTACTTTGCTGAGTCATTGGTTGAAAAGGCATTTGAAACGGTTGGGGAGGGGATGAAGAATGCACCACTTCCTTCTGTTTAGCAAATGGCCATTTCTAGCTGTTGGCAAACTGGCATTTGTTATAAGTTGGCTTAAAAGCAAGCTAAATATACACAGAACTTCTGGAAAAAAATAATACTACTTTGTGTTTAACATTTTATATACTCCTTGTTTATGCTTCTGTATTTGATATAGTACCACAAGTAGTTCTGCTGATTTGCTTTTAGGGACTATAGTTGAAAATGAACTATATATGACTCATCAATTTGTCTGTGCCCAGTTTTCAAACTGATTGTTTGTTTCTGCATAAAAGGGATTCCCTCCCTCCCTCGCTCCCTCCTTCCTGCAGAAACATGCCTCCCATGTAAAGTGCTCATTTTTGCATGTCACCTACCTTTTCCAGGAGTTTCATTTTATGTCCTTTAAAAAAAACTGCAGCCATTCTCACTGTCATTCTAATTCTAGCTAGTATGATGGAATATTATGTAGGCCTGTCAGTTTGGAGATTGCAATGTTCTCAGTGAGAGTATAAGTGTTGCTCCATTCTGAGTTAGCTGGAGAAGAGTACTGAAGACATTCTCTCCCCATCCGCTCTGTTGTACTTCCTTTTGCAATGGTGGTGTGGGTTCAAGTTGCTGCTTTTTGCGTGAGACAAAATATTTGCCTAAAACCACCAAGATCAGTTTTGGCTCATCTCTGTTGTCAGAATAGTGTCTCTTTCTACTCCAAAGGTCAAGGGCTTTTTCCTGTGATTGTGCATAGTTTTGAAGACACCCCTACCTTTACTACTGAAAGACCTTAATTGGCATCTCTTGTTCTATATTTTCTTGCTGAGAATTTCCATTCCATTTTGAAGGAGAACTATAGGAATGATTAAAAGAGTCCAGAGAAGATAAATTGCATCAAAGGATGAAAGGATACAAGGACAAGCAGTTGAGAGTTTGACAAAAAACAACAATAAATTAAAGTTATATAGGAATATTTATAGGAAGTTGGAAAACCTCCCAGTTTTTAAGCGGCAATTGGTGGAAAAAACAAGCTAAATAAACTATGAAGCTTAAGAATTTTCCACAAGAAGACTGAACAAAAAATGGTCATAGATGCTTCAGAATGGGAAATGGGATTGTCTTGCTTATTGGATCCCTTTCTTCCTTTCAGTACCATGCTCTCCAGATGTTTTAGATTGCCTGTCTGAGTGATTCTGCAAGTTGCAGTCCAATATATCTAGAGGGCACTATGTTGAAGGAAGCAAGACTTAGGAATGGGAAGTCTTGTAGTATCTCAAAAGTGCTAAAAAGTGGATAGCTCTCAGATTAGGAGAACTTGTATCCTCCAACTGTTTGTACTCATGACGCCTTTCCTTCTTTCTTTCCAGGAGGCGACGGTCAGAATGGCAGTGGGCAGCCGACAGAGCGGCCATTGTCAGTCACTGGAACTGGCTTCAAGCACATGTCTCAGACCTAGAGTACCGAATCCGGCAGCAAACAGATATTTACAAGCAAATTCGAGCCAACAAGGTAAGAAAGCAAAGGATTTAGTAAACAAGATTCTCTTGGATTTTCAGCTCCTGCCTGCAAATGACCTCCCAACTGTAGTTCATTTCAGGAGTTTCCCATTATTCATGACTTTCTTTCCAGAGCGGTAGCCTTGGAATTGATGTTGAAGCCCTGTACTACCAATAGTCTGAATATTCTCCACACTTTGGCATGACTGTTTCTTGCAGCTGAATTTGATGCATAGATAAGTCCCAATCTTTCTTACAAGCATATATCAATGTGAAAATTAAATGATTGCCGAATAGATTGTGCAACTCCATCCATTATAAATGCTTTTTCGTGCATTGTAAAGCCTCTTTGTGCCTTTATAATTTTCATACAGGCATATACATGCACACATGTTCATGAAGATCTGTATTTTGTTATATGGGTAAGGCTGATATTGGGTGTAGCCACTTTTTATCCCAATTATAGAATTAGATACCTGCTTATTGTACTTAAAAGACAAGTGTTGGGAATGGTCTGTTTAATATACGAGATGTAGCCTTTGGTCACAGTTTAACCAGGTGTCCAGCAGAGTCATACTCTCACAAAAGTAACAAGCATTTTTGTTAGAAGGTTGAATAGGAGAAAAATTGGAAGACCAGTCTTAATTACAGAAGTGAGAGTTCAGTTTCTGTAGGAAGCTCATAGAAATTGGAAATTGGGTCTTAAAGGCATAGCTCTGTGGAGAGGTTGTCTGTTTTGCCCCGTTTGGAGTTGTCTAGTGATGGTTGGTTCTGTTGCTGAAAGACTATTATTTCCATAAAGAAATAGTTACATAATATACTTCTGTATGCAGTACAAGCTCTGTAGAACTGACTTCTGTAATGTTAAGTAATGTCCACCAGCATAGACAACTTTAATAGTTGATTTGACAAACACTAGGAAAATTAAGCAAGCAGTGACTAGTAGTCACAATGCCTATATATTACTCTCAAATGTTGGAGTTGGCGTGTCTGGGAAAAACAGTTGCTGTAGGTGGACACCGTTGTGCTCATGTCCCTCTTTACTGGCTTTCTGGAATCATTTATCTGGCTATTGTAGGTACCAGCATCAACATTTTAAAGGCGCAATACAGTTAAAACACTGTTAATACAAAAGTTAAAATACAAAATAACATTTTTTTAATTTAAGAAACATCTTAAAACCATTGAAACACCATTAAAGATACTTGAAACATAATAAAATAAAACACCATGCATAAACATTAAAACCTTTATCTGCCACATATATTAAAACCAAGAGCTTCCTTAAAAGATCTTTTCCTGTTGGTTGAAAGACAGCAGGGAGACGGCTAACCAGAACACCTGGTGAAGGGAGTTCCACATACTTCTTTAATAGATGGTTGATGTGTTCCAGCTTGGCTCTTGTGAAGTGAGGTCATTTTATCCGTCTCAAATTGTCAGCTCAGTAAGGTATAATAGTACAGGAGTTATTACCAATCTTGTGGAGTTCATTTACCAGAGATGGCAGGGATAATTCTGGGATTCTTTGAATGCAAAGCTGTTAGCCAACCTTTGAGCAACTTCTCATGAGCAGAAAGGATACATTGCAGATCAGTGAGCATAACATATCAGAGGTTGAATTTAAAAGAGATGGGTAAATAACTGGGAGAGCTTGGGAAAGTTACTTTTTTAGACCTCGGCATTCAGAATCCACTGGCTAAAAGGGAAAGTAGGCTGTTGGACTTCTAGTCGCAAAAAAAGTAACGTTTTCAAGCTCTGGGTTCACAAAATGGGTGTTATTTTTTCACATTGAGTATAGATAGAACACAAAGGTTCTCTGTTGATCTCTGCATGCAAAATGTACTATTTCAAACTTTGTAATCAATTGTCCCATGAAATAAACAGTTTTGAAATGAAAAGAATACTTTGAGAGAACAAACTTGATATTTTTTCTTGCATTTTCATTTGCCATTATTTGTTGTCACAAAGGAATTGACAGAATATTCTATAAGATTTCTTGGAGACCAGTTAGTTTTTGTTGTGTTTTAGGAAAGACTTCTTCTTTGAAACAAGGCAGTTATCAAAACCAGGGTCTTAGCTTTGGGAGATTTTAAAAAGCAAATTTATAAGGAAATAATGAGCCTGTAATCTTACTGGTTGCAGGTGTAAGGCTATATTCATGACAAACTTAGTTCCCATTGATTTCCATGGGTTTACTGTGAATATGACTTATGTCTGAATATAACCCATACTATTTTCAGCAATGCTGAAAACAAAAGAAATAACAGATAGGGTCAATGTTGACAGCACTGAGATTACTAGTTAAATAAGCGAAACAGGCTTATATTTGTGTGCTGTCACTCCAGAAACAAACTTCTGTTTCATGGGAATATTTGAAAAGAAATATGAATCCACTCAATACCCAATTAAAACTTGCAAACAAAATAGTTTCCAGTTTGGGAGTGGGAGGATGAGGAACAGTCACAAATTAGGGGCTCTTTGTTTCCTGTGAGGCCCTGAATAAATGTAAAATGCTGACCTTGGAACTGGGTAGAAGGCAGGTGAGAGAGAAGAGGTGAGTTATTCACCCTACTTCCTCTTGCATCATTACCCGTGTTTTCTCTATAAGGATTGCAGGTTAAAGTTTTCTGAGCTTTAGTGTATAGCAGCAGCCTGTCATACAATTGTATCTCTAATATTAAATTATTTTAATAATGCTTTTTAATGGGCAGTTGCCATATCAGTTTATTCTCTTTCTCAAAAATCGGTATAAGCTACGTTTTTAAAAACTGCAAAGCACAAGCAACAGACCTTTAACAAACCAAATATCAGGAAGGCAATATGAAAAAGAAATGTGGATCAATCTTGAGATGACAAAGCTTTACACATTTCCTAATTAGAAGTATTCATTAAGATCCTGGGTTATGACCAGCAAAGTCCTGTTTCTCCTTATGTAATAATATCTTGTTGGACTTTCAGTGGGGGCAGTTCAACCATTTTAATTCTGAGATGAGAGAAACTCATGAATACTGAACATTAGTACTTCCTATTTGTTTTGGCCAAAGTATTTCTGTTCTGATTTTAATTTCTCCCATGTTACATCAGTTGAATAGAAGAGATTGCTTGAACTCTCATGAGTGAGTGCCATCAGTTTATTTCTGCTGTCTGCCATTTTCCATTTGTTCACTTCAGAGTTTGGGACAATATGTTAAAATGTGTTGCATTACACATTATGAAAGGAAACGGAATTACTCAAATTACCTAGCTTGAACTAATGCATGAACTTTATTTGACCACCTGTAGATTAAAGAAATTAGTACAGAAGTTTTGTGGCTTTTTATAGTTTCTCTGGAATATCCCCATCCCCCGAAATGGAGGGGGTGGCAGAGGAGAAATGGGCAGATTTGTATGTAGGCAGCTGTGCAAAATTCTTGCCATTTTCCATTTGTGCATTAAATAGGCCTTGTGTGTGTGTGTGTTTCCACCTGAAAGGCCTGTAACATGAGCTGCTTGGTGAAATTGGATATCAGCCTTTGCAGTGAAGGCAGGACCCCGTGAGAGCTAATGCTCATGGAGTGTGGACAAGTTACAATTCTTTCCCAGTTTTTGTGATTTTATCAAATTGGCAAAACAAACTCTGGAACCCTGCAGGGATCAAAAGCAAGAAACATTGCTTTGCTAAAATGTTCTTGTGTGCCGTAGCCCAATATGACTGGTCCCAAATCAGCTGTGGACTCATTTCAGAACAGAATGAGGCGAAAGAAAAATATCCTCTGCTAGATAATATTCAGAGACTGTTTCTGCTTGATATACAAAATTGTTCAACTTTATTATAATGGTGAAAGTATGGAAATTCTGTGCTACACCATGAGATACGTAATTTTAAATCCAGATAGTATCACTGCCTTACTGAAAGCAGCCTATCCCAACCTCCACCTCACCCACCCCCATCTATCTATCTATCTATCTATCTATCTACCTATCTATCTATTTATTTATTGTATTTTGTTGGTTGAATCATGGAAGTTTTAATTACACATCTGGAAAATGTTGGACTGGAGAAGGATGTTGACCCAAGGGTTCAAATTCTAGGTAACAGCCTTCTCCCTAGATACAAAGAGAAGTAGTCCAACTATAGGTATATTGTGTTGAAAATTTGTGATAGTTGTTTTTAATGCTTTTGCTAGTAAAAAGAAACATTATAGGAAGCCAGACAATGTTTACATCAGTAGTAGACACATGTGCTCTAGCAAATACAGTTTACCTTTTGGAAACATACATACATTCCTAATGATCACTATATGTGAATGTTTCTATCAAATCTGAAGTTGAATCAAGTTTATAAAATAGTAACTCCATCATCAGTCCATTCTGTTGCACATACGGCTTAGCTTTTTCTCTGAAATAAACATGAAAAAGTATGAAAAGTGTCTTATTCTCAGATTTCTTAGTAATAGAGGTATATTGGATTATTTGTGCACCCAATAATGGATTGCTTATGCATTCTTGAGGTGTCTTACTTATTGGTGTAATCAGGCTGTGAAGACCCCCAAAACTTTATAGTATGCTGTAATAAGAAATAGTGGCTTTAATACCCTAAAGACACCAGATCCCGCTGATCTTGGAAGTTAAGGAGGGTCAGCTCTGGTTAGTACTTTAATAGAAAACCACCAGTGAATACTAGGTACTGTGGACTATATTTCAGAAAATGAAACTGGCAAACACACCTGTGTTTCTCGCCTAAGAAAGCATTGTGAAATTCATGGTGTCATCATAAGTCAGTAGATTACTCGAAGTCATTCACACACACACATAACAAGAAATTGATATCTTCCCTTAATTATTATGTGCCTTCAAGTCAACTACAAATTAGATCAATCATATTACAGTGTTCCCTCACTTATTGCAGGGGTTCCGTTCCAGGACCCCCACAATAAGTGAAAATCCGTGAAGTAGGGACACCATATTTTAATATTTATACATTATTTTATATATTATTTTCTTACACCTACTTCCTTACCGGCCTCCCGGCCCATCCCAAGGGTGCCTGCCTGCTTCCCTAGTCTCCAGAGACCCCTGCAGAGCCTCTGGAGCCATGCAGGCAGCAGCAGGCCAGGGAGGTAGGCCTTTCCTCCAGGGTCTGTGAAGGCCAGGGAGGCAGGTCTTCCCCATCACGCCTCAGGCCGCCACAGTTCCGGGGTCCCTGGACTCCAGTGGATGTAAATATTTTATATTAATATTTTCAAAAAACCCCGAAACAGTGAGTCCGCTAAAAGCAGACCCCAAAGTAGCGAGGGAACACTATATAGGGTTTTCTTGCCGAGATTTATTGAAGGGAGCTTTACCACTACTTTACTGTGAAGCTGAGAGTGTGATTTGATCAAATCCTAACAATTTGTGGGAATCAAATCGTGGTCTTCTAGGTGTACCCCACCTTAAAACGGGGATGCAGGATGGGGATGGATAGATCCTTGATGAGAGTATCACAGTTCTCCCCCCCCCCCCATAACTCCCAACTCTTCCAGATCTCTATTGTAGAGCTATGAATGTGTGAGTTACACTAAATTGGGTCATTCTTGATTTGTTTAGCTGATGCATATTTAAATTACACAGCTCAGTGGATACAGGAATGTTAACATAATGCTAGAAATAAAATATAGAAACTACGAGAGCATAAGAGCTGGATGTTGCTAGATCAGACCAAGACCTATGTAGTCCAGCACAATGTCCAGTGTATTGCTTATGGAAAGGAAATGAAATGGGGGCGGAACCCTACATTTCTGACAAATGGATACAGTCTGTGACACTGATGAGATGGTATATCTGCCATGGCTAGTAGCCACTGATGGCAACATTCTTCATTTGTTTATTTTCCATTTTAAAGCTATCCAAGTCAACAGCTTTTGCTACTTGTGATAGTAAAAGTTGCTGTATGGATTGTATGAAAAAGTGTTGTTTCCTATGGTAAAAGTTCCATCCTTGGAGACACTTAGGTGGCCATCTGTCAGAGGTACTTTTCCTTCATGGCAGGGGGTTGGACTGGATGGACCATGTGGTCTCTTCTAACTCTATTATTCTATTATTATTCAGCTTCAGTAGCTGACCCTGAGCTCTAGTACTATGAGAGAGGAAGAAGAAAATGCTCCTTATCTGTTCTTTCCATAAAATTGGATCATTTTATTAAATAAGCTTACTACACTTCCATTCACTTAACTTTGAAGTGTGGGGGCTGGGGGGGGGCATTGGATCTTTTCCTCATAGTGGGATTTTTCAGGTCCATTGTGGAAACTTTTCTGTACCTTTTCCAAATCTGAGAGAAGCAATTGTGGGTAAAGCAGGACTGATGGAGGCCATGGAAAGAGGTGATGTGTAAGAAAGAAAGAAAACATTGAATTGGGAAAATGGAATGCTGGATTTAAGTCTTTTCTGAAGTAGAGATTGGGTTGACCATTTCTTCTTCCCTGTTCCTTTCAGGGCCTGATACTGCTTGGGGAAGCACCTCCCTCTGACTCTGTGCTAAGTGACTCATCCCATACTCTTAGTGCCGAGGTTAAGTTGGAGCCAGGGACTGACAGATTGGTAAGTATGGAGGGTGGCAGTTCTTGTTTTCAACATTGCTCCTTTTACCTAGTCCAGTGAGATTTTATTTTGAATCTTTGGATGCTAGAGCATTTAAAAAATAATTACAGAACAAATACAAAATATTGAAATTCTGCTGTATTACAAAGATCTCAGCTAATCAGTTCGTTGATCCTAAGTTATATTTGGAGATACTGGATGTAATTTTAAGATTTTTGTAATTTTACTGTTTGCGTTGTGCTTTGCATTTTCGCTGCTGTTATTCAGATGGTTGGTTGATTTCAAATAAATCCGTTCATTCATGCCTTTCATCCTCCTCCTGCCCGCCTCCTCTCTTGTGCTGTCATTATATAGCTGTATTCCTTTGATCAGATTTCTTGGCTTTTATAGAAGCTCTGTGTGTATATTACAGCTGTGGATTTAGTGAGGAGGGACTATCTTGCAATGAAACAGAAATAGTTGCGTTTTTGGCTTTTTCAAAGCCTTAATAAAACCTTGGTTTCTCTGCTCTCTTCGTTGTTTTTCTCCTAAGAGTTGGGAAAATTCTGTTTTATTTTCTGAAATTTGCTGTGCACAGAATCACAGGAATAACTAAAGATTGCAGGGACATGTTATTCAATTCTGAGTGACACAGAGTGAAAGTTCCTACATGGGGGAAAGGTTTGGGGTACTGTGCATATGCCCAGGTTATTAGCAGTGGTTACTGTCCTCCCTCTCGTAGTTTTTCCATATTCATAGATCTCTCCATTTGAACTGTGAGAAAGCCAGCTCATTTTCTAGAAATGTTGAAGGTGTCGACAAAATTATTCTAGACATTTTAAAAGAGAAATAATTTTATTAAGCTGTCAGAACCAGTTGCAACTATATTCTTAAGACTTTACAGAAGCACATACGTAGGGATCTGATACTTTAGTTAACTTCAAATGCTGCCCTCGACCCCCTATGGCTTGAGACCATTGCCCATTTAGATTGATGCCAGTACTGCTTTTCCCCAAGCATTCTGTCTCCTTGATCTTTGTATTTCTAAACAAGTGGACAGTAATCCATTTCCCAGAGTGTATGAGTCACCTTGCATCTAGGACTGATACTTTCATTTGTGGCTTATGCAAACTTGCTCTTGTCAACAAGGCATCGTTTTCCAGGATGATGCACAATTGTGGACTAGAGATAAGCATTTATCATAGAATGAGAATTGTGTGGCCTTTCAGGTAGCAGTGGACTGCAGCTACCAGCGCTCATTATTAGTTTCTCTGCCTGCTAGATGTTGAAGTAGCACAATGTCTCTTCAGTTCCTGACCTTGATTTATTCTGACACAATGCCTGAATATTTTTTCAAATTCATAAGCAACAGGTGGCATTTCATTTCTTTAAATCTGTAAAATTTCTAGCTTTCTTTTCTACTGGTATCTGGGCATTCGTGAAAGCTTTCAGCAAATATTAAAATCAAAAATAAAATGCTTTGTAAAACAATAATACAATCCACAATACTAGTACAGCTGGCTCCAAGAACCAGTCAAAAGCAACTTAAACAATAATATACTTGAAGAGTAATGCTAAGTGCTGGTCACAAATTGTAGGCATGAACCAGATATAAAAGATGGTGAGTGTATCTTATCTTTTCACATGTTTTTTTCAGTACAGGCAGTCCCTGAGTTACAAACATTCAACTTACAAACAACTTATTGTTACAAATGAGGTGAGACAACAGAAAGTGAGAGAAATCTACCCTTCGGAAGAGAAATTCACTCTTCAAAGAGTTATCATGGGGAAAAGATGTCTCCACTGAAGCTATCTCACCAATCCTTGCTTCCACAACAAGCCATATTTTTCAAAATCCAGTTATCATAGGGACAGAAAGTGAGGTGAAATCTTTTAAACGGGCACAGACAGTAAAACAAGCATCACAAGGGTTTTAACCCTCTCCTATGTTGTCCAAAGCTTATGTATGTATGTATATGTGGCTGGAGTTACACTTAAAAGTTTACCTTTTCCAATTTACAAACAAATTGAACATCATAACAAATGTACCGACCCTATCATGTTCATAACTTGGGGACTGCTTGTATATATGAAAAAAACTCCAGAATACATATTTGGCCGATTCAGCCTGGTTCAAATTCAGGATTAGACCTATATCAGAGACATTCAGCATAGCCTGGTCTCAATATCAACAGGTATAAATAGCAAACTTCAACATTTTTCCAGCTGGGTCTGGACTTTTTAAATACTAATTGCAGACATGTAAGTGGTGTCACAACTACTATCTTTGGCCTTAAATTGTGAAGGGAGGGCAATATTGTATTGTTGAGTGCTTGTAGTTGTGGCAAAGCCCATAGTTTTCAGCAAAATGTCCAAGGTTCAATCCTAGGCATCATTGGCTGCCAGTCTGCTACCGAGCACAATTCAAAGTGCTGGCTTTAGCCTATAAAGCCCCAAACAGTTCCAGCCCAGCTTACCTGTCCCTCTATGAGCCCTCTAGGAGGTTAAGATCGTAGGGGGAGGCCCTGCTCTCAGTCCCACCTTGCAGACGTGGCTGGTGGGGATGAGAGACAGGGCCTTCTCAGTGGTGGCCCTTTATCTGTGGAACTCCCTCTCTCCTGATCTTCAGGCAAAAAACTTAAGACGTGGCTGTGGGACCAAGCATTTGGCCAGTAATCGAAGCAGTGCAAAAATGATAACGAATTAATGTGATTGACAAATGGACAGACCTTGGACTCCGATTTGAATTTGCGTTATTTTAATTGTTGCTTTAATAATTGATGTTTTTAATTGTTTGGATGTTAATTATATTTATTTTCGGATTTATATGTGTTGACATCGAATCGCTGCCTACTATAAGGCCGCCCTGAGCCCCCTTTGGGATGAGAAGGGCGAGGTACAAATGTGGGCAGTAAATAAATAGTAGAGCTAAAGACCTTCTGTGCTGTCTAGGGCTGATTCAGATTGTAGTTCAAACATCTTACTGATAGTAGTTTGTCTATCCCTTGAATAGATAATGCTGTTTTTTGTGCCCATGGATTGAGTTACGAGATAATATATACCCTCATTCTAGAACATTACAAAATGCTGTTGTAATGTCTGTCAGTTATATTTGTGCAGGAAAATTTACAACCATATTAAAATTTCTCTTTTGTACTCTTTTTCTTAGAGCAGACTGAATAACTTACTATTCATTCAGTGTGTTGTTTGTGCCTGCAAGTAATTTCCAACCTATGATCACTTGTTATGATGTTTTCCTGGCAAAATGTGTTCAGAGACGGTTCGCCTTTGCCTTCTTTAGAGTCTGAGAGGCCGCCCAAAGTCACCCATTGGGTTTTCATAGCCAAAGCAGTAATTTGAACCCTGGTCTCCAGGATCAGTGCCTAGCACTGCATCATATTAACTCTTTTGGTGTTTAGTACAAAGAGCCAAATAAGACTACAACTCATTTATGCTTTTAATCAAAGGTCATTAACATTTAAATTACTATTGACATAGTAATAGATGCAAATGCTAAATACACATACAGGGAAGGCAGTAATATTAAATCTGGTTGTGAAACTGGACATAAAGACTAATTTGACAGTGTTACCCTTCCCTCATGAGTCGGCATTTAGAAAGTCCTGAGATATATAAGAAGAAACAAAAACATGGAAAGCAAGAAAAGGAGCAGACAAGCTTGCCTTGTTATCTACTATTATGTTAGGCTATTGGAGCAGTCATACTTTGGCTACAATCGGGGAAGGATACATTTTATTAAAAGCTCTACTGCCTTTTTGCTGGAATTATTGATACCTGAGAATACAAGGAGCATCGCATGAGATAGCTGAATTGACAATGACTCATTTCAAACATAATTTCTTTCAAGTGATGAACTTTTAATTTGAGATGCTAGAGCAATGGTTCCCGCCTTTATTTTTCCTTTCCCTCTGTTGATAAACCTAAAAATCTCATACCATCTTCTAACTTGCATCTTCAAATAAATTTATTAGAAATTTAAGATTTCGCAACAAAAAATAAAACAAAGTCTTTAGAAATGTAGGTGTGTTACCATGCCTCAGAAGAGAATGAAATTAACTATAAATTCTGTAGTAAGAAAACAACTGTTATTATTAATACAATTAATTAATAAATAATTAATAATGCAATTAATAATTATTAATAATTAATAATTAATAATACAATTAATAATGCAATTAATAATTTTTAGTAATTAATAATTAATAATACAATTAGGAGCCCCCGGTAGCGCAGTGGGTTAAACCCCTGTGCCGGCAGGACTGAAGACCGACAGGTCGCAGATTCGAATCCGGGGAGAGGCGGATGAGCTCCCTCTATCAGCTCCAGCTCCTCATGCGGGGACATGAGAGAAGCCTCCGTCAAGGATGATTAAAAAAATCAAGTCATCCGGGTGTCCCCTGGGCAACGTTCTTGCAGACGGCCAATTCTCTCATACCAGAAGCGACTTGCAGTTTCTCAAGTCATTCCTGACACGATAAAACAAATAATACTATTTTCTCAGTCTCCATTTAAAAGAAAATTACCCCCCCCCCCCCAACTCCACAGCGGTTTCCATCAAAATCATTGTAGCCCACACTAATTGAGAATCCCAGTGGTAGAGAATAGACCTTGGGCTGTTTGCACACGCAAAAACACCAGACCTATAGATCCTACTTTTTGAAGATATGCTGAAGGAATCTAATTCTTCTTGGTACATATTTCACCCTGGATCCTGCCACTTCAGGAGTTTGTGCTCCTTTTCTTCCATCTGTACCTTTAAAAAGCATCTAATATTCCTGCCCCAATTGTGATTCCTCTGCGGGCATAGAAAAATCTGCTGTGTAGGGGACAACAGAACAGATCCAGTAGTGCATGCATAAACCTTGTTGAAGCCTGTTCATTAGGCAGTGTGTACCTGCATGCTCAGCACTTCTCTGGGTTGGCATAGGGGCACTTCTGGAGGATTGTATAAACAACAAAGAACTTTGTGGCATCTAACAGAGCAACACACTTACTATGAAATACGACTTTCTAGACTAGGTTTCATTTTATCAGTTGCTGAAAATGTTATCCTCAGTTGACCGGGAATAGGCCTTTTAAAACAATTTCTATCTTAGATATGGGTGAAACGTCATGAGATACTGCTTCTGGAACATGGCCATATAGCCTGGAAAACTCACAGCAACCCAATTTCTATCTTACCTTGCTCCTGTCACTTCACCAGTTGCATGGTTTTTAACATAACTTGGGACAGTATTAACTGGGGGATTCTGAAAGTTGGAATCTAGAAAAATTCATTTTTTTCTGTCTATATATGTGAGTATGTAACTATTTGCAAATCTGATGAAGTCACATACCATAGTAATTGTGAAAGTTTTTAAGGTGCCACAAACTCCTTGTTTTGTTTGACTGTTTTTTAAAACATCATTTAAAAGATATACAGTTCCCCAATATGCTTTTTTAAATGATTTTACTACACTCAGAACAGTCATATACATTCATTTGCTCAAGCTGTAATATATCAGACTGAATATGAAATAGTCAGGACTTAGCGATTGCTTCTACCCAGTATTTTAGGTTGTTAATTGTAGACAGCCAGTCTTATTTGCAAATTTTACTTCGTTTTATAAATTTTATAATTTTATTTGATGGGAGTTTTATGTGTGTTCATTGTGTTATAGACTTACGTTGTTCTTTTATATGCTTATGTATTGTTGTTTTATATGCAGCACTCAAAGTGCTTCTGTGAGTCCCTTTGGGGAGATGGTGGTGGAATACAAATATATTATTATTATTATTATTATTATTATTATTAAACTATTGTTTCAGTTCAACTATTCATTCAGATATATAAGTCTTGTTGGAGTGGTTCCCTCCAAAATTCTTTGCAGATATGATTACTGGGATCTTAGTTTTAAATGGGGATTTTTTTTGGGGGGTGAAAGATGGGATTTTGGATGTTTGACTAGTGCTGAGAAATAGTGTACAGCGCCTTAAAATAGTAAGAAACCATTATATCAAAAAGTAGCATAGTTTTGCTTGCAATAATAAATGTTTAGCCTCTAAATCGAATTCAAAAGGCCTGTGTATTTTCTGAGAAATCTCAAGGTGTATTAGTATTTTATTTTCACTTGCACCTATAGGGTCCCTTAGTTTTGGGAGCCACTTTTTAAAAGACACATGGTTTGATTACCTGCTGTTAATACCAATACCAAGCAAAATAAAAATGCGGCGGGGATGCTGTCTCCTAAGTATCCCTGATTCATTGGTGTTTTAAATTTGCCAGTCCTTGTTCCAGTCTGTTATATTCATGTTACTTAAAGCAAATAAGACAGCTGTTTTAGAGATGACGATCTTCACTCTCAGATGCCCAGTTACTCTGAGCAATTTCTAGTCCTGTGCCATGTCAAGGAATAAAAGATACCATATATAATGTGTTTGCCATCTGGGTGTTCTTTATCTACTGACACAGTTTCCCCAATTTCTCTTTCACAGTGCGTTGCCCAGTCGTCAGAGAACATTTGTACATCCATTGGCAATACCCAAGAACCCCTGTCTGCCAAAACCTGTGGAGTGCCGAGACCGGTCAATGGAGTAATAAACACGTAAGGCTCTTGGAAGATGTCACCTAGAAAGAAATGTTATGCATATCTAGCTAGCTGTCTTTGCATCTTACTGTCTTCATTTCCAAGTTGTTAACTAACCACTGACCATATTGGCTGGGACTTCTGGATGCTGAAGTCCAACAGTGTCTGTGGATTCATGTTTTAGAACCACTGCTCTAGAATACCTTAGCCCAATTGTGTGGCTTTCAAACTGTGCTAGCTGGGAAACTTGAAAGTTGCAATCCAGTACCTGTGGAAGGTACTAGGTTGGGAAAGGTGCCTTCAACTGTATTGGTGTGGACCTTCCATCTTATAGGCATGCTGGCTGAGGATGGTAAATATTTCAGACCAACACAGCTAGATGATTCCAGATGAGGAAGGCAGAAGTAAATGCATAGCCGTTGGTGGATGCAACTATGAGGTTGTGAATGAACAAAGGATTCTTTTTGAGATGGGTTATATTTTGGGACTGCAGGGGATCTGAGTTTTAGGATAGTGGGGAAATGCTCTTGGCATGATTTGCAATAAAATAGTAGAGAAAGAGAACAAAGGACAAGAAAAATGAGCAAGTTCTACACAGGAAAAAAGAGGAAGCCATGAAAAGCATGTGGAAGACTGGCAAAGGGGAGAGCATGAGTAAAAGTCGCAGAATTCTAAAACTGGTATAAGCATCGATCAAGCAAGTTGGGAAACTTTGAGAGTTGTAGTCCAAAATATTTTTCTAGGCTGTAACTAAGCAAGAAACTATAGCTCAATGGAGTAGCCTATCCTTTTTATGCAGAAGGTCCAAAGTTCAGTCCAGTGTGCCTCCTTGATCAGGGCTGACTGATGCATGAGAGAGTTGGCACAAGTCTACTTAGATCATACTGAAAAAAGCTGACTCTCAGGTCTAAATAACCACATGTTCCAAGATAGATTAAACTTGACAGGAGTGGGATATTAAACTAGGACATTAGGTTTAAGTTTTTGGTTGAATTTCTCATTACAAGCATATATTAAGAAATAAAACTTTTTTTTATTCCACTCTATCTCCCCGAGGATTCCGGGTATTTCCTGGGTTCTGTGGGTACTCTGTTTTAAAGCTTCTGTAAATTAGATAAATATATTTCAGGAGGGTGGTTGCAGTGGAGGATGAAATTGATGCAAATAATCAATTGTTTTTCCATTTTTGGACAGGCTACAGCCCGGCTTGACAGAGCGTGCTCAGGGAGACAGTGCAGATGCTGAGGAATTATTGCGTAAAAAGCAGAGACTAAACGTGTCTTTGGCTTCTGATGGAACCTGTGTAGCTGCCCGCACACGCCCAGTCCTCAGCTGCAAAAAGCGGCGGCTTGTTCGACCCAGCAGCTTAGTGCCACTCTCCAAAAAGGTCAGTAATGTGGAAGAAAATGTCATCATTATACTATATTTCACTTGCTGGAGAAAATCCCATTTGCTGGATTGGATAGGTAGAGGAGAGAGAACTGAGAGTCAAAAGTAAGAGTATCAAATGTCATGGTTAATTAAAGTCTTATTTTCTGGTCCTATTGTCCTGACTTTTGAATTGCACTGAATGGGAATGGCTTTTTATCTTGGTGTGATAATTTCGGAGATTGAACAAGAGAAGAAACAATTGCTTTCTTCTTGTAATTGTTGACTTCATTTTTTTTTAAACTTCCTCGTTGTTAAAACTAGATTAAGCAAGTTTCCGCTGCAATTTATTGAGAGAATAAATTACTAAAGGTAAAAGGAAATTCTGGAAAGCAAAATGTATTATTAAATGATAAAGGGATCCTGTTCCTAAAAGGATTAGAATATTGGTTTGCCATGTTTGAGAATTATGCCGAATCAGCACTGTTACAGGGCAGGTGATGCCAGTTCTTTAGATGGCAGGTGCTTGAAGGCAGCAACAGCAGATCTTTGCTTACTTCTTCAGAGATTGCAGACCATTTTCCTCAGAGGACATAATTGTCTATATCCTGTTCCTCTTTGTTGACCTGATGTTCCCAAGTATAGAGGAGGAGGCTGTACTGTTGCCTTTAATCGGTTAGAAGACCAATCAGCTTTTTGTGCATTGTCTGAGTGGAAGCGCGCACACACACACTCCAATTCCCAGCAAAAAGAGAGATACCAAGGATTGAAATAACCATCAGAGCATCTCATTAATTTCCCATGCAAACAATGTGATGCCCAAGATTTTACATCATAGACATTTATCATACATGGAGAAGAATGCCTAAGGTCATATTTGGATTTGGAAAGCAGGAGGCATGGGAGATCATATTGTGATCATGTAGGCTAATGGAATATGCCAAAGAATTTCAGAATAAAGCAAACCTTTGCTTTATAGATTACAGACAGTCCCCAAGTTACAAACAAGATCGGTTCTGTAGGTTTGTTCTTAAGTTGCATTTTTATGTAAGTCAAAATAGGTACCTTTTTAAGTGTAACTTCAGCCAAATATGTGGGTGTGTGTAAAACTTTGCATAGCATAGGGGAAGATTTGCACCACTGTGGTGTTTGTTTTACTCTGTCTACCCCTGTTCAGAATATTTCACCTCACTTTTTATCCCTGTGAGAATTGGATTTTGAAAAATTTAGCTTGTTGTGGAAACAAGGATTGGTGATAAAGCCATAGTGGAGACCCCTTTTCCCCATGATAATGCTTTCAGAAGTGAATTTCCCTTCCGAAGGGTAAATTTCTCTCACTTCCTGTTGTCTCACCCCCATTCTTAACTATTAATCATTTGTAAGTCGATGTTTGAAACTTGAGGGCTGCCTGTATAGTAAAGCTTTGACTGTTAATGGCTCACCCTTCCCAGCATTCCCTGCCATTTATTGTGCCATCTAGGGGTAATTAGGATTCAGCATTATCTTAGGAACCACTCCTGAGTTAAAATGGTAGGCCTAAATCCAATTGCTGCCCAGGACTAAAATAGACCAAGTGAATCAATAAGAAGTTAAGTGAAGTGGTATTTAAGTAATTTCTCTTGTTTTTCTTGTAGTTAAGTTTAATGTTTGGTTTGGGGCTGCACACTGTAGAAATATGGCTTTGTTATTAGGAATGATCTTGATACGCGAGCTTGTGTGTGTGTTTCTATTTATATAAACCGCCATTGATTTGAAAGTAGTACTTGTTGAGAGTGCCAGTACAATAATTTTGCCATAAATTGCTAACCCACCAGATCCTTGCAGCCACACAACCTACCTTTCTAACAAATATTGATCTAATTTCTAGTTGGGATGAAATGGGTGTGACTTGGGTTTAGGCTCACTCCATACGCTCTATGATATCAAGTGCTGGAAAAGATGGATTTTCCCAAGAACATGGAAACAATTGAATACCTAAACGTTCATGTCTGGAATGTAGTTGTGAAATTTAAGGAGAATGTGTTTTTTAAAAAGATGAAGGGGTAGTGATGAAGGGTTCAGTTATTGGCTTACTTTTGTAGATTCTCCTGTATTTTAGACAATAGCATGACCACAGGCTCTGAATAAGAGAAGCCCCTGAGCCCATATGTTGCATTTAGCCATCCTGTACTAGTTCACAGAATTTATAGAAGTTGAACTAACCCATGTGTGTTCCCTGAAGTGATAATTCTGGTTCATTTCTTTGACTGTTGAAAAAATAAGCAAGTGTGGGAAAGATTGAGTTGTTGTAGGTTTTTTCAGGCTATATGGCCATGTTCTAAAGGCAGCAAAGATGAATTATTTCTACTGTTTTAGCATTATAGATATTCAAACCATTTGCATGTCTTTTTTTTTTTTTTTGCACCCAGGTTCATCGCAACAGCATGGGGCGGTGCAGCTGTGATGTGAATCTCTCATGTGCTCTCTGTGGCACTCGCAGCTCAGTGCCTCCTGAAATCCAGTATGAAGCCCCTTTGATGGAGCGTCTCTCGCAGTTGGATTCCTGTATCCATCCTGTTCTCTCATTCCCAGATGGTAAGACCAAAGCAAGTAAAGGGAAGTTATATGCAGTGTGAAGAATGGGGGATGTCCCTCACCCCAATTCGTAAGATGTGCCCACAGCTGGTCTCGCAAGCAGTCCTCTGGAAGTGAGAATCTTGCTGGTGATGGCCAGTTCGCCCACACTTACCCTGCCAGCCTCTCTGTATCCCTGGAGATAAGCATCCAACCATACCTGGCTTTGTCATGCCTGGATATTTTTTGGACAAGAGAGAGATATCCTGGGAAGGGTTTTGTTTTGCCTCCCCTGAGGCACTGAGCCACATTGGCACCAGTTGCTGGGCATTCCTGACCTAGTTTGCTGATGGCTGTGTTGCATGGAATGCAGTGCTGGGGATCTAGTAGGTATCATTTAAGCAGTTCAGCAAGCAGCTGTCTCTCTCCTCTTTTCTCTCCCTCTCTTTCTTTCTTCCTTGTTCCTCTCTCCACTGTATGAGCTGGTTCATGAGGTGCTCTGCCCTCGTCTGGATGAATTGGTGTCTGACTGGAAATTTCCAGATGACGTAATAACATCATAACAACCTTGGCGAAAAGGATGTTAATCAGGGCTTTTGAAAACTGCTAAGAGAGCGCCATCTGGGGGCCCTCCAGAGACCTGCTGCTTTGAAGTGTTTGGCAGAGAGAGAAAGAGAGAGAGCTGCCTGTTTCTGCCTCTCAGCAGGTCACAGTGTTGTTTTGGCGCAGTCCTACATCGCTAGCAGTGCAGCAGCAAGGGAGCATGAGGAAGAGTCAAAGTTCTTGGCTTCATTTTCAGCTGGACTGGCAGATCACAGAGAATTACTTGACTTAATCAACACGGAGTTTCTCTCTTTCATGCATATGCATAAAATTACTGTACACTCACAGTACAACCTTTTTTATTACCAATATATCCAGCACATACCATGTTTTCCTCTCCTTGTTTCTCAGCAAATAACTGTAGAGGAGGCAAAAAAATTAATGTCACACTGTTCTCAATACAATATGCTGTGTGTATATGTGTGAAAGAGGGAGAGATTGAAGGCGATGGGGAGTGCTCCTTCTCAGCCTGGCACCTAAGCTTCTTTCTATTAATACCTCCAGCTTCACACCCTCTCATCAGCTGCTCTCCTGTTGCCCAGCTGGCCTTTCTACCTTAAGCCTCTCCCTTTATTAACCATTTTTATTGATAGCATTTTAATGATACTTTTGTACAGCCTGATATGGAATCAGATTTGGAAGAGAACACAAGAGCAATCCATCCAACCCCCTACTATATTCTGACATCTGCCAGTAAAACAGCTGGGGTCATTTAAAAAAAAAACTAAAAAAGAGCATATGAGAATCGTACCAAATAAGGCCAAACACATTACAGTATAAATTTAAATAAAAACTAGCAGCAGCCAATTTTTTTTTTAATACAGCAGAATTAAGATTAACAAATATTGGGGAAACAGAAAGACCTTCCTTTATTAAGTGGATGCCCGGTGGGTCTCCCTAGGGATGGCATTCCACAATAGTCCTGATCCCCTGGTTATATTAACAATACCATCTCTGTCTAAGCCCTATTTTAATGTATGTGTGTTTTGTTTGAAGTCCAGTTAATGTTTGATTAACATAATTAATTGGATTTCTGGCAACAGCGGTCCACATGTACATTTTAAAAAGAAAAATGGAAATTTAAGACAGAAAATGTATTTCTCTTCACTTGGGAAAATGGAAGTAAGGGAAATTAGGAATAGAATTTGCATTGGACACGAGAGGAAATAGAAAACAGCATGAGTGTGTCAAAATCCAAGCAGAATCTATAAAAGCATTGAAATACTGAGGTGGGAGACAACCAAGTGTTTGAGATACCTCAGTCTTTGACAGCACTTGTTTGATATGCCACAGGAGTAAATGAATTGACTACTTTTTACTGGACTAAGGCAAATTCATATACGAATTGTGGCTGTATAGTAGATAACTGTTGACTCCTATGGAGCCAATACAGAATGTAAACAAGGAGATAAGCATGCTTTGTTTTTGTTTTGTTTTGTTAAAAGAAAATAGAGTGTTTGACAGTGCATTACTGCAGCTTGAAATTTGCTTCTTTCAAAACCCTGCTGCTTTCTACTTCATGGTCTCTGCAAGACACTGTCAGGATTGACATTTGTGTGATTTCCTCGCATGACAAAGCCAAGTTGAATTTATTTAAATCAGGAAACAAATGGCAGTTTCAACCAGGTTTCCTGATTATATTCCTTCATGTATTTCCTAGACAGAGATGCTGAACTCTTCCTAAAGGAAATAAAATACTATGTATGCTGTTGTCTAATTCTTAACCCTAGACTGTACATTGCTTTTTGTTCTGCAATGTATTTTTTCTGTCTTTAAGATGTTCCCATACAGCAGCCATGAGTAATGCCAAGCAAAGGGGCTATATTTGTTCCTTTCCCCTTGCTGATTTTGCAGCTCATAGTGGTGTTGTTGCCCAATTCACCATAACATCTATCCATTAGTAAAACAAGTTGCTTTTTTCTCTCACACTAAAACTTAGGGAATTTTGTGTTTTGCTTCAGTGCCAGGCCCCCTAAACGCTCTGGAAAGCCAGTTCTGCATTAGAACAAGGAGTGTGTTCTGAAAATTCCTTGCTTTGATGGGAAGGAGCGGGTCATTTCTGAAACCCAAAATGTGATAGCTTGGTGGTTCTTTGTATGAATGAGCACAGAATTGCCTGCCCCCACTTTCTGATTCATTCCAGATAACACACACTGATAGTCAGAACTTGGAAATGATTTTTTTATGCTTGAATGATTCTAGGAATTGTAGTCCAAGAAATTACTTGTCCAGCCACTGCTGCTGGTCTTTGGTCACTTGGAAGTCACCCAGATGTAGGTAATAGATATGCAGGGATTTTCCCAGTTGTTTACATTCCAAATGTATGCTTTTATTTTCAGTTATTATAGAGTAATCTTTCTTTCTCTCTTTTTCTTTGTGTGTGTGTGTGCATGCTATCCTGCAGATGTACCAATGAGTTTGCATTTCCAGAGCATGTTAAAATCCCAGTTGCAGAACAAGTCCTGTGAGAAAATCAAACCACCCAAAAAACTCATGCTGAAGCACCGGCCAACCATGCCTCCCAGCACCCTGTCTGACTCTGCACGCAAGGACCGTCACAAGTTGGTGAACACCTTCTTAGCAGCAGCCAGTAAGTTTTGATTTGAATCTTGCATTGGCATGACCAGCAGGTTATGTCCTGTAACTAGCTAATCATGTGGTTATGCATGGCTTTATGTGCAATGAAATGTGTTTTAATGGCAAAGGTCAAATGATAGAATGGGTTTTCAGGAAGAGATGATATTTTAGTCTGCCTTGGTCTCCAGTGATCCCTGCTTTCTCCACTTAGCATATCCTGATTCTAATATGTTGTGACAGAAAGACACTGTGCAGCTTTAGTTTAGTACAAAAAACAAAACAAATACCCCATACAGTTACTAAGATGAGGATTCACGACACAAAGTTTGGATACAGGCTTTTAAAAACTCTCCTGCTGAGGAAATGTGAGCAAGAGAGCAACATAACTTGCAAGTGTCCTAGTCAGCCGGCACATTGACTGGGGGATATCTGAATTTTATAGCTCAAAAAGGTAACTTTTCCAGAGTAACATACTTATCAAGAGCTAGTGTACTTCACTAAAAGCAAATTGATCAACTTTGAGTCTTGGTTCAGGTCCTCTTTCTTGATACGGACTCCCTTAATTTGTCCATCAGCAAGTTACTACCATCAGCAGTAATTGGGGTTTAACCTGTAGCAGTTTCTGGAAAGGTACAAGCAGACCACCATTATTTTGTTATGTCCATAAAGTATTGAATAATGTTTTTTTAAAACATCAGAACAGTTTATTGTCAAAGGCTTTCACGGCCAGAATTATTGGGATGTGGTTTCCAGGCTGTATGACCATGTTCTGGCATCATTTTCTCTTGATGTTTCACTTGCATCTGTGGCTGGCATCTTCTGAGGATCGTCTAAAGATGTCAGCCCCAGATTCAGGCAAAACGCCACGAGAAAATGCTACCAGAACACAGTCATGCAGCCTGGAAACCACACAACACTCCATCTGAACAGTGCTTCAGGATTTAGATGGAACGTTGGAAGGGACTGAGAAAGAAAATATCATACCTGAAATGTGCAAAGACCTCTCAAAATCTGAATCCAAGTCAGATTGTCTGATTTAGCCCAGTACTCTGTTGCAATATCTCTAACAGCAACTTTCAGACCAAGATCTCCCTGAAGGTCTTCTGCTTGATACCTTTCTAAATCAAGAATTTATCTGCAGTCTTGGGTATATTGCCATTGAGTTATAGCTCCTAACCTCCCTTCTCTTTAGAAAAAAATATAGAGACCAGGCCTTAAGAGAGGTGTTAGGTTAGCTTTTTCTAATCTTATGCCCTTAAGCTATAATGAACTACCATGATGCTAGTGCTGCATCTTGGCCTATCTTACCAGGAAGCCTCTTTGGTCCTCATCCTCGAAGTGTAATGGAATATCACTTAGTTGGCTGTTTTGTGCATTGGAAAAGACACCCTGCACACTGATTCTTTCGTAAACTTCAGAGGAAAGTTCTGACATTGAAAAGTGGTTCTGCCACGCCATTAGGCTCAGGGTGTATGTTCCTAAAGATTTGACCAATATCATTGGACTACTGAATTTATTTATGAGTTTGTGCATGTTCTGTGTCCATTTTGTATGGCTGCCTCACATCTGAATGTCAGAAATGTTGTGTATAATTACTACAACTAGAAAGGTAAGTCATGGCTTTAAATTGATCAAGGAACAAGATTTTTTCTTTTCAGGATGTTTTACTGTGGTCAAGTCAAGCCAACAAGGACTATATGCTCAGCTTTGATTGAAAATACATTTGCCATAATGTCCCAAATATGTCAAATGTGTGAGCCAAAAGTAAGCTGTGGAGAATGGAAGCTAGGCCTTTAGAAGGCTGAGTGCAGCTAAGGAGTTCAGCAGTATGGCTAGACTTCAGTATACTGTGTGAAGGATGCTTGCCTTCCTTCTTCAATGCTTGTCAGTGTAGTCGTATATACTCCAGTAGTGAAAAAAATGTTGGATGGGGACTTGGGAGATTCAGATTCTAGTCTCCATTGAATCATGAAAAATCACTGGGTAAAAGTGATCAGCCATGCTTTTTCTCAGACTGATGTATCTCGCATGATTTTGTGAGCAAAAGGAGAGGATAGCATTGTAAATAGTAAATATCTCATGCACACACACCCCACTCAGCTTTACAGGGTTGAGATGGGTAGCTTAGACTAGTGCAAAAATGCAGCAGGAAAGGGATTAAGTCAGTGTGGGTTGTCGCTTAGCCATCTACTCAGGGGCTGGTGCTGCAAATGGCACTTCCTGCAACTGTGCCAGCATTCACATGCTGTAATAGTTTTGTAGCAGAGTCCCTTATGTGACAACTGTGCTGTGAGAGGCTAGGAAAGAGAGGTGAAAGCAGGGCATTTTCATGGCTCTCTTTCTGTTCCATTCCTCAGCTTGCTCGCATCACAAAATCGAGCCAGACAAGGCACACAGGCAATCCTTAGACGATCTAAGGGCTGCTCCCAAGGCCGAGAGAGCGCCAGAGCGCTCGCTTATCCTGACGCCCGTTCATGAGAGAAAGCGATTGCGGGACAGCTCCTCCGAGAGAAGTGAAGGTAGGCTGGACACAGCCAGGTCTGTCTTGGGAGAGCTTGGGTTTCGCCTTCCTCTTCTCCCTCCCCTTCCTCTCTGAGCCTTAAAGAAGGGTGCTTGCTGCTTAGGGGAAGTAAAGGGGGCAATGGTGTCAGCTGCTGCTATCTCGTTGTGTGTGCTTTAAAGGCTTCCTCCTCCTGGAAAGTACATCCTGGCTGAGGAGGTTCCTCTTTCTTGGGTTATATTCTGATTCCTTTGTGTAGATTACTTGGCAATAGGATAGAGCTAAAGCTTTGTAGCAATATAGAAATCCAGTCTACACATGTTTTCTCTTTTTTCTCCCTTCTTACACAGTATTAAAGCACCATGCAGATATTGGAGGTCCAAGCTATTTGTCCAGTGCTATGGCCTCCTCAGCCCACAGTTCCCTTGTACGGCAGTTGTCCACCTCTTCAGAAAACTCCATACCGTCTGCTAGCACAAGCTCATTGGGCAACTCCATTGCATCTGTAAGTATCTGGTGATGGCATGCATTTTTTCGGTTACGGATTTACTAACCTGGTTTATGAATGAAGTTGTAATTAATTAGTTGATGTCATCAGTATGATTACTTGATCAAATAGAAGACAACAGGTGCCAGCCATCCTAAGGACCATCATAATCTGAAATGTATCTCACTGAAGAATGACAGGGAAGGAGAGATAAACAGGGAAGAAATATTGGGCCATTGGGTCAACTGAACATCTTAGGCTGAGGTACATTAGAGTGTAGGAACTAAGAAATTATGCCAAAGGCTTCAACGCAAATGTGAATTTTGAGCTTGTGTCTGCTTCTTTAGTCAGATGATAGTGTGACCCAAGTTCATGATATAATGTCACAAATTTACAGCAAAAGACATATCAGGAAAAAGAAGGTGGCATGGAAAATCATGCAAAGTAGCATGATATTGGATGTGGGGCTTTGCTTATTTGCACTAGGACTCTTGGAAAGTTGTGTAGGACATTCAGCCAATGGGAATTCTTGGTTCTGTAATCAGCCTGCTGCTGATTTCAGGAGCTGCTAGCGATAGTTCTCTTTCCTATAGTTTGATTTGATTTTACAAGCATTCCTGAAAAGCAGTAGGGGGAATGTGTCATTTTTCCGAGTGTTCACTTTTGCTTCATAATGTTGTCATATATTCGGTGATCATGCATCATATAACTCTGGGAACCACATTTTGATTTCAGTTGTCACCACACTCATTCTGCACCACCAAACATTCAACCAGTAAATAGTGCAATAAGGATAACGGACTAATGAAATTTGACAATTGGACTGGCCTTGGATTACGATCTGGATTACATGATTTTAATTGAAGTTTTAATAATTAATGTTTAATTGTATGGAGAGAGGGCCTTCTCAGTGATTCTCACTCAGCTATGGATTTCCCTTCCTAATAGGATTAAGTCAGCCCCCTCCCTCCTGTCCTTTAGAAGGAATATTAAAATTTGGCTGTGGGACCAAGTCTTTGGGACCGTGCAATGATGCAGCCATTATTATGCCAACCAGAGTCGATATGAATGTTTTGAAACAGTTTTAAACAGAGGATTTTAATGTCAAGATAAGTGATTTTAACGTTTTAGTATGTATATTGTCTAGTACAGGGGTCCTCAAACTTTTTAAACAGAGGGCCAGGTCACCGTCCCTCAAACAGTTGGAGCCCCATATTATTATTATTTGAAAAACACATGAATGAATTCCTATGCACACTGCAAATATCTTATTTGTAGTGCAAAAAACATTTTAGAACAATACAATAATTAAAATATTTAAAATGAACAATTTTAACAAATATAAACTTCTTAGTATTTCAGTGGGAGGTGTGGACCTGATTTTAGCTGATGAGATAGGGCTGTTGTTGCTGTTGTGTGCTTTCAGATCGTTTCAGACTTAGGTTGACCCTGAGTGAGGGCCGAGTAAATGCCCTTGGAGGGCTGTATCCACCCCCCAGGCCTTAGTTTGAGGACCCCTGCTCTAGTATGTTTCGGCATTGAATGTTTGCCGTTTATACGTTGTGCTCCCCTGAGTCCCCTTCGGGTGAGAAGGGCGGAATATAAATGCTTTAAATAAATACATAAATAAATAAATACATTTTCAACAACAGGAAATGAGTTTTGATCACTTTCTGTTTTAAAAAAAAGCCTCTCCTGAGAAGAATTTGGCCCAATGGGCTATTGTGCTCTGCATACATTAGGACAGCCATCTTCAGTATGGGATCATTCAGAACTTCTGTTCCCATCATCCCATAGTAATCAGTCATGCTGGCTGGGTCCAGTGGCAATTTTTATTACAAACAGGTTTCCAATTTGGGAAAGGTTTCCTTAGGTATTGATCCTTCTTCCACACATCTGTGAGCTGCTGCTTTGAGAGGTAAGCCCTGTGAACAAAGGCACACATTCAAGATTGTGCAGAGAAAGGTGTTTGTTCTTGATTTCCCATTTATTAGAATGACTTCTCCCTGGAGGCTTGCTTTACTAGAAGGAGGATCTAGCTGAGGTGATTTCTTAGCTAAATTGATACTGAATTTTAAAATTAACATTTCATCGAGCTTTTGCCTTGATGTTTGAAGACTTCCGTGTATGGTTGGTTTGGGGCAGGTGGGTTGCTTTTTCTCTTTGCTAATTCCATTCCTAAACAGAGATATTGCTGTACTTAGTATTAACTGCAGGGAAGGAATAAAAATAAATTTCGTTGGACTTCCATCTCTTGTGATGCTACCAAGCCCAAAAAGTACTTGTTTCTTTCTTTGCAGTGTTTTTATGACATAATGTATTGTTGAAGGCTTTCATGGCCGGATTCACTGGGTTGTTGTAGGTTTTTTGGGCTGTATGGCCATGATTTAGAAGCATTCTTTCCTGATGTTTTGCCTGCATCTGTGACAGGCATCCTCAGAGGTTGTCAGACCTCACAATCTCTGAGGATGCCTGCCACAGATGCAGGCAAAACATCAGGAGATAATGCTTCTAGAACACGGCCATACAGCCTGAAAAACCTATAATGACCCTTTATTCTCTTTTTGAAGCACAGTATTTGTTCATCTTTAAAATACTAAAAAGTGTAAAGCTGGGTTGGGAACATTTTTTTCCAGAAAAGTTGGTTGTCCAACTAATCATACCTCAATATTGGTGATGCCGATAATTGGACTTACAGTGAACAAATCCAGAGGGTCAGATTTCACCTATGCTGTAACTTTTCCAAAAATAACTGCACACACATGTGTTAAAAATAGTATTCCGATATAGTTTGTCAACACTTATGTACAGTATATCCCTTTAATTCATTGGCTCTGCTTGAGTTGATAATAACAGTTGGATTTAGAAAGACAGAGGAAGGGACTAGTGAAGAAATTTGTACCCACCTCCTGATTGGTGTCTAGTGGGTCATAACTCATTGGGCCTTTAAGGTGCCTAAATAATAGAGGGCACACTGATGCATATGAAATGACCACCTTTTAGCCAATCAGTGCCAGGATTTCTGTATGTGTAACAATAGTATTTTCCCAACAGTGCAAGGATATAATGAGACCCAATAAATCTCCTAGTGCCTCTTCAGCACCTATCACAGCCAGTCTCTTATTTCAGCCATCTTATGTGATTAAGGTGTAGTTTGAACAGCAGCAGATGCATTTATTCAGCATTTACCCGAATTTGTCCATTTAAGTCATACTGATGGAGGGGATGGAATACCCTGAGACAATGGTAAACCTATTAGGATTTATTATTTTTGTTACTGTTAACTCTGGTGGCTGTAATTCTTTTATGTCTACTTGGTTCTAACTTAAGACTTCCTGAATTAATTACAACCTTAAATGTTTAAAATCTAAAGATTGGGTTTGAATTTACTGATATGTCCATGGTAGTTTTTAGGCTCGCTTGGGTCAAGTCCAATTTTCATCCCAGGATTGTAGGAACTAAAACAATATCTGAATACACTATAAGCTTCATCCTAAAGCTGTGATGAAAAGAAGTCTAGTTTTTCAGAACTAAAAAAAGAGTGTAATTATCTAGTACCTAGTTTAATTGCAGCAAAAAAATATGTAAATTGTACTTGAAAGGGGACTGTTGGAGTTTTTGTGTTTTAAAAAATAATGGAAATGGGATGTCAGTAGGCATAACAGTATAGTGCTTTAGAAAGTAGTTTCACAGTGAGCCAGAAAGAGCTGCAGTGTTTGGGAAACTGCTAGAAGTATTTCCTTGAGAGTTCGCTGCACAAAGATGCATATTGATGCATGGATGCCATAACCTGGAAAAGATGTTCTTTATGAAGGTTGACAATGAAGTCTTCAAGAAGAGATGACACTGGTAGCTACACAATGGGGTTTCTCTAAAGTTCAAGTGTAAGTCAGTGAGGTGTGAATATCTAAAACCTTTTTGTTGCTGTTTTTAGGAGGGCATATAAGAAAACATCCAAAATCCTGTGATTTAGGAGATTGGTTGATGAGGAGCATGTAGATCTTTACTTTTTGAAATATATAGTTTGCAAGTCTGGCTGCATCTCTATAATTTGAGAATACTCCTTTAAGAGCCATATAAACGTGTGGCAAAGTTTTTTTCAGTGACCTTTGTCTCAGTGGATAGACCTCATTTTCAAATATATGGGAACCTTAGTGATGTTCACTTGACATTGACCTTGGTTGTGTTCACTGTATGGAATATGGACTAAGAATTTTAAAGAGAAAGCCAAAGAAGGTACTGCTATGATGGATCATGTTAATCTTTTCTTTGGGATAGATTTTGCTGCAAAAATGGTGTGAGTACAGCCAACCACACCCTAGTATATTCCAGATATGTCGAATTTCACTATCCTTAACCATCATAGCCATTTGCCATCCTGGCTGAACATGATAGAGATTGTAATGGTTGTCTCTGGAGGGTTCTGTGTTAGGGAAGCTTTCAGTAAGACGCTTTTCCTTACCTTTGTTTGTTTTCTAAGTGCTATTTCTTCCAGAGTGTACTAGGTGTTGCTTCATAAGCAAGGGTTTACTCTGTACAATCAATATTAAGAAAATATCTCAAGATTGACTATGCAAGCAAAGATTTGAATCCTGCTGGTCAGAGATGGTAACTCTGATGCTTGTGTTCTGTGGTGGCACCTTTTACCCCAAGTATCTTCTGTGACTCTTGCTATTAAGGCAGTGTCACAGGCTTCTCCAGCCACTAGAAAGACACCTTAAAGGGTACCCTACCTCTCTCTCAAGTTGCCTGCACTTGAAGTTGCTTCCTCTGTGTCTCACTTTTCTTTTGTTTGTTCCTTCTATGTTTCCTTTGCAGCAACAGCCAAGGAGGAGGAGAGGGGAAAGCTCTTTTGACATAAACAACATTGTCATCCCTATGTCCGTTGCTGCAACCACCCGGGTAGAAAAATTGCAGTACAAGGAAATCATTACACCAAGGTATGTCCAGAGGTGCCATCTACAGTTACCTTGTTCCTTTAAATCCAGTGAGGTGCTTGGCAAACCAACTTTCAAAAAGGTTTGGTTCTACAAAGGAAATAAAATGCCCATTTAATTTTTTAAATTTTGCCTTTCATACACTTTGTGGTCCACTTGAATGGTGCTTGCAGCCACCAGGTGTCCACAGACCACAATCTGGGAATTTCTGAATGGTCCTGAATCCTGACCAACTTTCTGAATGACCCCTTAGGACCAGATTAGCCATTCAACTGAATAGAGTCCAGAATACAGGAACAACTGGGAGACAGAGAGAGAATTGTATTAAAATCTGACATAGTCTCATCTGATGTGGGAACTATAGTTTCTGGATTCCTGATGTTGTGTTTCTTCTATCATTCTTTCTTGTTTTGAGTGTTATTAATAAATAAAGGATGCACTTGCCACATACTAAATTGCTGGGAAATTCCATAAGGATTGGCAGTTGGATGTAATGTAAGAGTCTGAATACTGCCTTTATTGCAGTGTTTGGAGGCAGGAGTGGGATTATGTGTGTTTGTGGAGGCTGCCAGATGGGTAGGTAGTTAGTTGCTATGTCCGCATTGCTGCTTGCAAGTTGGAAGCTGCCAATTTTAACTCTGTACCAGGAAGAAGCCTGTTTGTGGGAAGGATAACAATTTAGTCATAGTGTGCATATTCTATTAAAAAATGAGACCTCGGGTTAGTGATCTCAAGGGCAAAACTACATTTTCAGAAGAAAGAAGTAATATATTGCTGTTTGCAATAAACATCTTTTACCTTTTAAAAAACAATATTCAATATCAGGAGGCATTTCTTCAAACTTGTTTCTTATCCACCTGCTCCAAGTGTACTTGAGGCTGCGTGCTGGTTAGTATCTATCTTTTCTCTTACTATTTTTTGGTGACCTGTCTTCCAGCTGGCGTGTCGTGGATAATGGTGCTCTGAAGGTGAATCCAGATGAAGACAGCGAAGAGGTAAAGAGTGATGGCTCTCCTTTCTTGTTTTTTTGTGTATGTACAGCCTCTTTCCTCTCTCTGTTTCCTTACTTCCTATCTACCTACTTTTCGGGGCTATTCTAAAATGGAGGAGCCAAAAGCTTCTCCAGAGCAGGATAATAGAATCAGCTTTGTGATTGCCATTCTCCCAATTCTAAAATAATCATAGAAATATGTCCTTCTCTATTTTTCTTCTGTCCCTGGAAGTTTTCTTTCTCGGGCAACCCAGTGCTGGTCTGTTCCATAAAAGTGTCTGCTGAAAGTTGGAAAGGCTTTAACGTGCAGAATTTTCATTCTTTTTATTTTCATCACAAAGTCATCAAATGAACATGTCAGGGTACCTTTACCAAAATATGTAAATGGCAGAAGAGTCGGTGACCTTGTGTTTGTCTCTGTGTGGATTTTTGTTGAGAAGTTTGCTCTCTCACTTGATGTAAGAGAAAGAATATGGCTGTACCAGAATTTTGGATACCTGCATCTTAATCTCCTGTATTCTTGACTAGATTCTTAGGAAAAGACATCCAGGTTTTCACAACAGAGGTCAAGGGGTTTGATCTCATCCTTCTCATCATTAACAAATATCTGTAGGCTCATGTTGTACTACTATTGGTAAATGAATCATGATGTGCTTAATAATCCGTACTAAGAAGCCATGGACAAAATGAGCAAATCTTGCCATTTCCTAAAGTACAGACAACACAGTGGGTGCAATGGATACGCTACCTCTTCTTTTTCCAGGCAACACCAATCTTCCTAGCACTGGAGGACTTTTTGAGTTAAAAACATCAGCATCCCAGCACTGCCCCACTCAACAGGGAAAAACAGAAATGAGAAATTCTTGCAAACCAGATGTATTCTTCACCAGAAGTACTCAGGACTCAGGACTAATCACTTTGGAAGATTGTGATGTCTTCTTTGGAACATGCCACCAAAAAGACCAAGAGTGTTGTGTAGACTGAGTCCGCGGAGCCAGATAGTACATTAGAACAATGACATGTTCTGTGGCTTGCAGCCTAGGATAGAGGCATCTGTACTTCAACTTGCTCCTGTGGTTTATTTACCTTCTTGATAAAAGACTGAGCTGAGGTTGAAGATTTGCCTCCAAAGGAGAAGGTATCTTCTGGCTCATAGACTAGACCAGTGGTTCTCAACCTGGGGTCCCCAGATGTTTTTGGCCTACAACTCCCAGAAATCCCAGCTAGTTTACCAGCTATTAGGATTTCTGGGAGTTGTAGGCCAAAAACATCTGGGGACCCCAGGTTGAGAACCACTGGACTAGACTAAAGACTCTTGTGAAATAAGGAAGCTAAAAATGACTGCACAGTTCTTCAGTTGCTCCTGTTACCTTACTAGCTTTGAACATTGAGTTCTTAAAAGTTCCTGTATCCTATTACAAATGTTGTATATATTAACCAGCAAGATCAAGGACCAGTACTCATGACACTCCTCAGCAACACTTTTCGAGTGCAAGACTGCTTCACTGCTTGAAGGGTGATGTTCATCCATTAGATACAAAACATCAGTGTTTTTTTAAAAAGAAAATACTTTAGAGTTGATGCAGGCTTTAGTGATTTGTGACAAAGAACTTCCTCTTCCCCCCTCCAAATGCAGGACAAGAGTTCACGATGAAGTAATGAGTCTCCACTGAAATATATAGAATATTTCTGTTCAAATGCACATGCACACCAAAGAAAGTGTCTTTCTTCCTACCTCAGTGAATAAACAAGAGTTCCAGAATTGCTGCACTGAGATTTCTGAGAGAACATTTTCTCCCTCTCTCAATTCAATTTGAGCTTATTATTTCTGGGCCAGAACAGAAGGAAGTGGAATGAAGACAAGTGTCTAAACAAACTCATCTCTGCAGGATGTCGTGTATTGAAGATACGGGTTTATGGACTGAGGGCACAACAATTCATGAAAAAGGCATCCTTATGGGGAAATGATCTGTGAGATCTTCACTGGTTTTGTGAAGCACTGTGCTTTGCGTGTGGGTGACATGAAAAGGCCACATAGAAAAAGTAGTCCTGTGGAGCAGATTTGCACAAAGGGAGCTCTGCATTCATTTTCAAACCAAAGCTCACAACTCTGTTTTTAAATATTTAAAATATTTATCTACTCCTTTAAAAATATTGTTGTTGGATATTAAAAGTACAAATACAAAGAAACTAGGAAGAAGCGGAGAAGGATGTGAATGCGGGATAAGCATATCAACCAGTCAATCTTTTTTATGGTTTGTGACCAAAATTAGACTAAGTTGGCATTTGTAGAGTACCCATTCATGTGTCGCTAAATGAGTAAGGTTTTCTGACTGTTGAACAGTGGATGATAAATATTTTCCATTCCAGACTTGTGTGAGTCATTTACCTACTGTAAAAGCTTTCTGAGTTGAACAATGCTGAATATTAAGTTCCAAGTCATGACATTTGTAGTACATACCTGTCTACGAATATCAAATATGTGTATAATACAAAACTAGTATGCTACGATACATCCAGCCAGAAAAGAGTGACAAACTGGATTCACGCACATTATATGCCACAAGGAAGCATTGTTAGATCTGTACCCATTACCACCATTCAGTTGCTTGGATAGATGAAACATCTATTGATGGTGAACCAAACATTATTTCAAATAGAGATTTTAAATATTAAGCCCAAGGTAATTTTCTATTAATTGACACTCTAATTCTGTATTCTACTAAATCCTAACTTCCATTACATGCCACTGTGCTGACAAGCCACCTATGAGCTGAGTCTGTAGAAAGTTTTTAGAGTTATTCAACAGACCTGTGAAGTGCTGAATGGAGAAGCCTTTTAATCTGAGGTGATTCCTGAGCTTAATTGGGGGACTGGGCTTCCTGAGAGAGAAATCTTTCTCTTTTGGGGGTGCGAGAAGAAATTTGTATGGATTGGGCAAATTATTTTGATGATGAAAAAGCTACCCTTTCTCTATATTTTGCCATTTCACTTTGATGAAGCTTTTGGTGAGCATGCCTCTCCCTATCCCATTCTGGGGTCTATATGTATGTTAGGATTTACAGGATGTGGCTCAATAGAAATGTAGTCATGTGAGGGTTGTATTAAAGAAACATTTCACTAGATGAGAGGGGCTGTTTTGTTTTGTTTTTTAAACCATGTGATGGCTTTTTCTCAGCCATTGGTGACTATACAGTCATCATCTTGTCTTCTGAGTTTCTTGTGAACAGAATGTGATTTCTAGATTAGATGAAGGAGGGGGAAGCTGTAGTGAAGGGGTGGAGGATTTCCTCATATTTTATAGAGAACTGAAAACTTGCAAGCAACATCCTGAAAAGGCTCACTTGTTGTAGGGAACTGAACATTCAGAATCTGGCAATTTTTTGCAAGCCCTCATCTACTCTCCCTTTATTTCCCTTTTCCTTTTTTCTTGAGTTATTGGATTCTGTTCTTTGTCAAGAAAAACCCTTTCCATATCCCTTGGCCTGGAAGGATATCTCTAGATTAAGGGTGGGAAAGATGGAGCAGGCCAGGTGTTATTGGACTACAATCCCTATTAGGCCATGCCAGTAGAATAGGGCACCATGACTGAGAGAGCTTCAAGTCCAGCTGCACAGAATTATATCAGAGCCACTACAATTAAAGATCTTCCTCAAACTGAGACTCTTTAGGGGTTCTTTACTTCAAGGGTGGTTGCAAAAAAAATGTTATGAAACTAAATTGAAGGTCACAGTTTCTAGATAGTAGTGTTTCTGATGTTTCTGAAGATACTTAAAACATGTTGGATTCCATAATATATTTCTGGGCACTTAAGCTACTACTACTTTTTCCCTGTTCAGTATAATCTGAGCACATGTCATGTTTCATAAAGTTTATTTCATATGCACAATTTGGGCTTTTTTGTATTAGCCGATGGTTTGTTGGCCGAAATAAAGGCTACTGACTGACTGTATTTTTTAAAAATCATTAATTGCCAAGAACACATCTAATAGGGCATGACATTTATGCCCAGGAGAATATGGATGGAATAAATCCTTCCATGCCCTACAACTTAAATCCCTATGGCCTATGCTTAATTTTAAGTAGCCAGCACTCAACATCCCACATGCTTGTAACCTCTCCTTGTTAAAGGCAGGGAATTTGAAGCACATCTCCTCAGGGGCCAAATCAGTTTTTAGTGCACAATGAAGGTCTTCCTGCCCGGCAGCTAATTGGCTTCTAACAATAGATCCTTCTGTAAGAGAAAAACAGGAATGCTGTTTCATAGCTAAACCATCTAATGCTTTAGAGAGTTGTAGCACACAGAAGGTGGATCTGGAGTTGGCAGGATAATTGTGTTAATACAAATGCAGTCTAAATTATTGTCAGTAATTTAAAATACCGTGACTTTGAATTCGTGACTTTTTCTGATTGATATTTTCCAGAAAAACATGCATTGAGGGTTAATGCCAAATGGGACAGACTTCTAATAAAAGAGCATCTCTTTTACTTGGTGGGCTGGAGAGCGGGTGGGAGAGATATCCAACATCTTCCTTTTGGTTTTGTGGGAATCAGTGAAACGTGTGAAGAGTCTCCCAGTTCTCATCTTCCCTGATGGCTCTTCCAGATAGAGGATCTGTCTGATGCAGCCTTTGCCACCCTCCATGCCAAGTGTGAGGAGATGGAGCGGGCGAGGTGGCTGTGGACCACAAGCATGCCACCTCAGCGACGAGGCAGCAGGTAAGGCTGGTTGCCACTCTGCAGCATTAAATCCATAGATACTTTGATTCCGCTACTGTACAATGTACCTCAAATTTTGCTGTACAGGTGTAATCTGTGTCAAGTATGGATGTCTTGGTGTTACAGGTATGTGTGTGAATGCAGTTGAGGGTGTGGAAGGAAGCCCTTCTGGATAGAGCCTGTTTTTGACTTTATGGGAGGGTTTACCTTCTGAAACCAGTTGCCATCCTGTTAATGGCATATGCAAGCACAAGATTGATATGCTTTGTTTTGTGTTTTTGATGGATGTAGAGCTGTGGTGCACAACCTGTGGCCCTCAGTGTGTTTTGGACTTCAGCTCCAAAAATTCCTGATGATTGGCAAGCTGGCTAAACTTCTGGGAGTTGGAGTTCCAAACATCTGGATGGCCACAGTTTGTGCACCACTGATTTGGAGGTTGGTATCCTCTTCCTCCAGGTCATCAAATTTGCACACGCACACCCCAACACACACTGTGGAGTTGCTGCAACAACCAACCCCCTCCTCCAATTCCCTCCAGTCATTTCATGTTTGGGGAAGAACATAGGCTATCAAAGAAGCATCTAGTTATGTCCCCATAGCGAGATGCAAATAACTGCCTCATTTGCTGAGACCTCCAGGGACATCAGTAGCCGACAATGAAAGTCTGGAGGATCAGTGAATAGCCAGCTGTAGTGTGTTGTAATGAGAAAAAACCTATTTGAAGTGTTGTATTGGAGGAGAGTTCTGCAGATTCTGTGAGCTGCCAGAAATACAAAGAAATGAGTTCATGAGCAAATTGAGTCTGAACACTGCCTAAAAGCTAATATGACTAAACTGAGAGTATTGACTTTGAACATATACCAAGAAAGCATGATTCATTAAAAAAGAAAAGAAAGCTTGGTAAAGAAAGTAGGGAAAGTGGATGGATATATACAATCAGGGAAGCCAGGGCTCTGAGTTTACAGAACCTGAGCAGGGGTGACTTGGAGGTCTTTCATTCATGGGGTCGCAATAGATTGAAGTCGACTTGACAGCAATTAAATAAAAAGTGTAATTCAGCATGCTGTATTACTGCACTATGCTGAGACATACAGGATGCTGACCATTGTATGCAGCCCCAAATATGTGGATTAAGTTGTTAACTAGTGCTAGTATCTACACTGCCCTATATCCCACGATCAGATTCCAGATTATCTGCTTATTCCAGATTATCTGGCAGGGTACTCATATAATCCAATTCAAAGCATGTCTGGGATCAGATCCTGGGATATAGGGCAGTGTAGAAGGGGCCTAAGTATTGAGTTTTAAAGAGGCACAGTACATGGCAAATGGAAGAAGGCATGTTCTTGCAAAACAAGGGAAAATGACAGAAGTGGGAGAATGGACATGGAGTATGGGAAGATAAGATAGATATGTATGTGTGTGTGTGTGTGTGCTTTGGTTTAGTGACAGCCAAGGTTTAGAGCTTGATGGAAAAAAATTTGAAGAATAATGGTGCCATGTCAGTGTGGCCTTCAAGTATAGGGAGCAGCCAGGAAGGAAGGGCAGAATCTTTTGAGAAATCAAATAGCCTTATTTGTGAGGAGGAAGTGCAGGGAACATAGACAGAGCAACGTCTCAAAAAGATCCCCTAAATAGCTAGTCTGCATTGAGTGAGATAGAAAAAGGACTTGCTGTTGGTCTTGCCATAATGGGCCTTTGGTAACTTCATTTCATGATGCTGTCTCTCTGGATGTGTCTTTCAACGTGTACAACTGTCATTTTAAAAAATAAATAGTAATTGCCACTTTAAAATTAATTTCAGATCTTACAGATCAACAGACGGACGGACAACCCCACAGCTGGGGAACCCATCAACCCCACAACCGGCATCACCCGATGTTAGCAACTGCTACTCCCATTCTGACTTTTCCCATGCCCACTCGCCACGCAGTCCCATCAGCCCTGACCTGTTCTCTGGCCCCCACACCCCTCTGTCCCGAGACTCTGTGCGGCATCTGTCTTGTGAAGACACACGTTGTTCAACACCAGATTCAGCTTTTGATGAACAGGTGAGAGGGAAGGGGGGTTCTTTCCTGATCTTGATAGACATGGCCCACGTGAGGCTCTATGTAGAGTGTTTGTCTGAGTTTTAAACTGATAAGTCGACTCGACTTGGATAAGTCGACTCGACTTGGATAAGTCGACTCGGATAAATCGACTTGACTTGGATAAGTCGACTCGGATAAGTCGACTCGACTTGGATTTTTTGAACTAAATTTCTAGATTCATACATGAGTATGTAGAGTACTTTAGAGAACTACTATTAGCCCTACCGGGGGGGGGGGGGGGGGGGAGTCTCTTTAAGAAAATGGACAGAAAATTTGGGAAGGGAGTTTTATTCTATATAGACAGGCTTTTGGGTTGCTACTGGTTAGGATGAGTGTTCATTTTATAGACAAAATTCCTGCCAACGTGCAACAGGCATCCTAACAAAAAGTTAAGATTTCCATCAGCCTGAATGTGAAGGAGGACAATGGTCTGTTTGTACTGGTTTTATTATGTACCATTTATAGTTAATACTTATTTAAAGCTATGTCAAGGAAACTTTTGTTACTGAGCATTTTACAGTTCAACTGAGAGCCTGTGTGGGGCATGGTTTGAGTGTTGCACAAGCTCTGGATGATCAAGTTGTGAATCCCTCATGAGCTGTGGAATCCTACTCAGTGGCCTTGAGCAAGGGACAGTCTCTCAAGCCTAAGAGAAAATGCCCTCTGGATTAATCTTGCCAAGAAAACCTTATGATAAAATGTCTCCATAAGATAGAATCGACTCAAAGGTACACAACAGCAAGAAGTTTAAAAGTTAAATAAAGCTTAAACACTGGGGTGTTATGTGGTTTCTGGGATGTTTGGCCATGTTCTAGTCGCACTTGCTCCTGACGTTGCCCCTGCATCTGTGGCTGGCATCTTCTAAACCAAGAACATACATCAAAAGAGGTGGAACTGAAAACTAGTGGAATAAAATAAAACAATGGGATATTTTCATTTTTGAATTTTTTAAAGAAGCGCTTCAAAAAGGAAATACCATACATTGAAAGAGGCATATAGAGTCCATGAAAGCAGCAGTATTGTTGCATGTGGCAATACTAATATTGAAAAGTAACTTTGTCCTTGTGCACCCTCAAGTTGTATCTGATTTGTGACAACCTTAAGACAAAACTATCATGACATTTTCTTGGCAGAATTTGTTCAGAGAGGCTATGCCTTTTTCCTTCCCTGAGACTGAGAGGGGGTGAATTGGCCAGTGTCACCGGTGGATTTCCATGGCCAATCATGGATTTGAACTCTGATCTCCAAAATCATAGCCCAGTGTTTGGACCACACTGGTTAGAGGAACATATTAATGATGTACATGATTGAGGAAAAACACGTTGAGGGTACTTTTAAGGTAGGCAAACCATTCAGGTAGATGTTCAGAAACCCTGCTGACTGGCTGCCTTTTGCTTTCCAGACTGTGCAGCCCTGGGAGCGGCGCAGCTTCCCACTCTCCTTCAACCCCAAGACAGAGTGTGAGGACCCGTTGGATCCCCAAGACCGGTCATCATCCCGCTGCACGCGGCGCACGTCCGGCAGCAAACCCACCCGAGAAACAGACGTGGCCCCCTCCTCACCCACCCTTGCTTCCCTCAAGAGCCGGAACGCAGGGGCCATGGCCACAGTGCAGCGGCCGGCCCACAGATAAGAGATGGACAGGGAGACGAGAGCAAAAAGCAATCCACCAAACTAACTTTTGGCATTAAAGCTTCTGAAAATCTGCGTTTGATATTCAAACATCCTGCCGGGAATTTTTCACAGTTTTTAGTGAATTTAAGGAGTTTAGAAACTGTTTTATTTCCCTCCTCCCTTTCTTTCCATGTTACCTTGTCACGCACACCTTCTCCAGTGCTGGGTGGTGGGATGAGGAGAGCAAACCTGTCTCCCCCTCCCCATGCTTTACACTCCTCAAACAGGAGAGTGGGAAATGGCTGGTTGGCCCTGGAAGGAGTTCTCTGTCAAAAGAGGTTTTCTTTTAACTTTTCTTTACTTTTGCTGTTGCCGTGTCTTGTTCTCCTCACCCACCACCACCACTGTGGCCCCTCCCTTCCCTTTAAGATTTTAGTGGAGTGAAATTAGTGGTGAAAAGTGATGTCTTCTGAATACAGCTCCTTCACTCTCTCTCTCTTTGTTCTGCTCATGGGCCACCACTGGCACTAGAAAGCACTTGCAATGCAACTCCTTGCCTCTCTTTCACTTGGTTCCCTAAGGGATGGCTTCCCACTTGTCCCCTCGCAAGAGCTCCTCTTCTCCAAGTTACCTCACCTTGTGCTGCCTTCATCCTTTCTGCTGGTCTGTTGCTGCTTTCAAGTCCCTCTCTTTCTCTCTCTCTGTCTATGTTAAAGAGGAAGAAGCGTTCTTGGTTGTTCAAAGCAAGGTCCGGTCATCAGCCTTGATGTGATTTTTGAAAAGTCAGATAATCCTGTTGTTGTTTAGGATTTTATTTTTAATAAATGAATATTCATAGCAAGTTGAGAGTGGGAGGGAAAGCTGGCAGATGAGCATTTCCGAAGAAGTTGTCCATGGCAGAAAAAGTTTAAAGGCTTCCTTTGCTAGATGTGATTTGTGACTCTCCCTCCCCTTTATCTGCTGTTAATTCTTAACATTTGTGTGTTTCTTTTTAGGTTGGCATACATCCCGTTAGTTTGACAGCGGCAGTAGGTTGTGTATCTGCTGCTGCTAGATTGCAATACAGTAGTCTTGAGCCTTAAGTACTGGGAGGAATGTCACAGGAGTCAACAACTTGTCGCCCCAGATTCACAAAGCCATATTGTAGTGAAGAGTGTATAATTTCAGTATTCCCGTTTCTTTTCTTCAGCCCTCGATAGAAGTATGTAGTCTATGCATTGTTTGAAATGGCATCCTACTTTTAAAGCTATGAAGCGTGTGTTTACCCCTCAGGAAAAGATAGAACTTTGTTTTTCACCACTACTATGTAACTCCACTTCCACACACAACTCGGGTTTTCTTTCCTCCTTACGAGAACTTCTTGTGCTGACTATATCACCAAGCTCAGCAGGTTTGGGTTTAATTTAAAGCGGCCGCTGCCATCACCTCCCATCCCGTGACTCCCAGATTCTGCACACCGATCCATCTGTAATGTTTTTCTGACCCTCGCGGTGTGGCTGTTGGTCCCCTGTCCTGTTGTTAGCATTGCGCCTGTCTTCTGTATTAATCACATCACCAAAAAGGAAAAAAAAGACATTTTTTCTCATTTTGTAATTGTAACGAAATAGTAGCTAAACTGCTTAATGGTTGGGGTTTTTTCACAATTTTCAACATTACTTAATGTTATGTTTTTGGTTCTGTTCTAGTTTAATTTCTTTTAAAAAGGAAAAACCCAATGCTATCATATCCCTCTGCATTAAGTGCTTTTCTATTTATAAGGTTGAAAATTCTGAATAACCCTCTTAGCGTTATAAAGGAAAAATCCACAAAAAAACACCTTGTATTTTGTAAATATTTCTTTTCCTGCTTCAAGCTGTGTAATGTCCTTGTTATATAGAAATGCTTTTCTTCAGAGAAGCTGATCTTTGTTTAATGTCTTGATTCTGTTGGCCAAAGCACAAATGTGTGCTTATAAAAAAAGATTAAAAAAATTAAAAAGTTAAGAAAACGTGCTAAATCTCATCTGTGGAACATAATGGGAGAAAAAAGCTGTCTGTACGAAATACCGTATTTCATTGTGTAATAGTCACCCTTTTATTCATCAAAAGGAGGGATTGTGACTATTGCACGAGGAAAAAAGGACTTTGAGTCTCTAGTTTCAATTTTAAAAAATAAAAAAATAAAATGCCTTATCTTCAAAAGAGGAGGAGGGGGAGGATGAACCAGCCTCAAAAAAACAGCTCTATTTCCGCTTGTTTTTTAAAACTGCAGAGCCATTTGGGGCTGAATCTCCCTCCGTCCTTTTCTCCATTCTTTGTTTTTCCAAAGGCAAGACAGTTTAAAAACTATCGGCCTTAGGTCTCTGAAGCTTCTCCTCTTCTTTCTCCGAAGCAAGGCAGTTTACATAATCTAGAATGGAGTTCTTTGGAGAAAGCAGGTAACGAGTGAGTTTTAGACCTCCATTTCAGGGTTTTTTCAGGGGTGCGACTATGATACAAGGAAAACAGTTGCACCTTCTGCGGTGGTGACTTTTACGCGATGAAATATTGTATTAGCAAATATGTTGAGAAAATAGTTGAAAATGACAATAAGCAAGAACTTGTTTGAGTGACTTGATTTTTTAAATTATGTTACTATTATTTCTTCTTGGAAATGGCAGTTAAAATTTCATACTCAAAGATGACATAACCCCCCCCCTCCCCCCGGTATGTAACAGAATAATATAGTTCAGTGGCGAGAGTCACGTGGTACTCCTGATGGTGGATCGCAATTCCCAGCATTCCTCATTCTTGCTTGGGCTGTTGAAACAGGCTGTTAACAACTGTGAGCCTTAATGATGACATTGCTGGTATGTATATAGAGCGGAATAATATATAGAGAGGATAAATGTCTGCATGCCTTTTCTGTAAAATGAGGCTTGGTTTACTGTGATTGTGTGCCACGTGTTTTAGCTTACTGCTACAGACCAAATATATAAAACTGGAGATGAGAAGCTAACTTTACCACAGAAATAAGATTATGGTCCTTCAAATATTAACAGATTGTATCTTCCAGCATTCCTTAAACACAGTGGCCATGGTAACTAGGGCTGGTTGAGATTCCATATAAACAACATATGGGTACGCACACACATGCTTCTCTAAAATAGCTGGAATAATGGGATTCAAGTTCCTGTGTCTAGAATGGCCTGACTTCTTTGCCACGTCAGTCTTCATCCCCTCCTTTCAACAAAGAACTAGTTAAATATTGTAGTAATGCCTTTTTTATTTCCAAATTCACTTTTACAGCAACAGTCAGTGTAAACCAGTTGTTAAAACACACAAGTACAATATGGACAGTCACAGACAGGTAGCTAAGCTAGGATGATCATACGGAGATCTCGTTCCCTTCCCACCCCCACCCCGTTTCCCACCCCCTGAAAAACTTTGAAAAGGGAATTGCAGGGTCTTCTAAACTCCATGTTTCCCTTTTTCGTACTTCCACGTTCCATATAACAAATCCCGTTATCTTTTTTTTCCTTTTGTAACTTCAAAACCAAGACTTTCAACTGTCAAGTTTAACACTTTTTCATACCCCTAGATATGTAAATTTATATACCAAGACAAGACATCAGCCAGTCAGTTTGACATGGACCTAGACTGAAACTCTCATGGGTCTAACCATCTGGAAAAGTGATGCCCCTTTTGTCCTAAAATGAGTTATAAAGAAAAGTAAAATCCAAGCTATGATTTAGGGAGACAGCTACATTTGGGTGGAGAAAATAATATGTCCTATGCTTCAAAATGGTGGAGGAAGTGAGCAATGAAAAAGGACTTGGGGGGGGGGGGGATAGTAAAGATAATTGTTTTGCATTTCTTTCATGCTGAAGAAAGCCTGTCATTTTATTTCAATCTATGCTGTATGCAATAACTGACAAGGGATAATGCAAGGGGTTTATTTCATGCCAAGCTGTAGCTTTATGTGAGTTGAATTGAGTCATAATGTCTAGGTTCTCGGTGGGGGAGTCTCTCGCATTCCACAATTTGTATAATGCTGGGTTTAAAAGAAAGCCACCTATTATTTCTGCATTTACTTTAGAATGGTAGGCAGTTTATACATCTTTAAATCATTAAAGATGACTAAACAATACCGAGTTCACTAACCCTTCAACCAGATCAGTATTTCCCATGTACCAGTGTAATATTCTATAAACTTGTGTTGTTCCTCTTCTGGCTTGCTGTTCTATCCCCTTTTTTGACATACCCTTTTTTTAAAATTAAAAAGTAAGTTTCTTTACCTTCAGACGTTCTGCTTGTAGAATCTGCACTTCTAGGAAATGACTGCCACTTTTAAGTAACCTCTTTATTAATACAGTGCCTATGATGGGCACGAGATTACTATTTTGAATCATTCTAAAAGAGCAAGTGAAGATACAAGTGGATGGCCATTTTTCACGTCACCTACTCCCCCAATGGGACTGGCTTAAAAAACAACATAAATAAATTGTCCAGCACTCCCTTTGGCATACTAGAAATGTGAATGAATGAACTTTTTGATTGCCTTTTGAGAATGGAGTAAGATATAAAGGATGCTGGGGCTGGTGGAACATCATATTCAGTGCTCATAAGTACTTTCTTAACATCATCTCCATCCTGTGCTCTTAGGCCAATGTAAAGACTCAGTAAGCTTTCTGGCCAGGCTCTAGGTTCTACTAGCAACTGTACTTTTGATATGCTTTCACAAAGCATGATACCCATTGCTTGGCAAAAAAAGGCAAGTCCAGGATGTGGGCACAGCCCTCTCCCAACCCAGAACAGCCACCACACTATTGCTAGAGTTAAAGGTTCTGCCAGAATCAAACAGGACCTCATCTGTTAGCATGTATGAAGCACGTATGAAGCCTTCCACTCCATGACAAAAAATGGAGCATCTATATGGAACTTCTTCACGCCTCCTGGCAATGCCTCATCATGTTTTGAACGCTAATAATGCAACATGATTAGTTGTTCTACCAGCCGTAGGAAGTCCATCTCTCATATCCACCTGCATCTGGATTTGTAAGCTCCATAGTACAGTCGGATGTATATTTTTCCCAGCAAAAATGCGTAGGATGCTTTTGATTTTATCTTTTAGCAATTTCCAAACATATTCGCGTATGGAAAAGAAGGGGGAGGAACAACTTGCTTTATTGTTCAAACTTCTGCTTCTTGTTGTGTGCCTTTAAGTCATTTCCAATTGACGACAACTGTAAGGTGAAGCAGTCATGGGAGTTTCTGAGGCTGAGAGTGTATTTACTCACTCAGAGTCACCCAGTGAGGTTAGTTAACCTAAATTGGCTACTTTTCCATACACAAAATACTTTTGTTCATATCAATATGTTTGTGATCGGTTTTAAATTTAAATAGGAGCATGCTTTCTTCAGTTTGGGGTTTTTAAATGTTTTTCCAGCAAAAGAGTGTATCCGGGGGGTGCCTGAAAGGTAGACATTGGGGAGAGAAAGGAAAAAAGGTAGGAATGGCAGTAGCTGAGGACGAAGTATATGTACTTGAAATTGAAAGGGTTTCAGTCCTCCTTAAGGGAGCCAACTGAAGGGTAGTTAGCTAGAATACATGGTTTGGGAAGAAACAGAATCAGCGCCTACTGGTGCCGCACCTTCTGAGCAACTGGGATGAGATGGCTTTGCAAAAAAGACAAGCACAGCCATCTCTTCCTTGCCCAACACCAAGGGATAGAAAAAAGAACAACAACTTGAGGAACTATTGTTGGGGCCCTAGTATTCAAAGAAACTTGTTACTTTTGTACCGTGTGCTTCTTTTTAGGGGGTTTCTTCCTCAGTAAGAGCAAGTGTGTGCAAGAGATTCGAGCGAGGGCTTTTAAACCTACTACCCACCCTGCTGGCTGCACTGTGGAAGAATGAGTTGAGACTACTTACACTATATCATGATGCGTACAACAGTGCAGCCTCCATGAGATACAGTCCAACCCCCCTCCCCCCCCGGTGAACTTATGGATGTGAGCCTTGTATCTTTTTACTATTTGTGGGATAGAAGCACTGGAGAACCTAGAGAGTTCCACATGTGTTTCCAGGAAGAAGTACCTTTTAGAGAATGGATAAGTGAAACCGTGGATACCTTATCTGTGATTTGGGGGGGGGGGGGKGGATCACACTGTATCTGAAATCTGTCTAAAGGTTTCTGAGGTACTACTACTAGTCCTTCAGGTGGTGAGGCAAGTGTACGTTGCCAGAATGGATGTAAACCCACATTGTGCTAAACAGATGCTYTGCCCAAGAAGTATCCTTCCTGCTATTTGCACGTACCTTAAATAAGTGCACCTGTCAATGGTAAAACAAGACGCCCTACAGCCACCCCCTCTACCTCACAAATTTCTCTACACACAGACACACACATCTTCCCCATGGAAACTATGAGAAATAGCCAGGCCTTTTTAGACTGAGCCCAAGGAGCAAAATGGCTACTTTACTACCCACTTGTTTTCCTCCCCACAAATCCGCCCCAAGTTGTTAGTTGAAGTAGATGATTTCCAATGCTGGCACGTGTGATATGTGCAAAGAGATTGGCACAGTAACATGAAATGGAAAATACTGGGTAGATATGCTGAAGGAGGCAAGCTAGGTGAGGGTGCACTAGAAACAATGATAGAGAAGGGAAGAAAGAGGTGGCAATAGTCGCTGTTACAAAAAATTAAAAGCAACGGGGTGAATTCAGACACATATTTAGTAAATACGTGTTTTTAACAAGTCTGTTCAAAGTAGGACTTTGTCTGGCACCAAACCTATGTCATTAGATTTTCAAGATTCATTTTTAAGGGAAAGAGAACACACAAGGTGGCAGGATGTTCTTCAGAATGCATCATTTGAAAAATAGTATAAGGGAGCAAAGAACTTGTAGGGTTAAAATGCTTTTTCACTTGATACCTTTCAATCACACGAAGTGTCTGACACTTGTGTGAGGTTAATGACTGTAGCCAAATTCCCAAAATGAGCACAAAGGTGTATGCATCCTTTGCAATTGAGCTTTTGGCTGCTCCCATCTCATTATTTCTGTGTGGTATCCCTTTTGCTCTTTCTATGCAAGTGAAATATGAAATACCATATTGCCTGGGTCATCCAACAGGTGTTCCACACTGAAAACTACATGTGTGAAATCTGACTTAGTCTAGCCGTCCACTGGCGCCCATCCCTCTCCCATTACTTGAAAGCAATGATTCTTGTAGAAGGTGGATAAGCAATCGCTATGTGGGAGACTCTATTTAAGGGGATGTGCTTAACTCACTACTATACATGCACATCGGCAGACACCATTCTTCTTTCTCAAGATAGATTATCTAAAGCAGCAAACGTTCACCTGGCAACCAATTACATTTCCTTTTGTTTAGGGGTGAGGACAGAAAGGATATGCTTCTCTAGACTGAGATCTTCAGAAATGGTGGGAAATTCTCTTTCCCATTTTGAAATCCTGAGGCCAGAGATGAAGGAGGAAATGGGGAAGGAGTGGGAGCAGGTTAAAAGAGTTAGCCCATTAAGTTAAGAAAGAAAGGAAGGGGGAGGGGGGGGATGCAGATGTAAAAAGGAACAGAGAAAGAAAGGCCGGAGTGGATTCTTTTCTTCTTATTCTCTCCACCCACTTAAACACAATCACAAGCCTTGCTTGGCCAGGGAAGCAGACACTTCGTCAGCCAATGTGGCCAGCTGTGGGGAGTCCACCATGTTGATGCTTCCGGTGGAGGAGACATTGCTAAGGCGCCGTGGGGAGGCATCACCAGAAACAGTGGGCGATTTGTAGACAATTTCAGCTCCATGGTCAGTCTTGGCTTTGGCGTTCTCACGGAAGGTCAGCTTGTGGCTCTCAATCTGGAATGAGATAAGGGGATAGATGAAGACAGTGAATGAAGGAAGGGAGTCGAGGCCCTCTCCCACCACTCACCCTGGCTATACCTTAGCTAGTGCTTGGCCAGTATGCCAAAGTTGTTCACTGTCCCTGCCTGCCTGACCAGTAAGGCAAGCATCAAAAGAGCGAGCCAGCAAAGCAGAATCCCAGTTCCTTCACCCCTTTGTCAGCCTCACATCATTTCCATAGGTTAGGGTTAGGAGAAGGGGTAAAGGACCCGAACTTCCCCCTCACTGGTTGGCCTTTGCCCTGCCTGCTTTCTTAGTCAAAGGAGATGTCTTTCCGTGGGCTGCACATGTTGTGCAGACCTGATTAGATTCATACTTCATTGAGACTAAGGGAAACAAATCCCTCCCCAAGGTAAAAACAACACTGCTTGTCTGCTATTGTAAAAGATTTGGTACTCACTTTGATCCAGAAATACTAAGTGATATATACCTTATACAGTACATAAGAAGCAAACTATATAGTGTTATCCTATGCTATCTTTGGACAAAAAAAGTCCACTTGCAGAAGAAGGTTCTCTTATGACTGGAATACCACGACGGGAAAAAAGATCTGAATCTGTCCAAATATGAAACAATTATCATAAAGCATAGGAAACCAGCATCCTTGAAATCTGGGCACTATGCCATATGAAAGACTTTTGAGACTTGACAGTTGTTTCCTAATGCATAAAAGGTGCCATATTTGTAAAGCAATTATGTAGATTCTATACTATAGATTGATTTTGTAGAATAAAAACATGACAAAGACCAACCTGATGTGTTCCCACCCCACACCCTCCAGGCTTTGGGCATCTGATTCCCTTCTTGCTCTCCCAAAGCTCATGACAACAGGTAACTACTTACTGGCATCACATGGGTGCAAGTCGGGGAGTGGGCTCTCCTCGGGGATGGAGGGCTCCGTGATGGGGGACGGAAGCCCAGTCTTATGGGGGCAGTTTTGTGCACCGTTCGTGTCTTCCTTGCCCTTCTCTCTCTGCATGTGGGTGGAGAAGGTCAGTGGGATGCAAAATAGCATCGTCAAATAAGATGACATGAAACCAAAAATCTTCAATGGGGAGGGAGGGACATATGGAATTGGAAGAGGACAGGAAATCAGAAAAAACAACTGCAGTGTGTAGAAGAAGCCACAGGAGCCAGAGATAGAGAATGTAAACACTGAGGAAAACACAGTAGGTAGCACTGATTTGACTCTGGAGCCCTACAACAGAGAGGTCTGATCATATCAAGCCCCATTCAGAGGATGCCTGCTGTGTATAGCTAATTTGCCCTCCTTGCTGATCTTGTCATGCTTGGAAGGAGTCAGAACACTTGAATGGTTCAATGCTCCTTTCAGTCTAGTCTACATAAACAAACTGTATATCATTTAAAAGAAGAGTATTTTCTATAAACAGCAGCAGCGGATGCTTAGACCTGTTTCTGTAGTCTGTATGATTGCAACTCTTCTGTACTGCTAGCCAGATTTAGTCATGATTAACTTAAAACTCATTTACTCCAGCAAGTATAATCCTTATAATGGGTCAGGGTTCCACCTACCACAATGATTGCTACAACTACTATCTTTCGAATAGCTTTGTCCTAACAGCTATAATCCCTTTTCTCTACATTTTAAAATTAAGATAAATCATGAAAACATCTCAGGAAATACAGTTTGTTGCTTGGGTATAACATTCAACAAATTTGACAAATTTACTTGTCTATTTGCCCAGTTTTGGATTCTGAAGGTAGCTACTGTTCACCTTGTCTGATGAAGGTAGACACACACAGCTACAGTAGGTTTGGCTAGAGTAGAATCTCAATCATCCCAGATCAATGCTTTATTGCATTGTTTACTGCAGCAGTGTGTCTACAGCAGTGTGATTCTAGTCTAACCAAACCTAGTGTAGCTGTGTGTGTCTACCTTCATCAGGCAAGGTGAACAGTTCTGCTCAAAAATGCCTTCAGCTAAACAGGGCTGAGCTAGCATTGAAAAAAAAAGAGTTCTTTGTCACAAGCTTTGTTAACTGAGATATGGTTGCAATACTAACATTTGAAATGTTGCAGTTTTAACTTCTCTCTGAAAAAAGTAATGGGAAGACAATTTTTGATTCCCCATCAATTAGATCTTCTTACTGCTATTACTTTTACTTATCTCCTAATTCTATTCTGGTTTTGTCTGCCACTGCCACTCCTCTTTCTTCTGGGGTGTACACACAACACTTTGTGGGACCAAAGTGATGCTTATGGCATCCTGGGCGGATCCAAAGGAACCATTTATGCTCACACTGCCTTGCCTGACTTTCCTTCTCAAATAACCTAGTAGAGCTCAACTGTGGCCTAGGGAATGCAAAGAGGACAGAGAAGAAGTGGAAAGAGGTGGAGGACGTTCAAGGCCAGAAACTGTGTGAATGTCATTGAGAGAAGGATAAGGAAGCAGAGAGGTTCTCCCATCAGAAGAAGCCAGTGCACTCACTGGAAGGAGCCAATGAGAGCCAGAAAGTTTCACAAGATTATTAAAATGAGATGTGTCTGAGAGGAAAGGGCTGAAATGCACGTGAGTAGAGCCTCCCTCCCCGAGACAGGCACAAAAATGAGGCAAATACACACAAAGAAAAAAGGATTACTTGTAGTCCTGAACCACTTTTTTAAAACCTAAGGGGCAGCTAGGACCCAACAGACTGATCAGGGATACCATCTCAGCACAACAATAACCCAAATAGTTGATGTTTTTAGCAATAGCATTACCAGGTCAAGCTTATCACAGCATAGGGATCCATATCACCGTCTGCTAACACATTGCTGCTGAAGATACAGTGGTTCCCAACCTTTGCTCCTCTGGGTATTTTGGACTTTTGCTCCCACAATTCCTAACAGCTGCTAAGCTGACTGGGATTTCTGGGAGTTGAAGTCCAAAACATCTGGAGGACCAAATATTGAGAACCACTGTGTTAAGAGTGACAAACTGAAAAGCTGCTAATCTGATTTTATGATTTAGGGACTTGTTGCTGCCAGGCCGAGCCTAGTCCAGTCCAAACTTAATGTAGCTGCTGAGCATATTTTGTGGACATCACTGGAGAGGAACTAGCTCTGACAGTTGGCCTAGCAGCAGAATGAGTAGGCCGGTTCAACACTATCTTCATGTGTAGAACCTACCAAGTCCTTGTACTTAAACCCAACAGAATGGGCTGTTTGACACATTGCCTCAGTAACCCAGCTTTAATACACGGGTAACATTTTAAACACAGCCTTGAAGAAGGATGGGAGCTTTGTGACATTTGAAAGAGCCTTCAGCTGAACCATGTAGTAATCCTTTAAGAACAGTAATAACAGACATTTCAAATCTGAAGCCAAGAAACAGAAAATCCCTTCTCTCCTCCGACTCAATTAGAAACATCTTAACCTAGTTTGTCTTACTTGGGGCATATACAGACGTACATAAAAGCAGGTGCAGACACGTATCTTTTCTAATGGGGTGAACTCAATTCCCCACTCCTTTGTACTGCAGACCAGCAGGCACACTCATCTCCATATTAGTTGCTGCTTCTCCAATCCAGTCATTGACATTTCTATATATATAGCACCAGAGTACATTTGTGTGATCAAAATAGGAGTTAAACTTACCTGATCAGGGATATCATCTCAGCACAACACCAGATTGAAAAACCTAACCCTCCTACATCTCCAAGAAGAAGGTGAACCAAATTAATACCCCTAGGTAGAGTGGGATTTCTGTCCCAGATTTTGCAAAAGCAAATCACAAGCCGCAAGAGAGTAATCTACCAATAAGCAGACTCCCATGAGGAAAAAAAAATGGGAAGAACATAAAAATCCACAAAAGAAGAAACTATGATGAATCAGAGTATAAATCAGAAAAGACCAAACAGGAGGAAAAGCATTGTATATCAAGGGTGTTTACACCTTTGAGGAGATCCAGGACGTAAATCCTGGCAGACAAGTTGAGAGTACACTTGCTTTCCCCCAGACTTTTCCCAAAACAATGTTCAACTTGGGGACAATGCAGCAGATGATGCAGTAGAGCAGGGGTCCACAAACATTTTAAGCAGAGGGCCAGGTCACAGTCCCTCAAACTGTTGGCGGGCCAGATTATGATTCGAAAAAAATACGAATGAATTCCTATGCACACTGCACATATCTTATTTATAGTGCAAAAAACATTTTAAAACAGTATAATAATTAAAATTAAGAATAATTTTCACAAATATAAACTTATTTGTATTTCAATGGAAAGTGTGGGCCTGCTTTTGGCTGATGAGATAGGATTGTTGTGCTTTCAAGTAGTTTCATACTTAGGTTGAACCTGAGCGAGGGCCGGGTAAATGACCTTGGTGGGCCGCATCCGGCCCCCGGGCCTCAATTTGAGGACCCCTGCAGTAGAGGAAATGCAGCACAGAATAGGTGAAGAAGCAGTACAGAAATATCTGGCTAATCTAAATTAATTCAAGTTCCCAGGGCAAGATGAACTACACCCAAGGGTAGAACTAGCAGAAGTAATTTCAGAACTAGTGGCAATCATCTTTGAGAATTTTTGGAAACCAGGAGAAGTTCCAGCAGACTGGAGAAATGTTGTCCCCATCTTCAAAAATGGGGAAAAAGAGGTGGATTGGGAATTGGTTAACTGACAAAACCCAAAGGTGCTTATCAATGGTCCCTCTTCATCATAGAGAAGTGACCGGTAGGGTGCCACAGGGGTCTATCCTGGGCTCAGTGGTTTTCAACATCTTTGGATGACGGAATAGGGGGAATGTTCATAAAATTTGCAGATGACAGAGGGCAGGATGTCCGTCTCTGGGGGTTGGGGCTCATCTCCATTTCTAAGCCGAAGAGCCAGCATTGTCCGTAGACACCTCCAAGGTCATGTGGCAGGCATGACTACAAGGAGCGCCGTTACCTTCCTGCCGGAGCGGTATCTATTGATCTACTCACATTTGCATGTTTTCGAACTGCTAGGTTGATAGAAAATGGGGCTGACAGCGGAAGCTCACGTCGCTCCCCGGATTTGAACCTGCAAATACTGGTTGCCTTTGATAGTTTTATTATTTATTATCCTTGACTGCTCTGGGTACATCTTCCACTTCCATAAAGAAGCCACCTAGAGGTAAGCTTTAGTTTGCACCTCTATGTCTGGTGCCCTGCTTTTGCAATGCTTCTGGATAACTGCTGTCATGCACTGAACAGACTGCCATAAGCCCTGTGTCTCCAATAAAGTTGTTGAGACATTTTCTTAATTATTTACTACCCTTGGGATGCAATTCCGCCATCCAACAAAGCATATAACTTTGATTAGTTCTGCCTTCTGAGAAAGTTCATATGATGCCTTTAAGAGAGAGAAAAGCACCACTTCAGTCTGTTATTTAAAGTATTCTGGAATCAAAGTAGTAGGACAAGGGATTGTGATGCCAAAATCACCAACTAAAGCATAATCAGCTTTGGCTTCAGCACAGGTAAACACCAGGACTGTGGCGCAGCTGGCTGAGTATCAGCTGTATTAAGATCACTTCCGACCAAAGGTCATGGGTTCAAAGCCAGCCTGGGTCAGAGTGAGCTTCCGACCAATTGTGCAGCTTGTTGTCGACCTTTGCGATTCGAAAGACAGTTGCATCTGTCAAGTAGGAAAATTAGGTACCACCTATGTGTGGGGAGGCTAATTTAATTAATTTTCACGGCCATAAAAAAGACTCCAGCAAAGCATGCGGGGAATGCGGAAGTACTCCATCAGCGTCGCAGATGGACGATGAAAGTAACAGCTCTCCTGGCGGCCAGAAAAGTTAAATAGCCTCTGACTGTCTGTCTATATCTGTTGTGTGTCTTTGGTATTGAATGTTTGCCATATATGTGTACATTGTAACCCGCTGAGTCCCCTGCGGGGTGAGAAGGGTGGAATAAAAATACTGTAAATAAATAAAAAAAAAATTCCAAACTCAGCCCTGGTACCTCTAACAACATGCCCTTGCTTTTAGGTACGTCTATATGCACCCTGGGTGCTCTTGGAAAACAGTTTTATTAGGAATGACAGTACCTTATTGAAGGAAGAAAAAACATTAGAAATATTCTTTTTGAAAAATTCCAGTCCACACTTCTTTCTTGGCTTATTTCAGCCATTATTTTGAGCAGCACCTGAGTTCCACATTATATGTAAACATTCATTTGAAGCCTGCTGAGCTCTCTTGCCTGAAAGGGTGAGTTCCACATGAGAGCTCCAACAGCTGATTTTGCAAAAAACATGTAATCCCTCAGGCAAGTATTTTTTTTCAGATCTATGTAGGGAACACTGATGAGCAAATGTTCAGGGTAGATTGGCAAACATAATCATTTTATTCAGCATCAGAGATGCGTGCAGGCAATGCACAGTGGAAACCAGGGATGTATAAGGAAAACTCAACTTTTAAAAAACTTTAAAATATTAACATATTACAGTCAGCCCTCCACATTCACCAGGGTTACGGGCTGAGGAGCTCTAAAAAGGTGGGAAAATGTGAATTAAAAAAAACAGTTTTAAAACCTGAGAGAACACGTCTCTAGAAATCTCTAGATCAGGCCTGCACAACTTGGCAGTTGTAAGGGGTCAAAATTAAATAAGCTAAACTTCTTAGGACCGAAGATAGGTTTTAGTGCCTCACTCCAGGTTTGTAATAGGGTACTTTCCCTCTGAGCAAGCAACAAAGCAGATTAGCCTCAATTTCCACACTTTCTCTCAGTGTGGTGGTGAGTTGCAGTCCTTTTCTAGGGAAAAGAAGTGCCTCAGCTCTTGCCTCCACTGCTCTTTCTTTCTCTTTGTCTCTGGGTTGTCGTCTCCTTCACCTATGGAAGGGGAAACCACCAACTCTGTACTATTCATTCCCCTCGCTTGTGAGTCATCAAAGTCATACTGTCTCAAAGGCTAAGCCACAATGCTGCAGAGTCTTACTGCTCACATTTCTTTTGGATCTAAAATATAACTTCCTAACTTAGCTTTGTTAGGAAGACTCACAACAACTTCATAGTAAAGCTATGTTTCTCCTTCACAATGAAGGGAAATGAATGGTCCAGACTTGGTGGTATTTCCCACCTGAGGAGAAGGAGACAACGGAAGCAACACAGAGGAAAAGAAAAAGGAAGAGTGCCATAGCCAAGTTTCTCCCTCACAAGCAAATGATACAAAATTGGCATTTTGCTGCCAAACAATAAGGAACCAACAGAGACAAAGAGAAAGGAAGAGTGGCAAAGGCAAGATCTGAGGTCCTTCTTCTTTACCGCTTTCTTCTCCTTTTAAAATGGCCAATCTAATGTTAAGTGGGTTGTTGTAGGTTTTTTTGGGCTATATGGCCATGTTCTATAGGAGAAATGCCTCTAGAACATGGCCATATAGCCCAAAAAAACTTACAACAACCCAGTGATTCCGGCCATGAAAGCCTTCGACAATACTAATGTTAAATGTTTTTTTTAATGATATTTATTGCAAGTTAAGTAAACACTAAAAACAGAAACAACACATCAAAAGAGAAGGAACAATATAAACAAAGAAAAGTAGGATTTTTTAAAAAAATTGAAGGGTAATTAAAAGAGAGAAAGAGAGAGAGAGAATTTTTAAAAAAAAATTAAAAAGAAGGGGAATTTTGTTATGGTTTCCATTCTTTTTCTTTACATCCATCTCCAATAATTTTAATTGTTAGGCTTTCTTTCCCAACTTTCGTCTATATTTTTAAATTCTTATTTTATATTACAGTTACATCTTCATATATTCTTCCAAGATTGATCAGTTTGTCATTTTCATACTTTTTCTGGTGTTTTTCTTTAATAAAAAGTCAATCTGTCCATATCCTTAATCTCTATTATTTTTTCTAACCAGACATCCTTCATCGGTATAATGTCCAATTTCCAAACTTTTGCATAGACTATTCTTGCTGCCGTTATCAAGTATGTAAAGATCTTCTCTTTGTTACTGATCTCAAATAGCTCAGTCTCGTACATCCCTAGTAATATTCCGGTTTCATTGGCCATTCTGCTCTTAAAATAGTTTGACACTCCTAATGTTAGATGTTAACATAACCTGGAGACCAAGAATCCAGGCTCCCTGAATAAAGCTCAGAACCTCTGTGGGCTGCACTAAATTATTGTGTGGGCTGCATTTGGCCCTTGTGCAGACCTGCTCTAGAGTCTCCTTCTTCTGGAAATTCACTATGGAATTACACTGAAGGATCCACAAGTGTCTATAAAAGTATTATCCATAGGAATCTTTGGGTTTTCCAATGAAGCTCTATAGCAGAAGTTGAACACAGAGTCATGTTGGAGGACCTAGAGGTTCCTAGAAAGAACATATTAATCAAATCCACAAATAATCAAATCTGCAGATGTGTAGACAGTTGGGGAGACAGAAATACAGAAATACAATCTAACCTAATCCTGCCTTAGTGTGCCTTTCCCTCCAACAGCAGGAGGCAGAACTTTACCTTTCTATTTCCTCCTCCAGGAATATGGGTGATGTTATCTAACGATCCAATTTTCGATTGCACTTTATCTTTGAAATCCAGCTTCTCAGATTTCACCTCCACCAGCCCACCGCCTAAGAAAGAAACACAGACAAGATTAGAAGGCACAACAATGAATAAAAACATTGCCTTTGGGGAAGGGGCAAGGATACCATTTGTTCTTTTAACACGTGTGTTCCCCTCATGCAAGTCACACATTTGGCCTCCTAAACTTCAGGAACTGAGGAAAAATAAACAATGCATTCTACAGCTATAAAAACAAAAATTAACACACAAAATGATTTTATTTCTTGTGCAAATTGATACATTAATCCATAAAGTTTGTGCAGTGTCTGAGTGTCCCCTCCTCTACAATCTGCAAACATGTTGTTTCTGCTGTTGCTGCTGGGTTGTGTGTGTGTGTGTATTGTACTGTTGATTCTGACTTATTGTTGCTTTATCCCCAGGTTTTCCTGGCAAGATTCCTCTAAACCTGAGAATATGTGACTAGTTCAATATTACCCAATGTGTTTTCCCTGGTCTCTCAAAGTCTTTGTCCAATCTAAACAACCACTACACTATGCTGCATCTCACAAACATGTGGCACACTTAGAATTGCACACACAAAACCAATTTTCTAGCAGAGCTCTTTAAAAGCAGAGGTATCTAGTACATGCCCAAGAATTTATTTATTTATTCTTTATTTGCCATATTTATATCCCGCCTTTCTCTACCCCAGGAAGGGGACGCAAGGTGGCTTACAATGACACATACACAGTGCCTCAAAACAACAAATTCACCTAAAAATATTTTACAACATATAAGACATGATTAAAATACATTCAAAGTTAAAAATGAAGTAAGGCTAAGGTATCAAGAAAATCATCCATGAGTGTCTTCCTACACAAGAGAGCATTTGGAGCTCTTTGTGTTGAAGGTACATATTGGGGAGGGGGGGATACATTCCTAACTATGGTTATGTAAACCCATAAATACAACTAATCACCACTGAATTACCTCACTTTTGGCCCCAGCATAGAATAGATACATGTTGGAGGATCTAGAGATTTGCTAGGTCCTCCATGGCACTCTGTAGTAACAACTGGGGAGAGGACACCACAGAATCTGACCAGGAGAAGCTAGTAGATTCGTATAGGTATCATTTTACTCACAGAAATGGGCAAGTAAAACTGCAGATATGTTATCTGTGGGTACAGTGGTCTTACTGTATGTGTGTGAATTATGAAGGATTTATTGATATTATTAATCAATTTAGTATATGGTCAATACCCTAGAAAAACACACAACTAAGCCATGATGGTTCTGCAGCCAGGCTTTTCTAGAGCAATGTTGTGAAATATGAAATGACCTTAATGTCCTACATCAACAGAGTCAGCATTTTCCAAACATATAGGCCTTCCCGTCTTGCTTCCCTTTCACAATCTCTACATTTAGCAAGACCATGTTCTAGAAGCATTCCCTCCTGATGTTTCACCTGTATCTATAGCAAGCATCCTCAGAGGTTGTGTGTACGTGCCATTGTAAGCTGCCTTGAGTCTCCCTGCTGGGGTAGAGGAAGGTGGGATATAAATATGGCAAAGACCTCACAACCTCTGAGGATGCTTGCCATAGATGCTTCTAGAACAGGGGCCCTCAAACTAAGGCCTGAGGGCCGGATACAGCCCTCCAAGGTCATTTACCCGGCCCTCGCTCAGGGTCAACCTAAGTCTGAAAAGACTTGAAAGCACACAACAACAACAACAACAACAACAATCCTATCTCATCAGCCAAAAACAGGCCCACACTTCCCACTGAAATACTAATAACTTTATATTTGTTAAAATTGTTTGTCACTTTAATTATTGTATTTTTTAAGTGTTTATGCACTACAAGTGAGATATGTGCAGTGTGCATAGGAATTCATTCATTTATTTATTTTCATATTATAATCCGGCCCTCCAACAGTTTGAGGGACTGTGATCTGGCCCTCTGTTTAAAAGGTTTGAGGACCTCTGTTCTAGAACATAGCAATACAGCCCGAAAAACCTATAACAACCCAGTGATTCCAGCCATGAAAGCCTTCGAAAATACAATATTATTATTTTTAAATAGACAACATAGGTTATGGTCACCTGGTTTATGATGAATATTATCCAAGGAACCACATTTGGATGTTATGTGGCTGAGATCCACAGGCTTGTAAACAATTTGTATCTGTAAGAACAAAATGGAAAAGTATAACACAATATTCGGGGTTGGTGTTTATTTGAATTATGACTAAGAGATGCAGAAAACAAGAGAGATGTGACACACTGGAACCCAGCTGGAGAAAGAAATGTAGCTGGAAAAGCTGTCAGAAAGGTTAATCAATCAAGCACAAGCAGAAGGGAAAAATTTCCACCAGAAACAGTGAGGCCAAAGCAAAGTCGCCCCGATAGATGAGCATGCACAGTCTCTTTCTTCAATAGATTAACATTTCAAGATTCAAAGTAACAATAATTAAAGCCAATTCCTTATTAAAATATATAGCCCAGGACTTCTAAATATGCATATTTAAATAGAAAAAATATACGTTCCCTGTCTTCTAATATATTTAGTACTTGAATCATACCCATTTCATTCTAGACCCATTTTATTCTACATCATTTCAGTATTTTTGACTTTCAATTTAAATACGGTACTTTAAGAATCTAATAATTTCAAAAGGAATCGGATAAGCTAGAATTTATTTCCTAGCTGGTAGAACTGTTAAATGAAAAAATTCTTGCAAGATCACCACATGTGCCTACAAGTGACATTGTCCTAATTGCATTTCCATAGCATGCACAAGCTCTTGATCACACCTCCAGAGGAAGAAGGTGGGAAAGCAGTGATCATTGAAGGTGCTTAAGTGAGAGTGGAATAGATAGGAAGGAGAAGGAGAGAAATAATTGAATAAAATACACTAGAGAGAAAATGTAAAAAAAAAAAAAAACAGAAGCAGAACTAAATACCTTTTCTGATGTAAAACATAAGGTTTATGTCCACAAACTGAAAGAACAGAAATAGTCAATGTGCATTGAAAGGGTTGCTTTTAAAATTATCATTATTATTATTTTAAAAAACTGTCGTGTCAGAACAAAGGTATCTGAAACAACAGAGGGGTTGTAACCATACTGTCATAAAGACTAATTCACCCAGAAACAAGACATGTTCTTAATGAACGCAATCACAGCAAGAATACTTCTGACAAAATGCCAGCAAATTGACTTTTTTGGACTCTTGTTATTATCAAAATAATTATTAATACCATCATGAACATTTGAATGGGTAGTACTCCTTCCTTGCTATGAATGATCAATTAAGAATAATTACCATCAGAGCATAAATGTGACACATTGAACCATTTCATTTAATTAATACAATACATTAGCAGGTGCATACATAAGAGGGTGAGAATACGATGACTGTTTTCTAAACACAGAATTCGTAAAACTTTGAATTAAAATGCAGGCTTACAACACAGATAAAAGCACAGAAAAAAGCAAAATTTGGATTACTGATTATAGATCACAATAAGCACTGATGATATTGCGGGAAGGAGTATGACTGGAGTAAAGACAAATGGGGTATTCTTCTTTGAACATGCATCCCCTGAAATCCATTCCTGTTATGAGATTCACTCCATAAAATCAACTGAGCAACAGGATACATTTCAACCTATGCAAACATTGGCAATGGTTACAGAGAGCACATGCCAAGATCCTCCATTACCAATACTTCTTGTATGCAACAGAGGCCTCTCTCAAACTCATTCCAATCAGATGGATCTGAACTTCTCCTCCCCTACCCTCATACCCCAGCTCCAAGATTTCAGCAGTTTTTTTCCAGTTACTATGAACTTTCACACTCTATCTTTATATCTGCAGGGAATACATTCTAAGATATCCCACAGATACCTGAAACCATGGATAATAACGAAGCTTATAATTTTACTATACTTGGGCCATACGCATATCACAGATCTAGAGAAGCACACTAGGAAGAAATAGGTTATTTTGACTATGGCTAAGTGAAATCATGGCTACTGAATACATGAATTAAGAGGGTCACACTAGATAATCATTTTTGGATTCTCAGCCAAAAAATGTCACAGTCCGTTAGACTACTGCTTCATATATCTGCTTTGAGGGACTAGCATTTCCACTACTCCAATGTTTCAGAACCTAATACCAAATAATAATAATAATAATAATAATAATAATAATTATTATTATTATTATTATTATTATTATTCCCTGCGTTTTCTCACTACAAACAAGACTCAAAAAGGCCTACTGGGTCCAATCGTTTCTTTTCACCTCCAGGATCTCCAGGTACTGGGAACAGATGGTTTGGGGACCAGCACTGGTCCATAAACAATTACTGATAGAACTACTTTAGGCTTTCCAGCCACTGAGAAAGGATCCAGGAATGAGCCAACTGAAGAAATTAAAATTAACAACTGTTAGGGACAGGGTAAATATCTTATAATCATAAAACTTTGACTTGAAAGGTATCCTGGGAGGTCATCTAGTTCAATCCCCTGCCAGTGAAGGCATCAACAGCTAAAGTAATGTTGCTGTTGTTGTTGTAGCAACGGCAGCAGTAGCAATAGTAGTAGTAGTAATAGCAGCACCCCTAACAAGTGGCTGTTTGGGTTTTGGTTAAAGAAATATCTTTAAATAGAGTATTCCATATTCTGAATCAGTCTGTTTCAATTCTCAAATAGCTCTTACCATCAAGTTTTTTCCAAGATTGAATTGGAATTTCCTCTTTTTATAATATTAATCCATTGGTTCAGATCTAATGTTCTGGGCAAAAAAAAAAACATTTTCACCCCCTCTTTCACACAAAAACTCTCCAGATATTTCAAGACAGCTCCCATTCCATCTTTCGGTTTCTCTAAATTAAACATAAATTATATCAACTGTTCTTCACAGTAGTCTCTACTAGACTGTTTACCATTTTGGTCACCTTCCTCTAAATATGTTCCAGTTTGTCAATATCCTTCTTAAAATTTTTGGTGTCTAGTGATGAAGCTAGCTACCATCAGATACAGATGCATAAAATGAATCAATATATGAGCAAAAATCTACTGAAAAATACTCTTTAGAAATGTGGATATGGTAACTGGGAGTGCAAAGGACAACAGGGTGCTTTTGTGGAATCAATCTGACAAGAATTTTTTATTCTTGACAGTGCTGACAGTGCTCCCAATGATGACAAGACCAGTGAGTACAAAATCCCACAGGTAGCAAAGGTGGATGCAGATATAATGTCAAGCAATCTATCATCGGAGACACTCGTGACCATGAAAAATTAAATGGAATTAAATTTGCAGTCATGACAGCAATCCCCCCTCTGCACAAAGATATCTCAGCAATGTCCGCTAAAATAGACAGCATTTCACACTTTACTACTATGGTCCTTCAACAAAGCACTGAAAAATACATACATACATATACATACATACATACATAAGTATACAAAGTAACTTCTGCTTACAGGATAAGCTCATGAAGCTTGAAAATCATAGCCACAGATGTAATTTCTACTGGGGGGGGAGTGTCTCTGAAGCTAGCAAAAGAAAATGGCATTTCTTTTCCAACAAGGAATATTGTACCTGCCGTATTAGAGCTCTAACCAGTATTAATGTTAGACAAACATTTCTATTGTCTTGCTTCCACTCCACGTTGTCAAGGCTTTCAATCTAATAGAATGACCTTATTTGATGGTAGCACTCACAAAACAAACAACAGGAGCTAAATTTATTCCATAAATACAAAGTCCCAGGTATTAATGGATACAAATAATTTGGCCTTTATCTTCAAAAGGGAAGCAAAACAAGGTTGCCCTTCTATCTTCCACACTGGTTGCATTGCCTATTGAACCGTTAGCAAACTAAATAAATGAAGTAACAGCCCAAAGAAACAAACATTTTGAAATTCATACCTGACATATTCCATTCCTGCATTATAATCTATTTTGTATATAAATTTTGTAGAAAAAAAATTCTATAGAAATTTTACTCTTCTATAAAGAGTAGAAGTGATGTTAGTAATTTAATTTTCTTTTACAATCCCTAGCCATTCAAATAATCTCTGCTATATATGAAGAGAGAACACTAGAAAATCTTATACTAAATTGAACTACAACATGGATTCTTCATAACATGACCTATAAAAGATAACACAATAGAAAGCACTGGTGATAGCAATCTCAAAAAAAGGCTGCTTTCCCAGCTTAACTATGTAATAATAATAATAATAATAATAATAATAATAATAATAATATATATATATATATATATATATATATATATATATATATCAGCCTGCCTTCACAGTATTTATTGGGTACCTAATCCATTCCAACGTGCAATCCTTTAAGACAGTGGTTCTCAACCTTTAGGTCCCCGGGTGTTTGGGCCTACAACTCCCAGAAATCCCAGCCAGTTTACCAGCTATTAGGATTTCTGGGATTTGAAGGCCCAAACATCTGGGGACCCATAGGTTGAGAACCACTGCTCTAAGGAGACTGACCTACTTTCTCATAAATTGCAAAATTTCTAACTCTGATAGTACATTTACACCAGTGGTTCCCAACTTTTTTTTGACCAGGGACTACTTTGACCAAGGACCACTCTCCAACATTAGTACCAAAAGGGTTACGAATCAGTTTTTGGTCAACTTTTGATTCGGTTTGGTTATTTGGGGTGCTGATTCAGAAAATTGCATTGGATATACCACATAAGCTCTAGTTTCTGATACAGAATACATGTCATCCTGTAGTCACTATCTGCTCGCCCACAGAAAACCATATTTAATAAGTCTCAGCACTATAAGAGGGTTTTGCGAGACCAGTCACTCTCGTTGCAACAGTGTAGTAAGGGTGAGGCTGCGGACCATATTTTTGTTCTTGCAGACCACTGGTGGTCCACAGACCACAGGTTGGGAACCACTGATTTACATGCATAACAACAGTACAATGCAAATATACTTTGGCTAATGAAGTTGATGAAAATTTTCACTATATGTCAGCAAACTTTTTATTGAAAATTAAACAGCATACAGACACAAAATGAAACAATCAGCGTATAAATGAGAAAATCATGAGTAAGAAAACAAAACTCTTTTGCACCTTTTAGAGACTACCCAATGATTCTTTGCAAAGTGTATCCAGAGAATAATTTTCCTACTTCTTTTATGATTTCTATTTTAGTGTCCAAAAATATCAATCTAGCTTTTCACATATTGAAGGTGTGTGCTCTCCCTTTCTCTCCGAGTTTTGCTGTTTAAATATCCTAAGTAAGAGACTTTGGAGGCAGATGCTGATTGATTTGTCTGTAGGAAGCTACAGCAGGATTGGCTACAGTGAAATCCCATTCTTTTCCACTCAAGCTTTATTGTATTGTATACTGAGGAAATATTGCTGCAAGTGAACACAGGATGTCTGTTATTCTCAAGCTTTCCTTGGATGGCCTAACAATATCAATAGTACTAAAAAAAAACCTTCCAGATAAACATTGCACAAAAATACATTTTTATGAGTTTTTGCTAGATACTATGCACATTGCTTTTCCACATGCCCTTCAGTAATTTCCCTGGAAGATTAGCACCTGCAACTTGGAGAAATCTGGATTTTGTACAGCCCATTTCTAGCACTCTTGATTATATAAACATGTACAATTATCCCTTGGTATCTGCTGTGGTTTGATTCAATATCATGATATAAAATGACATAATAAGAGAAAGTTATTGGAACCTTTTGGACATCCTAAAAATGAGCAGAAGTAAAAAATACGGGTTAAAGTATCAAAATGGAACACTCCCTCCAAAGGAATCAATACAGGAGGATTGAGGATATTCAGCAGTGATCAGGAATTATTAAATGTTGCATCTCAGTTGGAAAAAGACAACAAAGGAAAACAAGAGGGGTGGAGAGAGGGTAAGTGTTAACTGGCTTGCTTGAGCCCCTAACAGTTTACAGTGTCCTTGAGAAAGGCATGGAACTCTGGGTATTAGAAAATCTGCAACATTTTGGGACAGATTCTACCTGTATCTATTCTGGCTTCCTAACATCTTGATTCTATTAGATAGCCAACACTAAGCACCAATTCTGCATTCATAGTGTTTGCTAAAAGTAACCATAAATCCCTTAAAAATCGAACTATGAATCAGAAGTGATGTCAGTAGAGTTACTTGGCTTTATTTTCATATTGGGGCAGGTGGCAGAGAAACAGAAAATATAGTTTTTATATCTTTTCCAGTATAGAATACACAGTCAGCCCTTCACATTCGCTAGCACTAGGGGTGTACAGCCCCCACAAAAGTGGAAACCCATGAATACCTGACTGAGCACCTTTCTAGTAATCTCTAGGTATCCCAATATGGCTTTATGATTAACTTCTACTGGAAGTTGAGTTGAGCACTATTAAGAAAGCACCCAGTCAAAACAATTCCATTTCCAAACGGAGCTCTGAACACATCCCCATAGACAGACACTGCTGGAGGTTTAATCAAGCCATTTTTGACTGATGACAGGTTATTTCACTACACATCACCAATGGCTGAGCAGACAGCATTGGTGCTTTGGGGTTAATGCAGGTGACATGCCACTGATAAGTTAGATTATTACAGTGCATTGAATAGTGTGACAGTACTCACACTGCCTCCTCCTGGGGTATGTTTGATATTATCCTTTGATCCACATCTGGATTGGATATGGCTAAAATCCAGCTTCTTATCAATCACCTGAACCTTTAATAGCCAGAAAAAGAACACGAGTGACAACTGCTGACATCCACATATAAAATACAGAAGATGTAACTTCTCAAAAGAGGAACCACCATCTCAAGGGTCATCTGCAGGTTTACACCACTTTAACTGCAATGGCTCAATGATATGGAATTCTGTGAGTTGTAGTTTGGTGAAGCTTTAGCAGAGAAGACTAAAGATACTGTAAAACTACAATGCAGCATGTAAATTTTCATTCAGTCATGCCCAGTCAGTATGGAAAATGTATATCCACACCTTGGTTATTGTTTGCAGCATAAAGTGATCTTGAAATCTGAAATAATACCAAATAATACTGTCCAAGGTTTATTGGACAGAAAAGAGCACATACCAAGATTACACAATTTTGCCTCTTTCCCTGAAAGTTGACTTTCTCCAATTTGAGATAAATAGCGTTATGTTGTGGGGTATATGCTTTGTTCCATCTTCATTAGTGGCCACAATATAGCCAAATAGATAGGGGCAAAGAGGAATCCATTACAGTTGGCCTCATCTTCTTTTTTCAAATTGCCCAAAGCGTAAATGCAAGTGAGGAAGTTAGAATGGCTGCCACCTGATCATGCCCTCCCTATTTCCAGAAAACAGAACACACTGGGGTTCGAGCTCAGTAAAACTGGAAGAAGAATGATAATGTAATCTGATAAGTAATTCACTTTGTGCCTAAATGGGCATCTTGTATGGGCACAAAGGGATGAAGTACCACCTGTATTGCTCTGAATGAGAATTCATGGAATTCAACCTGTAATTTTCAAAATGTGTAAGAACATAGTATGTTTAAGATAGAATGAATTGCTAATAAATACCACTGACTGGAACAATCCAGCAGGAATGGTTTTAAAGCTGATTTTAAAATTTATACCAAAACTTTGATCTGAGGACTCTCATGTGAATATTCAAGCAAGAAAACACACACAAAAAACCTGGCCAAAAGAACGTTAGCCAGGAAAGTAATAATGAAGATCTGACAAGGTACAAATGGGCAAGGATAAGCTCCCAAACAAGTGTATCACTATAGGGTTGTTGTAGGTTTTTCAGGCTATATGGCCATGTTCTATTATTTATTATTTATTTATTATTTGCATTTGTTAACCGCCACTCTCAGCCCGAAGGCGACTCGTGGCGGTGTACAGAACATAGAACATAAAGACAACAGTTACAGTAAATTCCGGGCATAACACACAACTTACTAACACACAGCTAATTAAACTAAAAATCCGCTTCGTCTTGTTTGGGTCATAATCGATCTCATAATCCTAGTCCATTCCGGTGGTCATTCCAACGCATAGCACTTAATTGAAGGCCTTTTCGAAGAGCCAGGTTTTCAGGCCCTTGCGGAAGGCCAAGAGGGAAGGCGCCTGTCTAATTTCAGCAGGGAGGGAGTTCCACAGCCGAGGGGCCACCACCGAGAAGGCCCGCTCTCTAGTCCCCGCCAAGCGTGCCTGTGAGGCAGGCGGGACCGAGAGAAGGGCCTCCCCGGATGATCTCAAGGTCCTCGTGGGCTCGTAGGCCGAGATGCGGTACTCAAGGTATTTTGGGCCGGAACCGTTTAGGGCTTTGTAGGTTAGCACCAGCACCTTGAATTGGGCCCGGTAGCTGATCGGCAGCCAGTGGAGCTGGGACAGCAAGGGCGTTGTGCGCTCCCTGCGTCCCGCTCCGGTTAACAACATGGCTGCCGCGCGCTGGACTAGCTGGAGCTTCCGGGCCGTCTTCAAGGGCAGCCCCACGTAGAGAGCGTTGCAGTAGTCGAGGCGGGATGTGACCAAAGCGTGTACCACCGTGGCCAAGTCAGACTTCCCAAGATACGGGCGCAGCTGGCGCACAAGCCGAAGCTGTGCAAATGCTCCCCTGGTCACCGCTGAAACCTGGGGATCCAGGCTCAGCGATGAATCCAGGACCACACCCAAGCTGCGAACCTGGACCTTCAAGGGGAGTGCGACCCCATCCAGCACAGGCGTTAACCCTATACCCTGTTCGGCCTTGCGACTGACCAGGAGTACCTCTGTCTTGTCTGGATTCAATTTCAATTTGTTCGCCCTCATCCAGACCGTCACAGCGGCCAAGCACCGGTTCAGGACCTTGACAGCCTCCTTAGTAGCAGGTGGAAAGGAGTGACAGAGTTGGACATCATCTGCGTACAGATGACATCGCACCCCGAAACTCCGGATGATCTCACCCAGCGGCTTCATGTAGATGTTAAACAGCATGGGGGACAGAATGGAGCCCTGAGGGACCCCACAGGACAATGGCTGTGGGGCCAAGCAGGAGTCCCCCAGCAACACCTTCTGGGTACGACCCTCCAGGAAGGACTGGAGCCACTGCAGAACAGGTGCCCCCAAGGCCCATCCCTGCAAGGCGTCCCAGAAGAATACCGTGGTCGACGGTATCGAAGGCCGCTGAGAGATCCAGGAGCACCAACAGGGACACACTCCCCCTGTCTAGCTCCCGGCGGAGATCATCCACTAAGGCGACCAAGACCGTCTCGGTTCCATGTCCCGGTCTGAAACCAGACTGTGCCGGATCCAGATAATCCGTGTCTCTCAAGAATACCTGGAGTTGTGAGGCCACCACGCTTTCCATGACTTTGCCCAAAAAGGGAAGATTGGAAACAGGCCGAAAGTTGTCAAATTTAGTGGGGTCCAGTGATGGTTTTTTCAACAGCGTTTTATAGCTTGTTTTAAGCTGGCTGGAATTATGCCTTCCCGAAGGGAGGCATTAACCACCACCTTTACCCACTCAGCCAATCCCCCTCTGGCCTCCTTTAGAAGCCAGGATGGGCAGGGGTCTAGGATGCATGTGGTGGCTCATTCCTCCAAGTATCTTGTCCACATCCTCGGGTTTCACCAATTGAAATGAATCCATCAAAACTGGACAAGCAGGTGCTCGTGTTACATCCTCAGAGACTGCCATTAACATGGTATCCAGCCCAGAACGGATCAAAGCGACTTTGTCTGCAAAGAACCGAGCAAATGCTTCACAGCGCGTGTCCGAATTGTCAGGGCTCCCACCTAAAGTAGGGGGAGTTAAAAGACCTCTGACAATCCGAAACAACTCCGCCGGACGGTTTTTTGCAGACGCAATAATAGCCGCAAAGAAGGTTTTCTTTGCGGCTTTTATTGCCGCGGCATATGCCCTTAGAAAGGACACAAACCGTGCTCGATTTGGCTCGCTTGGGTCCGAGCGCCACACGCTCTCTAGTTCCCTCTTCCTTCGCTTCATCGCTGCCAGCTCCTCAGTGAACCAAGGAGCTGGTTTAGCTCGGTTACTTGAGAGGGGACGTTCCGGAGCGATCCTGTCAATTGCCCTGGTCATCTCCCCATTCCAGAGAGCGACCAAGGCCTCGACATGGTCACCTACCGAGGTGGCGGGAAAATCCCCAAGAGCTGTCAGGAATCCATTCGGATCCATAAGCCTCCTGGGGCGGACCATCTTAATGGGTCCTCCACCTTTGCGGAGGTTAGGGGGCAGTGAGCCTAAATCTGATCAGGAAGTGGTCGGTCCATGGCAACGGAGAGATGGACAACTCCTCCACACCGCCACCTTGCTCCCATCCCTGACAGAAAACCAAGTCCAATGTGTGTCCAGCACAGTGGGTGGGGCCAGTTATTTGTTGGGACAGCCCCATGGTTGCCATGGCAGACATGAAGTCCTGAGCCGCTCCTGTGAGGGTCGCCTCGGCATGGATGTTGAAGTCCCCCAGCACAAGAAGCCGTTGAGACTCCAACGCCAGGCTCGAGACCACCCCCGCTAGCTCAGGTAGGGAGACTGTAGTGCAGCGAGGTGGACGGTACACTAACAGAATCCCTATTCTGTCCCGGTCACCCACCCTCAGGTGGACGCATTCAAAATTTGTGGTCTGCGGGATGGGACTCCTGGTCAGATAGATGGAATCTCTATAGACCACTGCGACTCCGCCTCCCCGTCCTCCGGATCTCGGTTGATGCTGCACGGAGAAACCTGGAGGACAGAGCTGGGTGAGGTTCACCCCCCCCAGCTTCCTCCAACCAGGTCTCCGTGATGCACGCCAGATCTGCCCGCTCATCCAGGATTAAATCCTGGATAAAGGTCGTTTTTCCGTTGACAGATCTGGCGTTCAACAGCACCACCTTCAATCCAGAGGGCCCGCTCACCTGGTTACACCAATTTACCTTAGGAGACCGGTTTAGGGTTTGTTAATGTAGATAAGCGGTCCGAATTAGGCCAAATTTGAGGTCTCCTTTTTCCGCATCTCCCCCTCCCCACCACGACCTCTATGGGGGCCCCTCGGCTAGTGGAACACCTCCCCCCCTCCATGCCGCCGTCTAACGCCAAGATCTTGCTTTCTGCATTATTCGTCGCTTGATTTTCCGGTCTTTGCCAATCTCCCTTCTTCCCCACTACCCCCCTCCTCACCTCATTTTTATTTATAGGGTCCAACCCACCGCCCCCCTTGTCCTTCACACTGTACAATAGAAACCAGGATAACACACAGAGGGGGATGGGGGACCACATGGATGATACGATACAAGGCAATGTTGGATGTTCTAGCTACACCACTAGAATAGTTCATAAAGTGCACAATAAAGAGCTAGATCTAAGTGCAATCGCTAGTAGCTAGATCTAAAGTGCAACGCATCTAGAACATGGCGATATAGCCCGAAAAATCTACAACAACCCAGGGATTCCAGCCATGAAAGCCTTCGACAATACACTGTATCACTACACATATTAAGGCACCATCTGTGTAAAAATGCAGAAAAGGAGTGCTAAACAATTTACAATTGAATAATTGCCTATATGTAAGCCACCTTGAGTGCCCTCTGGGGTAGAGAAAGGCGGGATATAAATAGACTAAATAAATATCCTTCAAGAAAAAGGATACCAGATGTGTAATCCTCTCCTCAATATTGCTGGATTTTTAATCCATGAATTCTTTCAGTGATTTGGTTTGAGATTTGGTATCCAAGGCTTCATAGGGATTCCCCCAAACAGGCTTTCAAAAATATGCATAAATACATACACAAATACTGCCAATATATTTGTCTAGCTAACTGCGTCAGCTTTTCAATGCAATATGATTCAGCAATAGTATCACATAACAGGAGCAATTGTTTTACTATATGCATATTAAGCTTTCAATGGAGTTGAGTGTTTTGATTGCAGAGCTGTTACAAGTACCTCTGGAGAACAAGCTCTTAAATTTTTTCAGACCTCCTCAGTTAGAATTCATGCTAAATTATACAACTCCTTGGCCTTACAAATAATTAAATGCATTCCTGGACATTAAGCAAAAATGTATTGCCTGATTCAGAAATAACATGGAAGGAACAGGGATAGATTCCTCAATCACGGGAAAGAATAATAGTTCAACATGTGTCAGCAAACGTTTTATTCAAAATTAAACTATATACACACTTGAAATGAAACTTAGATGAGTAAGAAAACCATGAATAAGGAAACAAACATTTTGTATCTTCTAGAGATTATGGGATGGTTTCTTCCAAAATGTATTAAGGGATTCTTTATGGTTTTATTTAAATGGCCAAAAGTATAGATTTAGGCTTTTTCACACATTGAAGGTGTGTGCTCGCCCTTTCTCTCTATATTGTGCTTTTTTGCTTCATCTGTAGGCAGTTACAGCAGGAGTGGCTACAATGAAATCCCATTCTTTCTGTTTACTGCCAACACAAGATGCCAGTGCTTCTCAAGCCCTCCCTGAAGTGTCCTCCCAGTGACCCCCCATGGATATCAAAATCTGTAAATCCTTGTCCCATTATATGGCATAGTAAAATTGCATTTCTAACAGAAAATGGCAAAATCAAGGATTGCTTTTTTGGATTTTTCTTTTTGGGGGAGGCATTTTCAGGCTGTGGATAGTTGAAACCATGAATACAGAATCCATGGATACAAAGGGCTGACTATACTCCATGGTAGATTGCTTGTCACTCTCTAGGACAAGCGTTTCCAAACTATATGTCTCAACACATTACTGTGTCAGCTGCAGTGCTTAGGTGTGTCATGTGAACATAATCAGAAAACTCCGAGTTTATGTCAGTGGCTCTCAACCTGTGAGTCCCCAGGTGTTTTGGTCTAGAACTTCAAGAAATCTCAGCCAGTTTACCAGCTGTTAGGATTTCTGGGAGTTGAAGGCCATCTGGGACCACAGGTTGAGAACCACTGGTCTATGTCAAATAAGTAATAAATTATATATATTTAAAACATAGAAATGAAATGTTTTCATGACGTATGTCGTATCCCATATATTTTGCTATTACAATTTATGCACATATCTTTTCGTTTTTCCCTTTTTTAATCTTCCTTTTTTAAACTTTGTAATCTGTAAATACTCAATAAAGATTATGTATAAAAAATTATGTATATTTCTGTATCTCTTATAAGGGGTTGGTTTAACCTCTAATTTGCTGATAAAACTGAATTACTGTGTTGTGAAATGATGCAGGTTTGGAAAGCTCTGCTCTAGAGTGTAGACACATTGTGTATATGATAGCTTCCTGTTGGTTTGTTCACCCCCACTAACTTCCTGCACCACACTGACTTTAATTTGTTCCCTAGGAGTCTCATTTGCTTCTTTTCCCAGCTTGCCCTCCATGAAGCATATGAGATAGGGGCTTCTTTTAAGGAAATGGTCCAACTCTCCTGGCAGCATGAGGTACTCTTTCTTTTCTTATCTTTTTTTCAACAAGATAAACCTGTGCTGATTATGCAGTTATACATGAGTGAAATTACTTTTAGATTTTTTTTTTTTGGTTTGCAAGACTTTGTGTGTTAGGTGGAGTGGGCTGGTGAACTACTGTTCAACATCTGTCTAGCACATTACTGACTTTGTTTGAGACATCCAAGAGCTATTAAATGTTGCATCTCAGTTGGAAAAAGACAACAGAGGAAAACAAGTGGGGTGGAGAGAAGGGAAGTGTTAACTGGCTTGCTTGAGCCCCTAACAGTTTACAGTGTCCTTGAGGAAGGCATGGGACCATGAGACAGGAGAAACCTTTTAGAAGATCAGTATGTACTGCAACATTTTGGTACAAATTCCACCTGTCTTGATACTGGCTTCGGCTCTAAGAGTATATGAGATATCTAATACTAAGCACCAGCTCCTTCTTTACCTCATGTCCTACATCCATAACCCATGCTAAAAGTAACCTTAAAAGTCAAATTATGAAGCAGAATGGGTTATCCAAACAAAAAAGTACTTCAGTTAGTTGGTTTCATTTTCATAATTTATTTGGGGGCATACAACATGTGTTTCACTAAAGAATATATTTTACTTCTATACCTGGGATGTCGATCTCTTCCACCGAGCGCACAGCTTTGGGAGGGACACACAGGGAGCCGTGAGGGAGGAAGGGGACATCCACCTAGCCTGCCAGATCAGCCAAATCAACCCTGGTGATCAATGAGGTGACACATGTCATAGCCAGATCTCCCTCACATCCTTTCTGCTTTTTTGGTAGAGAATATACAGTCAGACCTCCACATCCACTGGGGTTAGAGGGCAGACCACCACGGAAGTGGAAAGCTGTGAATACTTATGAGAGCACTGTTCTAGAAATATTTAGGTCCTCCAGTGTAACTTTATGGTTGACTTCCATTGGACGTTGAGTTGGAAGTTGGAAGCTGACCACAGAATTTCATTGAAGGACCTAGAAATTTCTGGAGTCCATATTACTCTAATCCACAAGTAATCAAATCTGCAAACGTTATACAAGCAAATGTGAAAGGCTGACTGTACTCAGCTATGTCTGTATATAATAACCTTTTCAAGATACCCCCTAGACTGCATCACATTTTCCTTGACTTTCTACCTGTGAGACCCCACATGATCCTTTCTTTTCCTACCACCTGAGTCAGATGGTGTATTTTACCAGGATACCTTCGAAGCTCCCTGTTAAAGTAAGCACTATTAAGAAAGCACCCACTTAAAACAATCCCATTCCCAAAATGAGCTCTGAGCACATCCCCATAGACAGACACTGCTGGAGGTTTAATCAAGCCATTTTTGACTGATAGCAGGTTAATTCACTACACATCACCAATGGCTGAGCAGACAGCATTGGTGCTTTGGGGTTAATGCGGGTGTCATGCCACTGATAAGTTAGATTATTACAGTGCATTGAATGGTGTGACAGTACTCACACTGCCTCCTCCTGGGGTGTGTTTGATATTATCCTTTGATCCACATCTGGATTGGATATGGCTAAAATCCAGCTTCTTATCAATCACCTGAACCTTTAATAGCCAGAAAAAGAACACGAGTGACAACTGCTGACATCCACATATAAAATACAGAAGATGTAACTTCTCAAAAGAGGAACCACCATCTGAAGGGTCATCCGCAGTTTAACATCACTTTAACTGCAATGGCTCAATGCTATGTAATTATGTGAGTTATATTTTGGTGAACCGCCTGCATACTTTAGCAGGGAAGACTAAAGACACTGTAAAACTACAATGCAGCATGTGATTTTTTTTTATTCAGTCATGCCCAGTCAGTATTGGAAATGTATATCCATACATTATTGTTCACAGCACAAAGTGATCTTGAAATCTGAAATAATATCAAAAAGTTTATCAGACTGAAAAGGGACACATACCAAGATTTTAGTGTCATGGTTTCTAGAATTACATAATTTTGACTCTTTCCCAGAAAGCTGACTTTCTGCAATCCCAGAGAAATACTGTGGTTTGTGGGATGTGTGCTTTGTTCCATTTTCATTAGTGGCCACAACATAGCCAAATAGATAGGGGCAAAAAGGAATCCATTACAGTTGACCTCATCTTCTGTTTTTAAATTGCCCAGAGCTTAAATGGAAGTGAGGAGTTAGAATGGCTGCCACCTGATCACTACCCTCCCTATTTCCAAGAAGCTGCACACATTGGGGTTCGAGCTCAGTAAAACTGGGAGAAGAATGATAATGTCATCTGAGAAGTAATTCAGTTTGTGCCTAATTGGGCATCTTGTATGTACACAAAGTGATGAAGTACCACCTGTATTGCTCTGGATGAGAGGGGGTTACAGAAAGTAGAGGAGCCAGACAACAAGGCAGAAATTCATGGAATTCAATCTGTAACTTTCAAAATGCATTAGAACATAATACACATATATAGAAATACATAATACATAGAAAGAAAAATTGCTGGTATATGCCATTGACTAGAACAATCCAATAGGTATGGTTTTAAAGCTGATTTTTAAAATTGCACTAAAACTTTGATCTGAGGACTCTTGTGTGAATATTCAAAAATTATAGCACCCAAGCTGCAAAAAAAAAAAAAAAAAAAAAAAGCCAACCAAACAAAAACTCCCCAAACCTGATCAAATCGACATTAGCCAGGAAAGTAATAATGAAGATCTGACAAGATATGAAAGGGCAAGGATAAACTCACCCACCGAGTATATCACTATAGGGTTGTTGTAGGTTTTTTTGGGCTATATGGCCATGTTCTAGCATCTAGAACAGTGATTCTCAAACGGTGGGTCCCCAGGTGTTTTGGCCTACAACTCCCAGAAATCCCAGCCAGTTTACTAGCTGTTAGGATTTCTGGGAGTTGAAGGCCCAAACATCTGGGGACCCACAGGTTGAGAACCACTGATCTAGAACATGGCGATATAGCCCAAAAAATCTACAAACCAGTGATTCCAGCCATGAAAGCATTCGACAATACATTGTATCACTATACATATTAAAGCACCATCTGTGTAAAAATACAGAAAAGGAGTGCTAAACAATCTACAATTTGAGAATTGCACCTATTGTGTTATTGTGCCGCAAAATAATGCATGCCTAGAATCACAGAGTTGGAAGAGACCTCATGGGCCATCTAGTTCAACCCCCTGCCAAGAAGCAGGAAAATCACATTCAAATACCCCCTAAAAGGGGTGTAACCAACATGAACTGTTCGTAAAGCTTTGCTATAAAGCCTAATATATTTCTGGAATACCCTGCACTCAATTACTTTATATTCACACTTCCGAATAAGTTGTACTTAATTGCTTTGTAGATGCACTTTCAGCAGAATGGCAGAACACTAAAATATGCAAAGTGGGCTTTTTAATGGGCAGACACTGAGCCATCCTGAAAGAACAAGAATACCAGATGCGTAATCCCCTCCTCAATGTTGCTAGAGTGATCTGTTTTGAGATTTGGTATCCAAGGCTTCATAAGGATTCCCCCAAACAGGCTCTCAAAAATATGCATAAACACATACACAAAGACTGCCAATATATTTGTTTAGCTAACTGCATAGGCTTTTCAATGCAATATGATTCAGAAATAGTACCACACACCAGTAGCAGTAGTTTCATTATACGCGTATTAAGCTTTCGATGGAGTTGAGTGTTTTGATTGCAAACACTGTTGGAAATGTTCAACAGTAATAAGTACTTTTGGAGAATAGGCTACTGAATTTTATCAGGCCTTCTCAGTTAGAATTCATGCTAAATTATACAATCCCTTAACCTTACAAATAATTAAATGCATTCCTGGACATTAAGCAAAAATGTATTACCTGATTCAGAAATAACATGGAAGGAACAGAGATAGATTCCTCAATCACAGCAAAGAATAATAGTTCAACAAGTGTCAGCAAATGTTTTATTCAAAATTAAACTATAGACACACATGAACTGAAACTAAGATGAGTAAGAAAACCATGAATAAGGAAACAAACATTTTATATCTTCTAGAGATTACTGGATGGTTTCTTTAAAAATATATCAAAGGATTACATTTTTTTCCACCAGCTTTCTTATTTCTTAATAGTTTCTATTTTAATGGTCAGAAGTATATATGTAGACTTTTTCACATATTGAGCGTGCATGCTCGCCCCTTCTCTCTTTATTGTGCTTTTTGCTTCATCTCTAGGCAGTTATAGCAGGAGCGGCTACAATGAAATCCCATTCTTTCGCACCTCAAGCTTTATTTCTGTTTATTGCAGAAATGCTGCTGCAAGCTAACACACAATGCCAGTGCTTCTCAAGCCCTCCTTCAGTGTCCTCCCACACTCCCTGTGGATATAAAAATCTGTAGATCCTCATCCCATTATATGGCATAGTAAAATGGTATTCCTAACAGAAAATGGCAAAACCAAGGCTGCTTTTTTGGATTTTGGGGGGGATGAGGCATTTTCAGGCTGTGGACGGTTGAAACCGTGAATACAGAATCCATGGATACAAAGGGTTGACTATACTCCATGGTCATTAGATTGCTTGTCACTCTCTAGGACAAGAGTTTCCAAACTGTGTGTCGCGACACATTAGTGTGTCAGCTGCAGAGCTTAGGTGTGTCAGTGGTTTTCAACCTGTGGGTCCCCGGGTGTTTTGGACTACAACTCCCAGAAATCCCACCCAGTTTACCAGCTTTTAGGATTTCTGGGAGTTGAAGTCCAAAACATCTGGGGACCCACAGGTTGAGCACCACTGCCACAGACAGACACTGCTGGAAGTTTAATCAAGCCATTTTCAACTGATACAGGTTAATTCACCACACATCACCAATGGCTGAGCAGACAGAATTGGTGCTTTAGGGTTAATGCAGACGTAATGCCACTGACAATGTTAGAATATTATAGAGCATTGAATGGTGTGAAGGTACTCACACTGCCTCCTCCTGGGGTGTGTTTGATATTATCCTTGGATCCACACTTGGATTGGACATGGCTAAGGTCCAGCTTCTTATCAATCACTGGGACCTTTATAGCCAGAAAAAGAACACAAGTGACAAGCGTTGCCATCCATAAGTAAAATGCAAAAAAAGTAATGACTCAGAATAGGTGTACACCACCATCTTAAATGTGGTGTACACTGTAGAATTAATGCAATGGGACACCACTTTAATTGTCATATCTCAATGTGGTTTGATGAAAAAAAAGCTAAAGACATGGTAAAACTATAATGAAGCATATGGATATTTGTTTAGGCATGTCTAGTCACTATGGAAAAAACACATTGGTTATTGTTTGCATCATAAAGTGATCTTGAAATTTGAAATACGTAATACCAAACTTTCATTAGACAGAAAAGGGGCTCATACAAATTTTCAAGAGTAATAATTTCTAAAACAATCCAATTTTGGCTCTTCCCCTGAAAACTGAATGCAAAAGTGAAACTGGGGTTCTGCATATCTGAAAAAATTGCAATGTATGTGGCGGGGTACATGTTTCATTACATCTACATTAGTTGGCAACATAGCCATATAGGTAAGGTCAGCAGTAGCACTCGCTACAGTTGGACAAAGGAAACTCTAATGCAGTTGACCTCGTCTCTCTTTTTTTTAATTGCCCAGAGTTTAAATACAAATTAGAATTGCTTATGTCTGTCTTCTGTCTTTCAAAGGAGGTGTATTGTTAGGGTTTGAACTGAATAAAATTAGGAAAAGAATGGTCATGTCAGTTGAAAAGTAATCCCTTTGTGCCTAAGTGGGCATATTGTATGAGCACGAAGGGAGAAAAGTACCACCTGTGTTATTTTGGATGAGTGGGGATGACAGAAATTGTGACAGCCAGCCAAAAATGGAGAGAGGCCCTGCCGCTTATGAAATTTCATCTGTTATTTACAGAATGTATAAGAATATAATAAATTTAAAACAGAAATGATGAATGCCGTTGATTGGCACAATCCAAAAGGCATGGTTTTAAAACTGATTTTAAAATTTCATTAAAACTTTGGTTTGAGAACTTTTTTGTGAATATTTAAAAAAATAAAAACCACAAACTGCCAACTATTTTTAATAGCTAAAATCGCAACTGCTAAGAAAGTAATAATGAATATGTGCCAGTGTATGTATGTGCAAGGATAAGCTTCCACGCCCAGTATATCACGATTCTCATGAAGACCCTTGTCCAAAAATACAGAAAAGGAGTACTAAGGCAATATACATCTTGTGATTTTCGCCTATTATTTCATTATTTCCAAAAGATATGCATTCTGAGAGGCAACAAAATGAAAATACCCAAGGACAGCAATTTAATAACTTCATGTAAATATCCTGTACAAACTGAGTTAACAAAGTGGAGCAATTTCATATTAAACAGCTTGTGTGGAATATCCATAATTAATCTTCCTACTATCCACTGAAACCTGCTAAGCAAACTTCACTAATATCCATATGATCTACATTTGAATATACACACACAAAAGTAAATCATATGATTAATGAAGTTTGCTTAACTCTGCTAAATAGTGTTGTCCTGTTAACCTCTTTTGCAGTTTCCAGTGGTTCCTGCCTTTGCCCCATTGAGATGAATGGGATTGCACCAGAGGACATACTGTACTCTTGCTGACTGAAAAATACTATGAACTTTCTGCCCTGCAGACTGGCACAACAATCCTATGCAGACAATAAAAGGTGAATGTGCAGTGGAAAAGCCAAGAAATTTAAAATCCTACTAATTTTGCACTGGATAAAAATGCACACATGCACACCTTTTTATCTTTTTGCTGCCCCAGTTTAACCTTTCCATTTTCTTTCCTATTCTAGAAGAAGGGAAAATACCTATATGAGCTGTAGGGGTGATACTCCTGCATCTCATCGGTCTCTGGCATGCCTCTTTTTGCTGTCAACTACCATCAGATGTATATATTTATTTACATATTTAATTTATATGTTACCTTTCTTCCAGACAGAAGTCAAGGCAGACTGATGAAGCTACAGCAGCGGAAGTTGAACAAGAATGCTTTCAACAAAGGGCTTCCTATGGATGGGAAGACCTATAATGTTCGACTATTCCCAGAGACTCTCCTGGAGACTCCTAGGGAAGCTGCCATCAGTGTTCTTGTGCAGGAAGCCTCACAATAATGCTTTTAGCTTGGTATATTATCATGACATTCATAGTCTTTATATGAGAGTACAGAAAGCTACATTCCTTTGGCCCCAGAAAGGAATAAATCAACTTATAGAGCATAATGTATTTATGGAAACTCACCAATACGAACTACTTCATACTCAGACTTTAGTAGAAGGGCAGAACATTGAAACAGGCAAAGTGGGATTATTAATGAACGGATACTGGGACATCCTGCAAGAACAAGGATGCGGGATGTGTAACTCCCACCTCGATTTCCAATCCATGAATTCTTTAAGACTGATTTTGTCAGAGAAGCAAGGTATCCAAGTCTTCATAGGGATTCCCACAAATAGGCTCTCCAAGAATATACATGAATATATACACAAAGACCAGAAATACATTTGTCTAACTAACTGCATAGGCTTTTCAATGTGATACAATTCAGCAATAGTATCACACACCAGTAGTAATAGTTTCACTATATGTGTATTAAGCTTTCAACTGAGTTTAGTGTCTTGCTTGCAGAGCTGTTACAATTACCTATGGAGAACAAGTACTTAAATTTTATCAGATCTCCTCAGTTAAAATACTTCCAAAACTTCTTAACCTTACAGATAATTTGATGCATACCTGGACATTACTTCTTTAATCGAAAATTGTTAACAGATTCAGAAATAACATGGAAAGAACGGGGATAGATTCCTCAATCACAGCAAAGAAGAATAAGTCAACACATGTCAAGAAATGTTTTATTCAAAATTAAACAATATACACACGTGAAATGAAACAACTAGGAATATGAAATCCATGAGTAAGTAAACAAAAACATGATGTACCTTCTGGAGACTACTGGATGGCTTCTTCCAAAATGTATCCAGGGATGACCTTTTCTCTTATCAGCTTCCTTGTTTCTTTCTTATTTCTATTTTAGTGGCTCAAAGTATAGATCTACGCTTTATTGCATATTGAGGGTGTCTGCTCTCTCCTTTTCTGTGTTTAGCTATTTACATATACTCAAACAAAAACACTGGAGGCAGATGCTGCTTGCTTTGTCTGTAGGTAACTACAGTTATGGATGGTTGATATCATGAAAGAATCTATGGATAAGAAGGGCTGACTATACTCAATGGCAGCTAGATTGCAGGGGTTTAGGCACACCAAGTTTATGATAGCTCCCCACATGTGCGTATGTGTTTGTTTGTGTGTTTGTTTGTTCTCACCCACTCTCTTCCAGCATTACACTCCCTTTTCTTTGTTTTATGGGGTCTCATTTGCTTTGACAACCACTCTCTTCCCCTCCCTCTCCTCCATGAAGTATCTGAGTTAGGGGCTTCTTTAGTTAGGTGAAATGGTCTAGCTGTACTGGTAGCATGTAGTACTCTTTCTTTTCTTACCTTTATTCAAAAAGATGTACTTGGGATTACACACGTCTATGTGTAACTAAAATTACTTTTATATACCTTATAAAGAAGACTAATTTTGATTTATTTTTCTGTGTGCTGGGGGGGATTGGTCTGGTGAACTGTTCAACTTCTGCCTAGCGCATTAGGTATATTATTTGAGAGTTCTACGATAATCTCTCATATTTTCCAATAAAAGAAGCTACACAAAGGTTTTGTAAATTGATGTATGACTGTGTATATTCCTTCTAAATTTAAATCTGGAGCTGTTGCCTTAAAGATTTACATTTTTTTAAAAAAACCATAAACACATATTTTAAAAATCCAATACACAAGACAGACTTCTCCGCTGCAGTGAATAGCATGCATCTGCACAAATAGCTCTTACAATTACCTCACCCGACAGAACACAGAAATACTAACGTACAAGACCAAGCCAAACTAGTGATTTTTGCAGAAAATATTGCAAAGAGAGTAAATTACACATACAAGCTATATAGCTTCATGAAGATATGTAGCACTTGCTCTGAGTAAAGGCTATACACATTTTGTAGTGCATGCTAGGTAATATGTTTCTGATGTTTTTATATTGAATATGATGCAAAATTATCAGACATACAACTACATGTAAAAGCATCAAAATGGGACACACGCACCCAAAAGAACCAATACAGGAGGGTTGAGAATGTTCAGCAATCACCAAAAGCTATTAAATGTTGCATCTCAGTTGGGAAAAGACAACAGAGGAAAACAAGAGGGGCAGGGAGAGAGGAAGTGTTGACTGGCTTGCTTGAGCCCCTAACAGTTTACAGTGTCCTTGAGGAAGGCATGGGATCCTGAGCCACGAGAAACTTATTAGCAGATCCGTATGTACTGCAACATTTTGGTACAAATTCCACCTGTCTCGATCCTGGCTTCAGATTTATGATTCTATGAGATACCTAATTCTAAGCACCAGCTCCTTCCTTACATCCTGTTCTACATACATAACCCATGCTAAAAGTAACTCTAAAAGACAAAATATGAAGCAGAATGGGTTATCCAAACGAAAACTAGTTCAGTTAGTTGGTTTCACTTTCATAATTCATCTGGGGGCATTTATTTATTTATTTTGTCATGTCAGGAGCGACTTGAGAAACTGCAAGTCACTTCTGGTGTGAGAGAATTGGAGGCATATAACATGTGTTTCACTAAAGAATATAGTTTTACTTCTATATCTGGGACATTGTCCTCTTCCACCGAGCGCACAGCTTCGGGAGGGACACACAGGGAGTGGTGAAGGAGGAAGGGGACACCCACCTAGTCTGCCAGATCAGCCGAATCAACCCTGGCGATCTATGGGGTGACAGATATCACAACCAAATCATCCTCACATCCTTTCTGCCTTTTTTTGGTATAGAATATACAGTTAGACCTCCAAATTAACTAGGATTAGGGGGCAGACCACCAAGAAAGTGGAAAGCTGTGAATACTTATGAGAGCACTGTTCCAGAAATCTTTAGGTCCTCCAGTGTACCTTTATGGTTGACTTCCCCTGGAAGTTGAGTTGGAAGTTGGAAGCTGACCATTGAATTGCATTGGAGGACCTAGAAATTTCTGAAGTCCATACTACTCAAATCCATGAGTAATCAAATCTGCAAAAGTTATACAAGCAAATGTGGAAGGCTGACTGTACTCAGGTATGTTTGTAAATAATAACTTTTTCAAGATACCTCCTAGACTGCATCACCTTTTCCTTGACTTTCTACCTGTGAGACCCTACATGATCATTTCCTTTCCTACCACCTGAGTCAGATGGTGTATTTTACCAGTATACCTTCAAAGCTCCCTGTTAAAGTAAGCACTATTAAGAAAGCACCCGCTTAAAACAATCCCATTCCCAAACTGAGGCTCCAAGCACATTCCCATAGACAGACACTGCTGGAGGTTTAATCAAGCCATTTTCGACTGATAGCAGGTTAATTCACTACACATCACCAATGGCTGAGCAACAGCATTGGTGCTTTGGGGTTAATGCAGATGTCATGCCACTAATAATAAGTTAGATTATTATAGTGCATTGAATGGTGTGAAGGTACTCACACTGCCTCCTCCTGGGGTGTGTTTGATATTATCCTTTGATCCACACTTGGATTGGACATGGCTAAGGTCCAGCTTCTTATTAATCAACTGCACCTTTGGTAGCCAGAAAAAGAACACGAGTGACAACTGTTGCCATTCACAGATAAAATACAAAAGATGTAACTGCTCAAAATAGGGACCACTGTCATAAAGTTGACCCACACTATAGAATTAATGCAGTTTAACACCACTTTAACTGTTATGGCTCAATGCTATGGAAGTATTTGAATTGTGATTTGACGAAGAACCATCACACTTCAGCACAGAAGGCTAAAGACATGGTAAAACTACAATGCAGCATATGGATTTTAATTCAGTCATGCCCAGTCACTATAGGAAAAAAAATCATATATTGATTACTGAATGCATCATAAACTGGTCTTAAAATCTGAAATAATACCAAAACATTTATCAGGTTCAAAGAGGACATATACAAAGATACTACAGTTTTATTTTCTAGAACTACCCACTTTTGGCTCTTCTCCTGAAAGGTGAATGCACAGCAGTATATGTGGTGAGATTCGTGCTTCGTTCCATCTACGTTAGTTGACATGGCATAGCCACATGTACAGGGTCAGTATCAGCACCCATTACTCATCATTGTCTTCCCTCTTTCCAATAAGCTGCACATGTTGGAGTTTGACTCAATAAAATTGGAAGAAAAATGTTGCCTAAGTGGAGGAGTAATGTATGGGCACAAAAAGGAGGAAGTGCCACCTGTGTTATTCTGATGACTGGGGATGGCGGTAATAGTAGTAGCCAGCCAACAACGGAGAAATACGACTGCCACCTATGAAATTAAATTTAACTTTCAGAATGTATAAGATCAGAATAAATGTATTGTTTTAAAAAGTCATTTAAATTTTTTTTACTACAACTCTTTAATGCAAACATTCTTGAGTGAATATTTCAAAAATGCAGCCCACATGCAACAAACTTTTTTTTTAATATGCCATCTGCCAGGAAGGTAATAATGAAGATATGCCAAGATATGAATGTGCAAGGATGAGCTCATCCATCCATTGATACCCAGTCTGTCCAAAAATATAGAAAAGGAGTGCTAAGGTAATCTACACCTTGGGAATTTCACCTATTATTTCATTGTTTCCAAAATAGATGGATTTTGTGCATTCTGAGAAAAGCGAGAGGCTACAAAATGAAAAGACTAGAGGACAGCAATTTGATAACCTCATGTAAATGTTCTATAAAAACCAATCAAACAAATGTAGCAATTCCATATTAACAGCTTGTGTAGAACATAATTAAATATCCCTTAAGATACAATCCTATGCACTGTAATATGCTAAGCAAACTCCACTGATATCTGCATGCAACAATAAATCATATTGAGAGTAGTGGTTTTTGCTTAACCCTGCTAACTAGGATTATCCTGTTAATCTCTTTTGCAGTGTGCAATGGTTCTTGCCTTTGCCCCATTGAGATGTATGGGATTACACCAGAGTGCATACTATGCTGTTGTTGATTGAAAAGTACTATGAACTCTTTGCCCTTTTAAAGATAAAATCATAGCTGGAAGAGACCACAAAGGCCATCCAGTCCAAACTGCTGCCAAGCCGGAAAATACATTCAAAGCACTCCCGAAAGATTATACCCAGAAACCATACAAATTTGTTAAACGACTTTTCGCAGGAGTAAAAAGTAACTGCTCTGAAAAACTCATCAGGCAAGCAACAATACAGGAGCCTGTTTTATTATCCTAGGAATGGAGATAAAATTATTTACATTTCTCTACTCAAGTAGAAATTAATTCAAATCAAATTTCTGTTGTATGCATGGTTATATTGCTAGAAATAATTGAGATTGTTCTTGAGAAAAACGTGAAAATAATGAGTCAGAAAGGAAAGGAACAACACAAGCTGCTATGCTCAGTTTAGCTGCGTATCTGCAGTCTGGTAGAAAAAACCCATAGGGTCAAGGAAGAGCAAGTGTGTGATGGAAGAGCCAACAAATTCCAAGCCCTGCTAGGTCTGGGTCCCTACTAAACCTGGGCCCCTACTAGACCTGTGCATTCGGGACTTACCTTGATCCATTTTGTGTTCAGCTTTCAGTGGGGCCCCGATCCATTTTCATCTGTATATCCCGAAATCGGGAGGTCAGATATTTGTTTTTTGTTTCATTTTCATGTATATTATTTTTTGGGGGGGGCTTCACCCGTAGGCCCAAAACGCCCAGGCCTCAGGTGCAGGCTTTGGGCCTACGTATCCGGGCCTGGCAGGGCCTGCAGCCAAGCATTAAGCAGCACTCCTTACTCAGTGCTTGGCTGCAGGCCATGTGAGGCCTGGGTGCATAGGCACAATGTTTGCACCCGCAGGCCCAAGCAGTTTGGGCCTACGGTGCAGGCTTCCCGACCTACCTGCCCAGTTCTGGAGGGGCCTGCAGCCAAGCGCTGAGTAAGAAGTGCTCGGATGCAGGCCCTGTGAGACCCGGGTGCGTAGGCCCAAAGCCTGCACCCGTAGCCCAAAGCACCCAGGCCTATAGGTGCAGACTTTGGGCCTGCGTATCCAGGCCTGGCAGGGCCTGCAGCCAAGCACGGAGTAAGGAGCGCTCCTTACTCCGTGCTTGGCTGAAGGCCATGTGAGGTCTGGGTGCATCAGAACAAAGCCTACACCCGCCTGGGCGCTTTGTGTCTACAGGTGCAGGCAATTCAACAACATCCTTATCTTTCTCTTTCCCATTAGCATCTCCTCCAAACATTGCTGGTCAAAGACCAAGTGCAAGTATCTGAAACAGATCTGAGCAGAAAGGGGATTCCTACACCTAGGCTAAAATTAATCACCCAATTCCCTACTCAAATAAGCTATGTGAAAGCCTGGTGCATACAAATGAAATCTGAGCATAGTGTAATCTCAAAGATACCATTCCTCTTTTTTGAACACAATAGACTAAGATCAGAAACAGAAAAAAAAACCTCTCCAAAAATCAATTTAAGATGAAAAGGAATAAATGATAAGTCTACTCATTTTTTCACAGTGCAATGGTTATCATGTTGTGGGAAAGCCCCTTGTGATTGCAGGACAGCCAGGACAAAGGATGAAAGTTTCTGACTGGTACCAGGTTCACTTTCTACCCAGTGCTTTATATGTTGCAGCAGAGCTTTAACACTGCAGGAACCAGAAGTACAGTGCTATCAACAAAAGCTGTCACATAGCAACAGCAAGACTTCCTCCAAACCTTTGGACTTCCCCCTCATCCTGTCTCCTTTCCCAACTAGCTGGTTTCAAGAAAGACTTTGTATTACTCTGTTACAGTTAATTATAATACATATGTTGTGTTTGCATACCAATTAGCATATTTGTACACAGTAGAGGACTATAGAGATCCTTTGATTTAGATGCTCACATGCCAAAAAGATGGCTTCAGGGGGAGGAGGGACTGGAAAGTACACTAAATTTAGAAGGTGGCCACTGAAACACTGGTTCAAATTAAAGGGAGTTAGCACCTCGCCTAAACATTGGATAATGTTGAACATGTAAATATAAGATCTAGTGGACATACCTTTCCACCCCCAGGCTGATGCTTTAAATTCTCAGTGGAGCCAATCTTAGATTTGATGTTCTTCAGGTCTGGCATTGGGACAGGAGCTGTCTGCAAGCGAGTCTTGGCTGAAGCAGGAGATTTGGGTGGAGTGCGCACCACGGCCACCTTCTTGGGCTCCCTGTTTGGTGGGGTTGGCAGGGATGGGGTGCGGGACCGGCTGCCAGGGGTTCCTGGAGATCCAGGGCTGCTATAGCCACTTCTATCTCCAGACTTTACTTGTTCACCTATAATTGGAGAACAAGGCAGATATGTAGATCAAGGTAGCCTTTTCTCACCCATATAGAACAACTGTTGACAAAAGGATTCAACAGCAGTTAACTGCAATGTTTTGCCAACACTACTATATGATTGTAAAAGAAGATCACAACTATAAATGGCATATTTTCGGCACCCTGTGATCAACATAATTTTTAAATACTTTCTATGAAAAAGGGAACACACAAAGCTAAACATAGCTACCAGATATGTTAGCTTAATCCAACTATATTTTAATTATGAAATTGGTAAAGGTATGAGTCACGCAGCAAGGGAAACGGCATATACATCTCATAAATATGCTAGTAATCTGCATCCCTCTTCCTTGGTTCCTACTCACAGTAATGTGGCTCCTGCTCACTATCATCATTGTTTTATTAGTTACTGTATATACTCATGTATAAGTCTATCTCATGTATAATTCTAGGGCAGGTTTGGAGTCCAAATTTTTGATTTGACCTGTGGATAAGTTGAGAGTCATTCTGCATAGAGAGGAAAATATCAATGCTATATTTGTCGTTCTTTAGAGAGAGGAAATTCTGTAGAGAGAGGAAAACACCTCAGGGAGACAGCCACTCCTGGCAACCAGCATTTTCCTGTCCAGACATTCAAAAAGGTCAGAAACAAAGGGAGCAGAAGAAATTGGTTCTTTAAGGTTCTCCCAGGATGGACTAAGTTCTTGCCTATTGCCATTCTACACAGTGAAGGGTGGGGTTAATTTTTTAAATGATGTTTAAGGTATATTGGCCCATGGATCAGTTGTTCCAGTTAATTTTTCTGACAAAAATTTATAGATGCATGAATATATAGAACTGAAAGGAATAACAATTAAATGCTGGTTTAATTGAAATAGTGACTATGGTTAACCTTTGCTGGAAGTTGGGCATAGAATTGTGCTAGAGAGCCTACAAATACCTAGAGAAGTGTTTTCTCTAGGAATCTATAGATCCTCCAGCATGACTCCATGGTAAGCCTCCCCCAGAAGCTGACCATAGAGTTCCACTGGAGGCCCTAGAGATTCCCAGAGTGATAATATTAATCAAATACGTGGATAATCAAATCTGCAAGTGTTAACCCTGCTAATGGGTTGTACTGACTGTTCAGTAAATGATGAAGGATGTGTGCCATGTTCCGTATCACTTACCCACACAATCTTAAGATGGTTGTTATGTTCCGTATCCCTAACTTAACCTTAACCAGGGCAGTCCTGATTTCTTATTGAATGGGAGACCAGTAATTCATATCAGGTGCTGGGGACCATATTTCAAAGAAAAAAACTGGCAAAAGCATCTCTGAGTATTCTTTACCTTTAAAAACCCTATGAAATTGATGGGGTTGCCATAAATCAGTAGGTAACTTGATGGACCCACACATACATAGCATGTGAATATCATGGTAAATGAAATAGACGTCTGATGGATGTCCCATTGGAGGATGTAAAGATTTCCAGACTGATCATATTAATCTAATCTGTGGATAATCAAATCCACAAATATTAACCAGGCAAATGGGAAGGGCTGACTGTAAGATGTGTGTCATGTTCCCAATCCCTGATCTACAATCTGTAAGTAGCTTTGAAGAAAATAATGGTCAAATAAGAACTATGAAGCTCTTTGCCAGCTATTTACAGATAGACAATTCTGTCCACTGTAATAAGTGTTTTATTGGTGTGCTAGTTAGTTTAATAGTATGTTATGCCATATTTTATGGATTTGGTCTCACTTTATCATCTATTCTTCCAAAAGAGAAGTGGAATGGAAATTATTTTAATGCATAATATTTCATTCATTAGGAAGAGTGTCAATACAAATATCTGGAATGTGTAGAGTTTTAGACCTATGACAGAAAACTGTCTTAAATTTCTTTGAAATGAAAAGGAACAGAAAACATGCTGTTTTTATTTTGTTTTTACCTTTCTCAGATTTTGTGTTCGGGGGCCTCCTCTGCTCCTTCTTTGCCGCTGAAACATCAAAATTAATATTTCAGTGAACTATTTGTTGCTTATTTGTTCTTAGCAAAACAAGGTCACCTAGACAAGAATAAAATAATTCCCACATGCTGGAAATGTACAGAATTAACATACAGAGAACATTATTCTTATCTATACAATTCACTGCTGTGAAATTCATGACCTGTTCATGCACGTTCATGGAAAATGCAACTTAGGATTCGAAGGTGAAACAATATTATGTAAAATGTCTCCAGGAAGACTGCTCTTGATTCTCCAAACCAAAGGAGATTGTGCGGTTATTCCACAATTTCCTCATTTACATAATTTTTGGTGGCAAGAAAAAAGCATAGAAGCAGTAGTGGGAAAAGGCAAAATTGTTACAAATGTTGAGGTTCAGAACTTATGAAACATTCTGTATCTGAGGTAGATAATTATACAATAAAGATACTTTTGGTAGCCCCTATGTCACTTTCACTTAAGTCTCGCATCAGTTTCACTTGAGATAGGCAAAACTTTGCTAACTTTGAGGCTTTTTGTCTTGTGATCTCAGAGTATGTTTCTCTGAGATGATCATAGCTACAGCAAGCAAGAAAGAAATTATTCAGCTTTCTTTTGAGATATTAAAATCTTGACAACATTGTTTTTGTAAAAAATGGGAACACAGACTTGTACACATATGCAAGTAAAAGAAATCATAGAACTGGAAGAGATTACAAGGTCTGTCCAGTTGACCCCCTCTGGCATGGAGGAATAAAACAAATCAAAGCACTCCTGGCAGAGGACTATCCAGCCTCTGTTTAACCACCACCCCACCCCCCAGAGGAGACTCCACCACATGCTGAGGCAGTCTATTGTGCTGTCAAACAGCACTTACCATCTGGATGTATGTCCTAAAGGTTTTGGTGTAATCTTTTTTTCCCTGTAGTTTTAATCCATTCCTCTTTTGGCCCCATCTACCCTGACCTTTTAGGTCAGTAAGGGGTCAGACCAGTCTGTGGGCAGCTACAAAATGCCCACTGGCTGATCCAGTTTAACCGGGGAAAGCTACTAAATGAGGCTGCATCCCAGGTTTAAAAAAATATAGGGGAAAGCCCAAATTCTGAACCAGGATTTGGGCTTTCCCATGGGTTCCGGCAGTGCAGGTACCCAAGGTCAATTCCCATGCGGAACCTACTGTGGCCATCCCTACAGCCATCCCATGCTTCCTAAGTTCTGGCAGGGACGCAGAATGACTGTCCCCTCCCGCCTTCTCCCTGTACGTCACTTGCCAGTGACGGGAAGGAAAATGGAGTACCAGTAGGGCCTCTGTCCAACGATGTCAAACTGACTTTGGCACAGTTGGGCTGCAAGGACACTCTCAAGTCGCTGAGGTTGCTCAGGGTGTCCGTGTAAGGCCACGATGTGGACCAGAACCAGTGTTCTGCACAGTAGTTGCAGCCCACATTATTTGTCAGTGAAGAACTGCTCATTGTCTCCTGAGCACCAGAAAAAAAGGATCCCCTCTTTTTCAATATTTAAACTTGGCTATCATGTCATCTCTTACCCTTCTTTTCTACAAGCTAAACATACCAAGCACTTTAAAGAAATCTCGACAGGGCTTGACTTCTGGACCACAGCCCTACCCCACTAAGCCCCAAGCACTAAGTTTAGAATTTTGCATGTTGAATTGGAGGGATGAAAGGGGCTCTGTAATCACATTCAGCTGGCTAGTGGCCATAGTTACAAAGCTCCCATGAATGTAAATCCAATTTTAACACGGTTCTCAATCACATGAGCTCTATACCACACTTAGTTGAACATGGTCACAGAGTCATCTTTAGACACACTTCATGAAGATTTAACTTATTTCTGGATACTCAGAGATGTTGAGGGGTTGTGGCTTACATCCCCAACCCAAGTTGGAGTCCTGTGTGTGTTTAGGAAGGTGCCCAAACAGAGTTTGGAGCAACATAAAAGAAGCCTCTCCTCTTACCAAGGCTAGGGGGCGTCTTGGGAATGGTAGGAGTTTTAGCAGGGATCCGAGATGTACCAGCCGGGCTCTTCTGGTTTTGTGCCACAGGAGGGCGTGGAACAGCTATCTTGGTTGCATTTTTCATATCTGGACCCTGTTGACAGAATTCAGAAAGGGCAGGTTTGCAGTATTTATATTCATAACAAGAAAAGAACTGCAAACTGCTAATGATGAACTATTTCCTTGCATGCTTAAGTATTTTCATCCAAAGCTACAAAAACATTAAGTAATATTTAACTGCAGTTCTAATACTGGTTTGTAACCAGAACATGCATACAGGATTTTACCACATGCTTATTATGTGTATTGTATGAGGCTTGAATCGCACAAAATGCTTTTGTTGCCTAATCACATTTGATTTTAGAAAATCCTTCAAATATAAATTAGTGACTTCCATGGTGAATTACAGGGAAGAAAGAAAGGAACTTGTTAACTAAGAGCCAAGATAGCTAATGACTAATTTGAACAGACTTCAGATCAAACAGAGCATCTTCAGTATCTCAGCAGTGATATTTTACCACTGAATAACACCAGAAAAAACACCCTTGTTGTAACATTGTTCCATAGCCTCTGTTACACCCATAAACTGCATATGTACACACTTTTCATGTCTCTTTTAGACAGCAATTTTTTTTTTACATTTAGGTGTCATCCAGAAATAATGGGACTGTTATACAAATCCTTCAGCGTTACATGACCATAGTTTTGAGGATTTGGGAATGAGCATGATAAAAATGCATGTCTGACATATGGAAAACTTGAGCAATGACAACATATATATTGCCTTTTATTAATGTTATTTTAATATTATGTAGGATAACACCAAGAAAAGAACTATAAATATAACTACAAATAGAAATAAAGAATATTTTAATCAGAATACACAAGGGAAGTTTATATTGAGGCCTTTCATGTCACATTCGAGAGTACATGTGTGAATCACGTGACAGATGGTTACATTCAAAGTGAATGAGAGTTCACTGAACACAATTTATTTATTTATTTATTTGAGTATATACTGTATTTATTTATTTATTTATTTGAGCATATAGCGAGACAATTTAGCCAAGAAATTCAGTTATTACTCTGTGAAACTGTTATTGTGTTTTCTATGGCTGGGAGAGTGTGGCTTGCCCAGGATCACCCAATGAGTTTCCATGCCAAGTGATGATTTGAATCCTTGTCTCCAGATTCATAGTCCACCGCTCAAACCACTAAACAACCATGGTTCAGTTATGTATATCCACTATAACTATATTTATTTGTCCAAATTGTTGCTCTTAGGAAAATAGCCAAGTTAGTACAGGTTAGTTGAAAATGCACATATGGATCTAACAAAAGAAAGGAATTCAGATAAGAGCGATAATATGCCCCCATTTCTTCTCTCTGGCAACTTTTTAAATACCATTTCCTTACCTTGCCCCTTTTGTCTTTTGTTCCTGAATTGGTTGGTCGGGATGCAATAGATGAGATGTGTTTAGGGGTGGAAGCTGGTACTGAGGACACAATGGGACTGGAAGTTTTTTTCAAAGGGATAGAACTAACTGAGGAGTTTCGTTTAGGGGTAATGGAGGGTTTGTCTTTCAGGGTTTTGACACAGGAAGGTATGGAGGTCTTTAAAACAAGTAAACAAAATACAATTAAACCAAAGATCAACATGGGAAAGAAAAATAATAAAAATAATGCAAACAAACTGAAAGAAGATGAGCATTAAAGAAAAGTGGGATTCCCTAATAGTTCTAAACATGATAAAGGAAAGTTAGAACCCAATGCCCTTGTCCTTTTGAACTGTACTGATATAAAGTGGAATAGCAAAGCCTCATGCCAGACACCTTCCTCTTACAAGGATTAAATCACAAAATCGCAAAGTGATGCAAAATACATCAAATAAGCACTTAAAAGTAAAGATGCTTCCTGATATCAGATGTATTGTCTCTGTGGGGCTGATTGGCACCATGAAGTCATTTTGGTAGAGATCACAACAGCTACTCAAATCCTTTTTATCTTGAAATAAAAAGACCTAGAAAATAACCACAGGCCTTTGTTCTTTATTCTGTGACAGGCCCATAGATGAGGGGGGTGGGCTTGAGGGGCTTCAGCCCCCCCCCCCCAAATTCTCAGGGTGGTCCGCGAGAAGGCCTTAGTGGTACATTATTTAAACTGTTATGTTTATTCATATCATGATCTGATCACCATGCTCAGTATATCCCATATGCATGGGGGTATTGGGATAATACCAAAGGTTTGCTAGGATAGATCCTGAGCCCCCCCCCCCCCCCCGCCCCAATCAAACTCAGAAGGATTCCTTCTCTTTGAGTTTCCTATGAGTGCTGATTCAATCTGATATTCATATTACCCTCTCCTTAGACACTTAAATCACTCTTTATGCACTCCTGATTGAAATTTTTGATGTTAGCCACCTAGAGTCTCAATGCCAGTGGTTCCCAACCTTTTTTTGACCAGAGACAACTTGACCAGGGACCACTCTCCAACATTTGTACCAATGGATTAGAATCGATTTTTGGTCAACTTCAGACTTTGTTAGGTTATTTAGGGTGCTGATTCAGAAAATTGTATTGGATAGACCACATCAGCTCTAGTTTCTGATGCAGAACATATGCCATCCAGTAGTCGCCATCTGCTCACCCACAGAAAATCATATTTAATAATCTAGAGCTGATGCGGTCTATCTAATGCAATCAGTACCCCAAATAATCCCAGGAACAGGCCTGAAAATGAAGCCACCAAGATTTTTTTTTTTGTTTGGGTTGTGTTATTATTCGTAGTAGCAATGGTGAGGCCACAGACCATATTTTAGTTCGTGGGGACCACTGCTCTATACCGAGGAAAAGGCAAGATTTAAAATACAATAAAATAAAATAAAATAAATGTATAAATAAATTATAACAATGTGAAATGGGCTGTAGGGTTCAGAACATAGGGCAAATAATTACATTTACTAATTTTGTACAGAAACAAATAATAATAGAGTTGACACATGGCTTTCACTCACAGTGTTCCAAACATTGTTGAGATTTCCTCTAGGAAGTGAGGCTAAATATATATTAAAATGGCACATCTTTAGAAATGTAACCCACTAAAAGTCAACCAAAGCAGAAGAAAGTCAAATTGAAATGAAGTTTACAAAAGGAGTTGTCAAGTTCTAAAACAGTTATTAAAACATAGAGGAAAATGGTCTCTAGGGTATACTGGGGACACTATTTATTTTATTTTAAAGAATTTTTATTGAGTTCGCACATTGATGGGCTTTGATAAAACAGGAGAAAAATGTCCAATACTATCCAATAATTCAAAAGCCTTATTTCAAGGAGAGTCACATATTTTGAACTCCTAAACTGTACTAAAAGGTTTCTAAAGAGCTTGTTCTCCAAAGAAGCAAAATGTTTGAAGGCACAGTCAAGAATACAGAGAGGAAGTATACACTTATATCTGTGTTCCTATATTTGGTCTGCTTACCTTTGGTTTCAGTTCTTCATTTCCAGTCCCATTTTTGTTATCCATACGAGCTGATAAGAAACGGAAAGGATAGTTACACTGTGGTTTCTGGATGGGGTTTTCAAACTCCTGGAAATGGCAAACTGTCTAGGCTGCTACCAGATGAGATCACATCTAGAATTATCCATTAAAAAGTTTTATGTAAATTATCTGGTTCTCTCCCTTATGGATTTTTATTTTGATTGGTGACAAGGGGGTGGGGGATAAATCAGTGGTGAGAAAAAGATGAGATTGTCACCAATGGAGACAATGTCACTTGGGGCCCCCTTCCCATAAAGTTTCTTTTTGAGGCAGGGTAACTAGAATAAAAATCTTCAACTGGGAGCAGCCTTATGCTCTATCATATCACATGCAGCTCTCCCTTGCGCTTGTGTGAGCACGCTAATAGGAAAAGACTACTTTTCCTGGAACTATATTCTGCTTTGTAAAATTGCTCTCACTCTTTTGAGCCAAGCTGTAATGCAAATAATAATAATAAGCATGTTGTACCCAAGCCATCTTAAAGGGGGAAGGGAGTATCCAAAAAATACAGCCAGCTGTAGTGGGAAAGACAAAATACTGTGTGTTCCCACCCGACTGGTACTATTTCTGGCAGCTCCTCCAAGTGTTTTGTTTGAACCTCTGTTTGTAGTGTGATGTCAGGAACTGGCAGTGGCAAGACCAATGTGGCCTTTAAGTACTGGAATAACAAATCCCTTTCACAGCTCCTCGGGATTTCTCAAGATGAGATGAGCAAGAACTTCAGTGCTCTGGCAGCCTTCATTTAGTTCCCTAGAAAAGGAGCAAAGCAGGTATATGGCTTTCCATCTCATTGAACGAAATATTTTGTACATTCTCAAAACAAAGAGTTTTGTAGATTGCATAGCTGTGTTGGTCAAAAAAGAACAAAGAAGAATCTGAAGTATATAAAGTGCTTCAAAAGCAGACATCCTCCTACAGAAGGTCACTTTGCCCCCTTTAGGCCAAATCAGTTATCACAACATGTATAATTTTGTTCTAAGAACAAGCAAAATTTCAGAGATTTTACTCTTCTTTTGGAACTTCTTTTTAACTGTGAATGCCACACAACAGAAAAAAATACCCTTGTGCTCTTTACTTTAGAAGCAACCTATATCAGTTTCAGTGCCTTGTCCCATTTACTTCATAAATCCTTTATGATTAGGGTTGCAACTTGTTCGTCATTTTAAAGGATGTCCCTTCTGTAAGAACGAGGAAAATGGAACCATAAAAGACTGGCAGATATTGTTTATTTTCTTAAAAACAGAAAAAAATGTGTGTTTGGATAGGAAAATGAAAAGTTGCATTTTTCACATTGTGAAGTTCCCAGATTTTTATTATATTGTACACTTTTAAAAAAGGCAAGGGGGTTTTGCATCACCTTTGGGGGCTCATCTAATGGGTATTAAAATTTGAATTCACCCTGAGTTGATTTTGGGTTGTCTTGGCATTTCTCATTTTCGGTGAGTATCACTGTTGAAACTGGATTAATCTGGTTTTGATGCTTTTTTTTAGTAAAAGATGCTTTTTAGTGAAAATCTGGTTTGGATGCTTGAAACTCTGGAGTATCCCATGGCTTTGGGGCAGCGTGGACAGCAGGATCAGGTCAGATTTGCACTGGATCACTGTCCACATGGGACACCTCCACCATTTTCCTTTGCTCATTGCCTTCCTCCTTCTTCCTGGTCACATGGGCACCTCTGCTGATGTCAGCATGAGCACCTGAAACAGTCAGAAACTCACACAGAGCTCTGTAAGAGGTTGGGAGTAACAACAAACACTTAATGTGACAGTGCAGCAGGGCCAGTGCAATCTCGACACTGCTTGAACACGTAAACTCCAACCTTCTGTTGCAGTGTGAATGGCCACTTTCAGGGCCAGTTCGGAACATGTCTACTCCAAACTGGCTCTGGATTTACTGTTCAGTGTAGGCATGAACTAAGTGAAAAAAATTGGTAGCTAAACTTTCACAGATTTAAGTCTTTATGCCTTATGCTAATCTTATGTTACCAACTTTTGTAGGTTGGTAACAAAACATAAATAAGGTAAGCATTAGATGTGGTGGCACATTAAAAATGTAAGCCTGGCTGTGCTCCTTCATCAGGCGAAAGTTGGCAAATGCACCAGCCACAGACGGGCAATGGCTTCTCAACTAAGGCCTCATTCAGGAGACCTTCAAAACCTTGTAAATGAGGACAGGTGGGAAGCTGTGTCCTTTCATCAGGCTGAGGTTGGCATTGGCCAAATGGATGGGTGTGGCTTTCCCTGCTGAACAGCTGACGGGCATGGGGAAGTCATGCATTACATTTTACAACAAATCTTTGGCAATGACCAGCTTCAAAACTGAGGTGTGCATTACAACCAATGGGGCATTATACTCGAATAAATACAGAAATCCTTTTTAGTGCCTGTCTGCACAGAAGGATTTTTATACAAAAGTTCAAATTAACAGTCAGCATTGTTCAACACACCTGGGCTTGCTCTATAATAAAGTACACAACACTGGCATTATTCAAGAAAAAAATAGAACAAGGATTTCCACAAACAAATAAATGGGGTGAAAAAGCATGGGGTTTGGCATGAGTCAGAAGGAGGTATACATCTCTTGAAGAAATTACACTTCTATGGAGTTACATTACTCCACAGGAAAACTTAAACTGGATAGTCCAGTTCATAATATACATAGCTGCTTATGTGTAGCAAGTGTACTGTGACATTGTGCGCAGTCATTCATTAAAGACAACCTTTCAGAATATTGAGGTTCAAGTACAATGAGGTTCTTTCCTCATCTTGATATTTTTCATACATTGCAAGCCGGTTGCAAGTAAAAGCTAAACTTTCTCACTGAGTTCCCTCTAGACACTGCAATTTATTTATTTTTTACTTTTATACGTTTTGTTTTGTAGGTCTTCTTAAGGCAGAAAGTCAAAATATACATCTGAAAAGCAAACATCTGCAGAGATTATCACTTGAAAAACAACAGCTATGACAATTGTTCATTTGTTCTATATGCAGTGTGAACTCTATGCTGTCTCACATGGGACGGGAGGGATACCAAACTGGTTTGGCTGAAGAAAGCTGAGAGAGATTTTTAACTAAGCAGCCTCGGGACTGTCCATCCTACTTCTGCAGCCTGCTTTACAGCACTCAATTTTGAAGAGTGGTCCCTCTTTGTAACTGTTCCTGCAGCAATACTGTCCAAGAAAGTCCCAAAATTCTGGTTGTTTGATCTATATATTATTTTTAAAAAAGTAAATCTAGTAGTTTTAATCTCCAAGAAGTATTGTTCTATATAACTAATGGGTCTCCCCCATTCAAAACCAATCTATCCCAAAATACAATAGAGAGCAATACTTTAGGTAGCTCATAACCATACACTGATGCTGAGAAAATACAGTGTCTCTCTGAGTACTATGAGGATTGCAACTAGAATGAGAGGAAATAGCAGAGTTGGTGACAGATCATGTCATAATGCTTGCTCATCAAGTCTCTGGAGTTCAGCATTCGAATCCTGGTATCTGATTCTTTGACTAAAATTTATAGGTAGTGTTTTCTATTTAGGCTAGGAGTTGAGGCCTAAATTCAGATTTCATATAACCAAAGCATTCTGTCTACCAGTCCTTCCTTTAACTGTATTTGTTCCGTATTTTAATCCTGTCCTATCTCCAAGGATTTCCGGGTATCACATGTGATTTTATTCTGATGACCTGGCTTTTGTAATTGTATGATATTGTATGATCTGTATTTTAATGTATTTTGTATTAATGTATTATGATGCTATTATGTTTACTATATTTGTGTTGAATTTTCTGTTGTTAGCCGGCCTGAGTCCCTCCCTTTCGGAGGTTGAGAAGACCGGGCTATAAAAGCTCTAAACAAACAAACAAACAAACAAACAAACAAATATTTTATGCATTTATATAAGCCAGCATACAATTTTGTCAAACTCCATAGTATCATAGTTTCTTTGTCTAAAACTGGGCATTGTTGTAGTTGTGTACCTTCACGTAATTTCCAACTTATGTTGACCCTAACATGAACCTATTTGTGAGATTTTTCTTTGCAGAATTTGTTCACAGATGGCTTGTCTTTGCCTTCTTCTGAGGCTGAAAGAATGTGACTTGACCAAGTCACACTGTGCTTTTCCATGGTCAAGTAGGGAATTGAACTACAGTCATAATCCAATGCTCAAACCACTATAATACGCTGGCTCACCTGTGTAAGCATACCCTAGCAAAATGAATTAGGTTAGTTTTCCCCTCCTCAATATGGCATCCTTTCAAATAATTAAACACAACTAGCAAGTCCCCCCCTAACCTTCTTTTTTCTAAGCTAAACATATTCAGCTCTGTAAGCCATTCTTCATAGGACTTGGCTTCCAGGCCTTTCTACCATTTTGCTCATCCTTCTCTGGACATGTTCCAGCTTGCCAGTATTTTTCTTGAATTGTAGGGACCAGAACTGGATACAGTGTTATTCCAGGTGATGTCTGACCAACGCAGAAGAGAGTGATACTATTATTCATTTACTCTAGAAGTTGACATATAACATATAAATATCCCTTTGGTTTCTTCTAGGCTTTAGGTGTCTTCTTATGGTTAGGATGCAAAAAAACTCTTGGACTCCTTCTTGTCCTTTCTGTCCAATTCTCTGATGCTGACAGAATGGCCATTTCATCTGATTTAATCAGAGGTATAAATGCTAAAGAAGTTCCCAATAAAGGGTTCTTGCTTAACAATGCTTCAGATGAAGCAAAGGGATAAGTGAAAACTGACAGTGATTTCTCCCCTTTGAGTTCTTTGAGATGATCAGGATTTAAAGTTGTCACAATCTCTCTTTGTAAAATATGGACACTTCTGGCATGTTTCATCAGCATTCCCTCACATGATCATGTCCAACAGACAACAGAATCTTTCTCCTCTAGAGATCTTGCTTTAACCAGGCCTTCATGCCATTCATGAGCAGTATTCACTAGCAGCACAGCTGAAGCCAGGGAGCACTCAAAATTGTATCTGTATGTGCCTTCAAGTAACATGTCAACTTATAAAAACCTCATTAATTTCACAGGATTTTCTTAGACAAGAAATATTCAGATGTGATTTGTCAGTTTCTTCCTGAAATATAAGTTAAAATACTTGGAATTAATTGGCGATCTCCTATCAAAGTACTAACCAAGGATGATTCCGCTTAGCTTCCAAGTCCAGACAGGATCTGGCTCTTTCAGGATATTTAGAAGTACCAAACTAAAATCATGAAGCAAAATAAAAAGATAAATCTAAGAATCCTAGATTCTCACTCAACTGTCAGAAATTCTTTTTTTAAGTAATCTTTATTGAGTTTTACAAAGTGAGTTTATAAAATTGATGGTTTCAAAATGCAAGGAAAACAAAAGAAAAAAACAAGACAAAAAAAGAGAGAGAGGGTGAGAGGGGGTGAATGGGTTTTTGAACTTCCACTCTTCTCTATAATGGTATTCAAGAGAGAAAGTAAGAAAATTTTGCCAGGATGTTCCTTTTCCTATTTTCTATTGTCAGTAGTTTTCTGGATTTTTAAATTATTCAATTAAATTATTATTATTATTCTTTTTTTTCTTCCTTTTTTAATCTGTTCATATTAATATCTTGATATTGTTTTCTTTTATCCATCCCTTGACAGGGGTCCAGTTGGTTACTTTAATATGCGTATTTCGTGATCTTGCTAGTATATATGTCAGGTGGTCCATATTCATGATGTCTAGTCTCTTTTCCATCCACTCTTCCTTTGTTGGTATTGTTTTTTGTCTCCAGACTCTCGCTAATAGGATCCGGGCTGCTGTTATTAAATAGACAAATAATTTATCCGTGTCTTATCCCACTCACTATTGGTTAATCCTAAGAGATTCTTAATGTAATTAATAATTGGAATAGAGGGAAGAGGAAGTTTTTCAGACTTTATAAAATTAGCAAAATATTAGGCTCTGTCAACAACAGACAAAGGCAATAGCAAGGGTCACTATAGCTCATAATTTCCCACCTGTTCCAGAGTCCATTCTGAGATCATGTTGGATGTCATTCTGGTAGGGGAGCTCTGTCTGCACATTCTTTCAGTGAATGGGGAAATAGCCTGTGCAGTAGTGTAGTGTATATCTCCACACACAAATGTTTAATCAATACATCTCCAAGCATAATAAGGAATTATGCTGATATGACATCCCAAGAGAATTCTGACCAATGTCTCCTATGTGTCCAAGCTTCATTATTGTAACTTATTTCATTTATTAATTCATTATTTTAAAACCCCACATCCAATATAAGGTATATTCTAAAACGAGGTAGAGCATCTCTCATCTGAAATACGGTATTCCCAAATCCTAAACTGCCCACATGGGTGGCTCAGAAAGTGATACTTTTGCTTCCTGATGGTCCACATACACAAACTTAGTTTCATAGATTATAAAAATACTTTCAAGCTATGTGTACAATATGCATATTGAACAAAAATGAATTTAATGTTTAGACTTGGGTCCCATCTCCAAGATATTTTGTCAAATGTGTCTATGCAAACATTGGTATTTCAAAATAAAATCAGCAAGAAAAGGATAAATCCCACACTATACAATTTGGGGATGGAGAATGGTCAAGAAGAGTAGCAGAATACATGCAAGGAAACCATGCATCTAGTGCTTGAACCCACTCTCAACATCTAAATGAAGAAGCAGCAAAAGCAGCACCACATGAGCTTTTTTTCTCTTCTCGGTTTATCAGTTGAAGCAGAAAGCAAGTAGGATTCAGAGGGAGTTGTGCAAACTCATTTAATGTTTTTAGCAGCACTTTGCCTTCTTTAAGCAAAATAGCTCATTTCCACGCACGCACCTTTCAGAAGTGGCAACCGACTGCTCTGTTTCTCTGATATACCACTTGCAGTTTTCTTTCCAAAAGTGTTTTCCAAATCTGAGATCTGTGCCGTATCCACTGTCTCCCCTTCCAAAGATATGTGGTCGTCTGATAGCTTGCCTACTTCTACCATAGGTTCAAAGCATTTGCTTTCCTTATGTACATTAGCTTCAACTTCAACTTGGTAAAATGACTCAGTGGGATCCTTTTCCGAAATGGCACTTCCTTCTTCTGGTACAAATGGCTTTTTCCCGTCCATGGTATCTTGTTGAGCTGCTTCATCAATGTCCCTGTCTTCATCCTTTCCCTGCCCAAAGACATCTTCTTTCAAAACACCTCTGAAGTAGAGGGAGCCATCAGCTGTTGAAAAATATGCTTTGTGAGCATTCCCTGATTACCAAAGTAAGCAGGGAATATCTCCTGGTAGTCCCAATCCTCTTTTTAAAGATACATCACCTGTTTACAAAATCCTGTACCCACGTTTAAGATGCTGGAAGCATATGGCCTCCAGTGACCACTTTTGCCAATGAGGTCACATAAATTCATTATGAATTCTGAAGACAGCCTCCTCAGCTACACAGAACCCTCTGTACCCATCTGGCATCTTTTGCATAGTAGCTATGGAAGACTGTTCCTTTAGCTTTGTCTACAGAGTTTTCATGACAAAGTAAAGAAAACACTACTTTTATATCTCTAGTCTGTGAATGTTCCACATAAGAGGAAAAGTCAGTGGCATCTTAAGGCTGCTATGTTCTGCTTTAGATATTTTATAACCTCCCAGGAAATCTAAATTTGTGGCAATATGTTTTGAATCTTTCATTTCAATCTTGGCTACAGTAATGGGATGTTCAGCTGCTTTGACTTTAATAAGAAGCATATTAAGGATGGCAGTATATTAATATGTATACATCAACATGAAATGATTTTGGAATGCTTACAAAACATGTGAGAGGATTATTAAAGAAGCAAAAAGTAGTAGCACAGCACCATTTGCTGGGGGGGGGGGGGGGGGAAATCCAAATTTGATGTGCCCAACTGCACTTCTCAAGATACTGGAACACAGACTCAAGAATTTATCTTATCACAAGGGACATCAAGGTGTTTCAGAGTAACAAAGACCAATACCCAAAGTATCCATAAAGCTAATGCCCTTTGATTACTACTAATATATATCTATATAAAACACTTGTATGGTTACAATCTTATCAGATAGGCAAACTGACTTGGCGTGTTGGAACAGAATGTCTCTGATTATAGTGAGAGCTAATAGAAGATAGTCTAGGATAAACAAAACATTTATAGATCTCCAAAATGAAACTATGGCCTCTTCCATGCAGCTGGGGAAAAAAATCTCACATTATCTGCTTTGAACTGGAATATATGGCAGTGTGAACTCAGACAACCCAGTTCAAAGCAGAAATTGTGAGATTTTCCGCCTTGATATTCTGGGTTATATGGCTGTGTGGAAGAGTCCTAAAAAGAACAGGAATGAAATCTGGGACCTTTTAATCAGTCTGGGTCAGGCATGTAGCCGGGGGGGGGGGGGGGGGGGGGGGGGGGAAGGCTTGAGGGGCTTCAGCCCCCCCCCCAAATTCTCAGGGTGGTCCACATATCTGATCTGATCACCATGCTCAATATATCACATATGTGATCTGATCTGATATCATATCTGATCTGATCACCATGCTCAATATATCACATATGCATGGGGCTATTGGGATAATGACACAAAAGGTTTGCTAGGGGAGATCCTCATCCCCGCCCCTTTGACTCAAACTCACCCCCCCCCCATCAAACTCAGCACCCCTCAAATCAAAATCCTGGCTACGGGCCTGGTCTGGGTGCATCTGAGGTAAGGATGGGTGACTTTTCCTCATTTTGTGTTCTTTTTCTCATGGCAATTTTTTTTGTGACTCCACTATTCTTAATTTTGGGTATTTTCTATCTAAACTACTACTCTCTAAAAACCTTTAGCAAAAGCTATCCTTATTTGGATTTGTCTATGATTTTACCTTTTCTGCTATGTCTGAATAGTCTAGAAGCTCAGTATAGAGAATCAGGTGGTTCAATTAAATTCCCGTGATCAAAGGACTCTTTAGTAGAAGCCAGAAAGAAATAAAAGTTTAATAAAGAAATGTGTTGGCAGTGCTAAGGACTACTGGAGGAGAGACTTGAGTAGCTGGTTTCCTTCCCTCCTCCCCCTCTTACAGAGTAGGCTATGGCCCCTACTGTCACACTTCCAGAATCCTCCTCCAGGAAAGAGAGAACACCCTAACCCTAACCCTTGTTTCCACTATAATATATTACAGCTTCAGTGCCAAGTGCTAAGTTTCTGCTTATTTCTGCAGTCACATTTCTAACCAAGAGCTTCATATTATTTTCATATTAACCATGGTGCAGCACACAGTACTGAAGATAAAACTGCCTTACTCAAGAGGTAAAAAATGTAGTTGCTCTCTTTAAAAATGAAAATGTTGGAGGAGTCAAGAAATGGGTAGTAATAAATATGACTGTTCATATTTGTGAGTTGTACTGGAACACATATAATAGTACCCCGATCTTATGAAAATTTCCATTCTTACCCAGTTAAATTTTTTACAATCTGCAAATCAGCAACCGTGCTTACCTTGAGCATCCCCAGCAGCATGGTCCTCATGGTTAGGAGTAGATACTATGCCTGCTTCCTCAGCTACATTTTTCCAAGGTGAGGATGGGAAAATGGTTTTAATATCAAATGAAACACAAAACAAATGTCTCTAATCCTTCTATGAATACATTTTAACTACATATATTGCACACTTAATGATACAAGTACATCACTATGTATTTATATACAATATTAAGTGTGTCGGGACATTAAAATGATGGTGAGATTAAACAGTGATAAACATCCACACTGAAATGATCAGCAGCAAATTGCTTTTGAATCATATTCAGTTACGAAATATGTTAGACACACACAAAGGCATGTAGAAGCATTTCCTTTTTCCACATAAAACACATCTGGCAAAATGTTTTTTTTAACAAATGCAAGACATTTCATCCCCTAAAGGAGGAGTTGATTAAACCCCATCAAATCAATGAGCTCAGGCATGCCTAACACCTGGTTATATTCAGAGGGTCATATGAACACATTTCATGTAGACCTAAATTTTGACTTTAAGATGAGAAACACAAGGTAACACAGTGGTGTTCCTCTTAACTAATTTTACTGGAGACAAATTACAGTAGTCATTTCCTCCCCTGCCCCCTTTCATGTACTATAATGTCTCTTTGTAGCCTTTATTGTACGTAACCACCACTCACCCTATAAGTTATGATAATGATGTAGCTATCAATTGAATGTAGCTTTAAGTAAGATATAACTGACAATTCTCAGTTCTGATTTTTAACATGAGGACTCTTGCTAGGAGTTGCTCTTACAATAAGTTTGAACTGTCTTGAGGTGCTTCCAGATGGATAGCTTCTAGCACTATTAATCAAAAAGACACTGATAAGCTATTTCATCTTTCTCTCCTTTCTCTTCATAGATTGTTTTAAATAAGAGAAAAGATGGAACACATACTGTGAACATACAAATGGAAGAAAACATCTTCTACCTCCTCCATAAAATTCTGTGAATGATGCAGATTGATTGCACAATGAAATAATATGGAATAATCTCCCTTATCCCAAATATTTAATGGATCTGTTACTCCAATCGGGGGGAAATGTATCTTCAAAGCCAGGGACTTGACAAAAAATAATGACTGTTTCCTATAGGCTGGAGACATTTTCCTTAATGGTCTGCAAATCTCCCAATTCCCAAACATCTTAATGTATGAGACCAACTAGAGTCTGTGGAAAGGGAAGATAAACAGTCTGCAGAAGATCTTGATGTTGACAAGCTGAAATGTGTCCAGAAAAAGGCAACTAAAATGATCAAGTGTCTGGAGAACAAGCCTTATGGCAAGCAGCTTAAAGAGCTGGGAGTGTTTAGCTTGCAGAAGAGAAGGCTGAGAGGAGTCATGATAGCCATGTATAAATATGTGAGGGGAAGGTATAGGTAGGAGGGAGCAAGCTTGTTTTCTGCTGCCCTGGAGACTAGGACGCAGAACAATAGCTTCAAACTACAGAAAAGGAGATTCCACCTGAACATGAGGAAGAACTTTCTAACTGTGGGAGCTGTTCAGCAATGGAAATCTCTGCCCCAGAGTGTGTTGGAGGCTCTATCTTAGGAGGATTTTAAACATAAGGTGGATGGCCATCTGTCAGGGATGCTTTGAATGCTATGTTCTTGTTTCTTGGCAGCAGGTTGGATTGGATGGCCCATGGGGTCTCTTCCAACTCTATGATTCTATGATTCTATGATCTAAATTAGGTATGGGCAATCCATGGTTCTAAATGGTTCTAAAGTTCTTACAAAACTAGGGGGCACTAGTGCTTTGCTTCTACAGTGTTGCTAAAGTTTTGGTGGTGAAAATTTCAGAACTCTAACAAAACTTTCAAAATTTCATTATTATTTTGTGATTGGCAATTTTTATGACGGAAACAATTAGGAACTGCCATTTATAACGAAATTTTGCAAGTTTTGTTAAGAGTTCTGAAATTCTCACCACCAGAACTTTAGCAACACTGTAGAAGCAAAGCACCAGCACTCCCTAGTTTTGTAAGTACTTTAGAACCATTTAGAACCATGGATTGCCCATGCCTAATCTAAATTAAAGAAAACACTGAGTTGGGCTCGAAAACTGTGTACATTCATCTATAAACACAAACATCGGATGGTTTTCCAACTCTGTGTAGGTCTAGTGCTTCTGATATGCCCTGCTTCCATTTTTTTAAATGGAAAGACCAATTGCTTACCTATAATTGACACGTGAGTGATCTGCACCTGCACAAAGGAACATCTCAAAAATCTAGATTTTTTGAGTCAAATCCATCAATTATTCACTCCCTTGGAAGTACAGTGCGCAACTACTATTGGTAGATAAGATGTCACACAGGACATGTGCCTGAGAGGTATGTAAGTGCCCTTTCACTCCTTTCCTTTTGATCTCCAGGTCCTATCAGAGCCTACAGTGGGAAGTAGATCAGTCTGTGTAATTGCACAGAAAAGTGCTTGAAAAAGTAGCTACAAATAAGCAACTTTTTTCAGGGTCTCAGAGTAGCAATATATCTGAGATGTTACCAAGTTCAACTACCTAGAAGAAGGCAAACTTTGCAGGACCACTTCAAACAAATCAAAAATGCATCTCCTCTGGCTGAACCAATATGATCAAAGGTCTAGAAACCAAACCTTACGAGGAATGACTTAGAAAACTGTGTATGTTTAGACTGAAAAAGACTGAGAGGTGACTTGATAGCTATCATTAAATATCTAAAGGGATGTCATCTAGAAGATGGGCAATCTTGTTTTCTGCTGTTCTAGAGAACAGAACACAAACCAATGGATTCAAATTACAAGAAAAGAGATTACACCTAAACATTAGGAATACCCTTTTTAAAAGGAATGAGCTGTTCAACAGTAGAACAGACTGACTTGCAGGTTGGTGGACTCTCCATCTTAGGTCTTTAAACAGAGGTGGGATGGGGTATCTTTCCAGATTGCTTTAGTTGTATATTCCCAAATGGCAGAGGATTGGACTACATGGCCCCTTTAATCCCTTCCAACTTATAGTTTCTCTGAAATAGCCTTGCTGAAAGTAAAAACAATGTCGGGAGAAGGCCCTTTAATTAGTGAAAGGGAATGAAGTCTTGCCAACCAAGCCCACAATTCAACAATATAAACTGTCTAATGGGGAAAAGCTTGAGTAGATCCATTCATATTTAAGTGTTTGTGTGTGTATGTGGTGGGGGTGGGGGGGGGGAGATTTCCCTGCTATGAATAAGACTGGATACAATTTTCATAGGACAAAACAAATCTGCATTTTAATGTCCCTTATACCATATGAAGAGCTGAGGAATAAAGGATAATCTAAAAAGATGGCATGCTAGTCTAACAGAATGCCAGAGCAAGATATATTTATGTTTTTCCTGGAATTAAGGTAAGAGACAGGTAATTTTTAGTTCAAGAGGAAATCTGGAAGCAACTTCGACATACAGAAAAATGGAGAACAGTAACACCATGCCACCATGGAAGCGTAAATAAGAAAGATCAGAGCTCTAAGCACACTGAATGGCTAGAAGATCAAGAAGTGTGAATCACAGATAGTTTTTGGTTCAAAAGAATATTAAGACAATCTCTACTGATAAATGAGAGGACAAGTCAGGGGTGAAAACTACTGAAGCCAACAGAAAGGTGGCAAACCAAGAGGTGGAGGAAAATGGGATCAAATAGTGGAGTGCCATGTAAAATTAGTCACCAAAGGTAGTTTGAGGCTAGCAATCTGAGAAGGGTGAAGATCAAGACCTACTGTAATGCTAGCTCAACAGATATTAGATGGGATGACAATCAATTTACTACATAAGAAACTTAATACTTCCATTTGGCAGCATAGGGCAAGGTTCTTGGAGCTGTACATTGCATCACAGATTGAGAAAGGAAGGGCAACTAAGGACAAATCCCTCAAGCTACTGGATATGCTATGTGGAGGCTGTGATGTAAAACAGCGCCCCATTCCCTCATTCTTTGAGATACAGCCTTCCACAGAAGGATATGCCCCAAGCCAGATTATCAATTTGATAAATTGGAGTTGACAAGACCAATTCAGCTGATTAGTAAGCAATCCATGTAATACATGGTAAAATAATTGAGAATTTCAGAAAACAAAGATAAAATTCTGTGTTTGTGTAAAGCAAGCTGGATTCCCTACAAAAAAGTTGTTCAAATCCAGACACCAAAATTTAGAAAAATGAGAGTATGTTGAAAGTTGAAGAGCAGGTTTGACTATCTTTGCATTTTTTTTAGACAAATGGAAGTCACAACTGGAGAAACCCTACCTGGAGTTTAATAAGATTGGAACTATTATGTCAACCATGCCACAAAACATCTAGGTTCAGAAGAACCAAATACATAGACTTAAACAGACAGGGGAAATGTTTATTATTTTTCATTTCCAAAGACTGAAAAACATATTTACTGTTTTTCTTTAACCTATTAGGATATTTTTGAAAATAGACTTTCCAGTGCACCTGGAGTGTCAGACCAAAACCATTACTTCTAGTGTGTAACCAAAATGGCACTGAATCATCTTGCTGGGGCGCATGAGGAGCTGCAGCAACATGGGAAATAATAATGACTCCCATGGACAATCACCAAAGAACTGCCTGACCCTGTTTTTCTGTGAAGGACCAAGAATGGCCCCAATGGATCAGAGATATCTGATCAGAGTGAAAAAAAACCTGGCTAAAAATCCTACATAATATATAAATGTGAATATTATTCATACAAACTCATGTGTGCTATGCTCATCATCAATCACTATTGACCTGCGGAAAAGGAGCCCTGAATAACTACCACCACCCCACCTTTTTGGTACTATATCTATCTCAGGAACCTCACCTGTGGTTCCCTCAAGTATCTCGGCATGCTGCCGAGCTGCAGTCCGATCCTCATGTGCTCTATCCTCCACTAGTGGAGCAGTGGCCTCTGAAACAAAGAAGCAAAGGGAGGCAACTTTCAGCTAAGAGAAATGCAAATCCACATTCTTTGGACATCAGTTGCTTTAAGAGAATGGAAGAATATCCAGTTGTAAGAGGCTGCGATGACAAAGGAGCCATGCACCAGGCTTTCTCCAGACAAGCCAAGAATGGAGTTGGAAACCACATGCAAGTGTTAATTCAAACCTAAAATATGTCTGGATATAAATAATTATTTCTCAAAACTATACAGATGAACTTATAGTTTGCACTTGAATCTTATATCTAAGCTTATACATATGCTACTACAAAAGTTAGAACCTCTCTCTCTCCACTGTCAGGTTAATTTCCAAACATTTTAACAGGCAGATTTATTATTAAGGACTCATCTTACGCTCCTTGCAGACTGAGTACTTAAATTAAGCCTTAGAAAATGTGACACAAAAGCATAATATGCATGTGTGCCAGAATTGTTGTCCATCTTCAGAGCAGAAGGTTGATCAATTGGTCAATTGGTCTGAAGACAAAAGTTAAGACAGGTTTCATCACTAATAGTATCAGCTGGTTTAGGGAAGTGAGTTCTATAAACGTCTAGAGCTACTACTCTTGGCTACATACAATTTAGAATGTACAACTGAATTGTGTAAATGTAAATGTAAACGGCAATAGACAAAACATAGACAAAGACAGTCAATGAGATAGACAAAGGGAGGACATACATATAATATGGCTCCTGAGTTTTGATCTCTATCTTTATAGCTGAAAAAAATATTCTAGGCTCAAAAGAACTGAGTAGCTGCTGAGTAGAGGGCTTCTGTTGCTTATCACTCTCCCCTCCAAAGATGGGACATAAATACACTGTTTTTCCTTTAGCTTATACTTTTTAAAGTATTTTTTCATTATTTAAGTAGACTTCCCTATACAACTGATATCAAAAGTCTACAATACCTAAGTGTCCCAAAACATGTTCTTCTTTGACCCACTTCCAATGATACTGTTGCACATGAAATAGAGCTGGCTTCTGCTTTGTGTATTGTTCTCACTTGGTATTTGTTACCAGAATTATTTGTAGCTGATTGTCCACAAAAATATTGAGAGAGTTCCTTACCTTATGACAAGAGTGATTCTTCAAGATGCCAGACAAGATGGTAACCAGGTTTCATAAATATCAGTGTGTCCAAAATAAGATGTAACAGAACAATTGCTTCCAAGTCAAGAATATTTTAAAATACATTCCCAGCCGTACTGTGGTTGTGTGAAACCGCAGATATGACTGAATGGTCTCAGCATACTTGTTTTGTAGGACCCAGGGATTCCTAGAGTGGTAGCCTATCTAGGAATTTGCAAAATGTTCCAACACAACTCAATGCTAACTTCCAGGGGAGATAGGCTGTAGAAATGTCCAAAGGACCTAGCAAATTTCTAGAGAGACAATTTTCCTTCCAGGCAAAGGTTACTGAAGAAATGGATATGAATTTCACAGTTACAGAGGTTTCTTTGTGTATTTGCCACACAAGAGTACTTCCAGCCCAAATGAGAAAAGAATTTAATGCTCACAAACTCCAAAGGCATGTTGAATTGAATATATTTGTTAGTCAAACTGAATTTATTTCAATGGTTTTTATGAGGTAATTGCAAAGGAACAAGGGCACAAACAATGGTATCACTAATAAACAATAACAAAATCTATTACCTTTGTACAGACAGCCTCCGAGTTACAAATATCTGACTTGCAAATTACTCATATTAAGAACCGGGGTGAGATTACAGAAAGTGAGAGATATCTACCCCTGGGAAAGGAAATTCACTCCTGAAATAATTATCATGGGGAAAAGGTGTCTCAACTGAAACTTTATCACCAATCCTTATTTCCAAATATTTCAAAATCCAATTATCAGAGGGACAGGAAGTGAGGTTAAATCTTCTGAACTAGGGCATAGACAGCAAAACACACAACAGAGGGGTGTTAATCCTTCCCTATGCAAGCCAAAGCTTATATCTATCTATCTATCTATCTATCTATCTATCTATCTATCTATCTATCTATCTATCTATCTGCTTGGTAGATTATAATGTGTTATTTCAGACCACTTCAAAGAAGTATATAGTCTTAATTATGTAAGTAAACTTTTAAAATAGTCACCCAGCTCATCACTTCGAGATGACCCAGGAAGGAAAGCTTTATGAATTGTGTTTTGGATCATAAGTGACTGCTGTATTTCTTTCTTCTTCTTTTTTTGTAACTATGTGAGATTTGACAGATTACTTATTTTGAAGGTTGCTTGCACTACAAATCTGCTTTTCTGATGCCTTCCATGTTTTTCAGATGTTCATTGCATAGATGATGTAGGACTGAAGTGAGCAAAATAAGTTTCCATTTGACAATGTCTGCAGGAAAACCTATACTGTATATGGAATCCGCAAATAATGCATGCACTGCATTCATTTTCTATATTGGGCTGGAAAGTCCCTCTTAATGAACAGAAGATCTCTATTTAATAGCTTGCTGAAGCCAGAATCCAGAATTAAAAAGGGAATGTGAATATTTAACATACGACGGGGAGCGTTGACCATAGGATAACATAGGATGAGGGTGGGGAGTACAGATTCCTAGAGAGAACATTTTAATCAAATCTGTGGATAATCAAATCCACAAAAGTCAAACCTGCAAATATGGAGGTTGACTATACTACTAAAAAGTCTGATGGTGTTTTTGGTGCACTTCTAACAGACATGCAGTGCTGGCTGTTATAAATGTCAAAGAGAGAGAGCTCCCACCTTCCACAGTTGGGGTACTTTTAGCATCAGATGCATCAGACCCTGGTTCATCGGATCCATCATCAACTGGTATATGGAGGGGAGAGCCTGGAAATACACATATTTAGCACTCAGCATAAGGAGCTTAGCTTTGGAATATTGGCCCGTTGACTATGCAAAAGGACCTTTAATTTAAAGCCTGCTCACCCCCCTATTGCAAAGTGCAGACATGCATTTGTGATTACTGGTGGGAAGTAATGACAGATACTAGTAAGAGTAGGAAGTGAGAGAAAGTGCCAGATACAAGGTTCAGTGGCAGCAACTGAACAGCTAAATTGTGAAGCGAGTAAGAGTAACTGATCCGCAAAATGCATCTATCAACAATTTTTTTAAAAGGAAAGCAGTCGATAAGGAAGTGCAAAAGTAAGACATATCTCCCCCCAACCCAATGACTGAGATCATTATGATTACATTTCAGAAAAGTTGCATGTTGTGCAAGGCTCACAAAAAATGTTTTTCAGCACAACAGTATTTAATGCTTTTCATGGAAAAAAGCAAACAAAAATATCATAGTGAAGTATGTGATAAAGTTTCAGAAAAAGTGCTTCAATGTGAAGGCTGATCATTGTTGAGAAGAATATCTTAAGTAAAACTTCTAAAAAGCAAGGAAGGCAGAAGTCATTTTTTGTAATATGTCCAGAACCAGAAGAATCAACTGGTAGCCTTAACAGTTATATGTAGAGCTTTGAGTGACAAAAAGTGGGGAGACGGTTGAGTGTGAATGGGGTTTTTTTGTCGTGTAATTCTCTCACACTCCTGGTGTGAGAGAATTAGCCATCTGCAAGGACGTTGCCCAGGGGACGCCTGGATGATTTGATGTTTTTATCATCCTTGTGGGAGGCTTCCCTCATATCCCCGCATGAGGAGCTTGAGCTGGTAGAGGGAGCTCATCCGCCTCTCCCCGGATTCGAACCTGCAACCTGTCGGCCTTCAGTCCTGCCGGCTCAAGGGTTTAACCCACAGAGCCATTGGGGTGAAAGCATAAGGACACATAAATTCTTGTCTCTTCAAGGCCCAAGTCTTCAAAATTTTGTGAAAATGCAACTGACTAAAAAAAGGGGGGTGTTTGTAAAAAGTGCAAAAATGTGTGGAACTGAGTGATGTGGAAGGGGAGATATGGACAATTTGGAGGACTTCTCTAAGCCCAGGACATAATGTGCCTTTGAGACTATTTATTCTTTCTCTTTGACACCAGCATGATAGGAAAAAGATCTATGTGCAGGCTATATGATTTGCACAGGATTTTCTCTCCTTGATTGTCAGTCAAGGATAAAAACCAAATGTAAGTGGCCAGGAACTACAGTTATGGGTTGAATAGCAGAAACAGTCAGGCTGCTGTTGCAAATAAAAATTGTTCTATTTACCAAACTGTCAGGTAAGAGAATAAGAAAAACCAATTTCCACAGAAATAAAATAAAAGTCACTTGTCTATAAGCAAAGTACTTATAGAGTGGTTCTGAAAAGTCATATTAAACCAGTGATATACACGCATTTCATGTGGGCCAAATCACATGAAATAGTTGGCAATATTGATTGCCATCTAACCCTTCCGCTTGTTTGGATGGCAGGAATATTCCAGAGAAGCTTCAGCTTTTTGATGAAAAGCCCGCAAAGGTATATTGGAATGAGGTTGAAACTAGAAATCATCTTAGGCAGAAGAGACACATCGGATCTAGGGACATCTTATCCTTGTGACAGACCAGATACAGCTGATCTGCTTAAAAGGCCCACACTTCACTAGCTCTTCTCAATGTGGATTTAGTCACAAAGAAGGCAACATTTAGAAAGTCTGGAGATACGGGCACCCAAAGTTCAAACTGGGAAAGAAGTTCCAAGCTGTATGCATTTGGCTGATGACTGATGTTGAAGACTCTCTTCTGACAATGAGAAGACAGACACAGCTGTCTTAGATGGAACTAAAAATACAGGAATCACTACGAAGCAGAACTGGACAGAGGAAAAGGAGAAATGTTGACACAGGGTAAAAGAAGGAAGGATAAAACATTGAAAACAGAATAGGATTTCAGATTGGAGACTTGGCGTTTTTTTACATATACTCAGAATCATTTCCATTTCCATATGAGGACCTAGTAAGGTGTTTCCCAAGTGTTCCTAAAACTGAGATGATAATCTCAAATGCTTTCTCTACTGTTGCATTTGCACTCCAGTTAGAATGACATGCACATGAAGTGTTCTGATATGTTAACTCTGGACAGTGTGTGCTGCTGTAGTAGAAACAGATAATAAAATCAGTCAAGGCAGATGAAGTAGTCTCAAACCTGTGGCTTGCATGGTAAAGGAGAGCACCCGATCAATACTATTTCGCTCTTAGAGGTTCTGAAACAGCTTCTGTGCAGGAACAAAACTCCCACATGTGAATAACTGAAAACATAAAAAATACTCAGGGTTTTGCATGGTGTCTCTTCTTCTAAATTCATAAATGTGGAGTTTGGAAGAAACAATGAAGTGATACCAAATTATTGATGGTGATTGGGAAAAGACTAGATTAGAAAAAGCTCCAAAACCATCTCCCCAAACCATGGGACAGAGAGACTATACATTAAAATGGCAAAATAAAATTCAATCTGAGTAAGAGTACAGTGATATCCATTTGGGCAAAAAATAATTATTGAAAGGAATGAGCAGAAGCATAGAGTTGAGCTCATGTCCTTATTGTGGCCTTTACACAAGTTGGTCATTTGGGAAAAGGAATACTAGAATTGATAGTCATTTGGTGTAATCCAGGTGGCTTTTCTTTAATCTTTATTCATAGAAGCCTTATTAAATGAGGTCTCATTTCCATGTGAGACACTTGGTAAATGAATGGACCTCTAGCTCAGTGTGGAAGAATGTATACCATGCACGTGAAAGGTCCCTTGGAGAACTATTCAAAACAGAATATTGGACTAAATGTATCAGTGGTTTGATTTGATGTAGAGCAGTTTCATATACTCTCTATATCTTACAAAGATATTCTTGTGCTGCTGAAAGATTACTCATGAAAGCAGGGATGAACAATATGTCATGCATACATTTTATGTGTCTGTGTTTATAATGATATATATATAAAATGTGTTTGCATTTTATCTATAAATTAATAATTTATTGTAACACATAGATAATCAAATTCAACAATAACTACAATGAAGATATTAAATTATAGCAATATTTCTTCTGAAAGCATAATTTTGAGGGCTTGCTCCTTACAGTAAATAAGAGAGAAAAGGGATTATGCTGAATAATAGCCATAGTAATGAATAAGTTATTGAAAGACTGACCACCTCACTGTTTTGTAAAATCTTTCCAGGGTTTCCAATGAAGAATTTGCTGCAAAGACAAAAAATGTCATTCTCCACATTCCTTGTTTCGGAATAGAATCAGACTTCTGGAAGCGTAATTCTAATTGGAAACAAGGTATATGGAAAGTATAGTTCTTATTTAATGAAAAAGTAGTGTTGTTTTCTTATTCAAAGCAGCAATACAGCATTGCACACTTGGCAGCAGGGACATGTCTCAACTCAGCTCCTGGAAGTTGTCCATTGTTACACTAAAACTTCTGGAACAATGCCACCAAACAAAACAAAACAAAACCTCACCCGCAAGCACATTAGAGTAGGATATAACTTTAAAAGCCATATTTGGAATTGCAATAAGTATTGAGCTAGCCATTGATAGAATGATGAAGTACAATTATTGTATTTTTCTGTCCATCTCTAGCACTTGACAACAACTTTCTCTTCACATTGGGTTACTGAATTATTTGGGCAAATTATGACTATGCTCTATTTAGAATTGACTTGGAATTTGCTACTTATCTCTGCTGAATTTAATTCCGAGTATGTACAAACCCACTGTGATGTATTAGAGAAAAATGTCTCATTCACCTTCACACAGTAAACAGAGCTGACCTAGATATTGCATTTTAACTATGTCGTAACCCACCTTAAGCCACACAGAGAAGCCAGTAAAGAATAAAAAAATATTATTGTTACTGTTGTTGTTGTTGTTTGTTGTTATTATTTGAGGCCTCTGTTGTATAGATTACAGAGAACGCAGAGGAAAATAATGTTAAACACACAGGTGCACACTTAAAGAGGCAACACGTGACATCTGGACTTTTAAAATACTTTGAAGTTTCACAAAAATTACAGGAGCACTGGTTAAAAAATTAAATAGGCTTCCTTAATGCACATTTTTAGCATATTGGTTTGTAATTACAAAATCAGGCACTGAAATTAAACAAAAATGTTGTGTTGATACAGAAGAAGAAGAAGAAATACAGTATTGGCAATGTGTTTATTAGGAGTAAGCGGAGCAACAAAAATACCTGGTAAATGAAAAAACAAATGTCATGAATTTTAAATACACACACACATACATCACACATTAAGGACTTTACCCAATTTCAACACCAATCAGAGTAATTAAAGTGAGATGTAATCAAAAAGCTATTGTCTGACAAGTTTTTCCTTTTTCCTAATGATGCTCCTTCTTCTCATTTCTCCTAATAAAACTTGCAAACACTTTAAATATAAGAGTCTACCTTGTTTAAAATTTGACTCAGTGTGAGCGATGATGAAGCAACTATTGAAAAGTGACAGCAAAAAATGTAGTTCAGTGGGTTTAGTTTTTGATATGCAATAGATATGCTAAAATGCTTAAATTACAACACACATAATACATTATTATTGCCATTTTCAAAATGATTATGTCTTTGGCTGCAGGTTAAATTTTGACTATGCTCAATGTTAAATAAAAATTCATTTCCTTTTTTATAAACAAATTTATTCTGCTGCATCAAGAAGAGAATCGGAAAGAGTACTGATAAGAACAGTCAATTGTCTGGATCACACATCATATCCCCAGTTTGCTTAATCACACTGCCTTTGCCTTCTTTCCCTTAAAGCACAGTTCTCAGTCATATCCAAACTGGTGAAGTACATTTAATGGCAATGTAATACCTAGGACTTTAAGCCACTGTTGTTTAAGGAATTTCCACATTTCAGACGTCACCGATCTGTAGATAAACCAATCAGGATCAGTGTACCAAAGACAGTGAATGGGATGAAAGGCACAGCGGCCCTGATGCTTGTTCCTAGTTTGCTAATCTATAATATAGCAAAAAGGGAATGTTATGTCTGATCAAGGCCAGTAGGACACTGACGTAGCTTTAAAAACAAGTACTACTGAGACACTTCAGAGGCAAATGGCTTTCTACACTTCTTTTTACAACTGGCTACATATTTTAATGAGACTCGTCAAGAGCTGAACCATAATTATGAGTTATTCCTACAGAACAAAATATAAATTATTAGTCACTGGAATACATATTATATTCATGATTTGTCTACCAATCCAGTAATGAGAGTCCATTGGGCATTCTGTTTCATTTGCTCTCCTTGAGCTAATTTGATTTGTCCTTGGCATGTACATATTTTATCTATCTGCTTTCTCAGTTTATGACATGAAGTAGACTGGGCCTCCGAAACCTCATGATGCAATACACAAGGCAGTCTCCCAGATATGCACTTGTTTTTCTTCTTCATGCTGCAACAGGCTAATACAATTACTCTTCAAGAATATAAAGCCATCTTTACTGTCACTTTTCCGATAACAGACATAGCTTTTAAGTGACAAAGCTCCAAAGCAGGGTGCATTGAACGACTGAACGCAAAGCATGGGCAGCGAGTGACATAAACATGCACCATGTCGGCTGTGACTAGGATTCGTAACTAACCTTTCCTCAACCCATTTACGCTTGAAGGCTCCATCCCCTCAGACAGCTTGTCTCCATTCTTTTTGAACTGTGTGTCACCATCCTGCTGGATTCCACCCTGCGAAAGAAGCTCCTTCCTGTCTCCCACCTGAAAAGGCTCACCTGTCTGGTTCCACCTAGCTTGGCTCACCAAATGGTCATCTGTCATATTGAAGTCCTTATGCTGGTCGGCCATGCTGTCACAAAGGTTATCTAGAAGAGAGTAGATTGCCATCATTAGATAATAATATTTTAAAAATATTCCTGTTACGTTGCAACAAATGGTTTTCATAAATATTGCACTATTATTATTATTTACAGTTCTTATATTCCGCCCTTCTCACCCCGCAGGGGACTCAGGGCGGATTACAGTAAACACATATATGGCAAACATTCAATGCCAGTTTGACAAACAACATTTAACAGACAAAGGCTATTTAACTTTTTTTTTCTGGCCGCCAGGGGAGCTGCTGCTTTTCATCGTCCATCAACGACACCGATGAAGTTCTTCCACATTCAACATTCCTCGGAGTCTTTTTTCTTTATGGCCTCATAAATTAGTTAAATTTAGCCTCCCACACAAGGTGGTACCTTATTTTCCTACTTGACAGATGCAACTGTCTTTCGGGTTGCAAAGGTCGACAACGGGCTACACTATGGCTGGACACCCACTCCAGCCCGGGCTGGCTTCGAACTCATGACCTTTTGGTCAGAGTGATCTTAATGCAGCTGACACTCAGCCAGCTGCGCCACAATCCCGGTGCTATTTACTATTTTTACTATTTATTCCATCCCAAACAAATGGAATTAAGTATTTAAGTTCAACCTCCCTTGTTGTAGAAATCCATATGAAAATATCTGGAATTTATCAAGTATCCTTCAGCCACTATTATTTTAACTAACAAACATGTTTACACTCCATTTACATTATTCTCCAAGACAGATTATGAAAACCATCTGAATGAAAAGTTTACATGATAAAAAGTATTGCACCAAGAGGTGGGGAGCATCTGAAGCCTTGTCCCAACACATTGTCCATCTCAGTCATATTATCACAAGTTAAAAACATCATCAAAACTAGAGATTTGGTTGCTACCACAGTATATCAACAGCCAGTTCCAAAGCAAATGCGACAATAAACCTCCCACGGTAAAGTTGATCACAGAGCAAGGGCTCCACCAACCACAATATCATGCCTTTTTTTTCACCATATCACAACATCAGTAGCTTTACTATATGGAATACAGTGATGAAGTACCTAGTGATCTTATCCAGATATAGAAGACTATCAGAGCAGGCATCTATCCTGAGTCATGAAACACTGGTTCAAACTCATTGCAACAGCAGGAGGTTCCAAATAGTTTAAGAAGTAACCCAACATCCTCCCAACCTGATATAAAGGAGTGAAAGCTAGATTAGGGCAACACATCATCTCTTGGTCATCTACACCATTGAAAATGGTGTGATTCTAGTACCCATGACACATCTTGTTCAGGGCATGACAAGGAATACTACATTTTAAGTAAATTAGTAATGGAAGTTATCTGAAATGTCAGACTGTATATAGTCAAAATAAGAATCAGTCTTTAAAAATGTAATGAATTATTTGAGATCTAGATCCAGGAGAAAATACTTTTGCAAGAAGAAAGAAAAGAACATTCTAAGAAGTCCAAACTAATCCCTTAACAGCTGTTTTCCCTCAGCGTCTTTACATTAGTGGTTCTAATGATTATGAGCAAGTCATTGAAGGAGTACTTACTCCCACACAAAACTGTCCTTATTTTAAGATCAAATTAAAAGGCCCTTGTCTAAGACCCCACTCTTTCTAATGTGAAATAAACAGTGATTAGGGAAAGGAAATTTTCTGTTAGAAAATTATGGCAACACAGTACTCTTCACAGTGAGGTTTAGATGGCACTGAACTGTAAAATGTTTTAATGAGTTTTTTTAATGATGCAGTTTTATTTACTTTACTTGAGAACTCTCCCAGTATTTCTGTTTGAGCTGTTTCAAAACACAGGTGGGCAAAATGTGGGCCTTCAATTGTTCCCGGATTGCAGCTCTACGCATCCCTCACCATTGGCCATGGTGGCTAGACCTGATGGGAATTGTAATTTAACAAAATACCTAGTGGCTAAATGTTTGCTCACTCATTTTAAAACATAAGCTGTTCTAGTAGTCATTGGACAGAGTGTAAATTTTCATAAATTAATCGATTAGCTGTCAATTGGATATGGCATGGTATTATGGAATAGGATAGTTTCCCCCACTTTCAGTCTAAAGTGATACACCTCAGCAAGACACTATATATCAGGAAATGTATTCATCTACTAACTCAGCACATCCCCAGGGCCCTTTTTCTCTTCTTATTTTTGCTATTATTTATACTACCTCTGCGCCCAAGTGCATTGTTTATATAATTAAAAATATGTCTGAAATCATATACAAAAATATTTGACAATCAGAATATAGGCTTTCCAGATTCCCTCTGGGAAATGCTGTAGATGTTTTATTCATATATTTGAAACAGAAGAAGGAAATAATTATATGTTTAATTTAACAAGATCTTCAGATTTGGAGGGGGAAGCAGGCCACTTAAAATAAACGACTGTAATGATATATACACCACATGACCATGTTGGCTCCCTTTCTGTTCTTAAGTCAGATGTCATTTGACACCAATTACACGGCAAGTAAACAAATTGTAAACAACCATGCAGGCCACAGCAAAGCAAAAGGAAAAGTGGTTAAGCTAAATGTATGAAAAGTACCTTTTGAAAGTCACCATTTTAATACCTGGGAATAAAATGAAATCCATTCAAATTAAGTGTTTCATTTAAACAAATCCCAAGTGGGTTACAATTACTATGCAATTTAGTTAAAGCTGTGTCAAGGATTTCAAAGTGAGACTTTGAAAAGCTACATAATGTCAGCAGCTAAGCAAAAAAATAAATTTCTGCAAGTCTCTTGGGAGATTTTTCTAATTTCTAGCAATTTATACTTAGCATTGGAGTATAGTGATAAGTTACAGAGGACATAATTCAAGTATTAATTTGCAGGGAATCTTCATGTTGAGGATCTTGTATGACTTTAAGGAAACCACAACTTGTCTAATTAACAATACTACCCCAGTGCTACCTCTGACCTCTGTTTGTTACAGAAGACGTCAATTCCTTGTTTGCTTCTATTTTCAAATACTGTATATAACTACCAGGGTATATTTGTGTGTGTTTTAGACTGAGGTTCGTATGTTGTTGTTTTTTTATACTTCAAAACAGTGACATGAAAATAAATGTCCTTCTTCACTGACTTCCCAAACATCCCATGTACCTAATTTTGACAGATGTATAGGCTGGAGGTGATCCTTGTGAGAAGGAATCCACCCTCCTTAAAATTATGAGTGTCTTGGGATGTTTTAGCCTGACCATCATGTAGAAATGTTATCCATAAATTAACTACTTCTGTGTCAGATTTGCAGGGCTGAAAGCAGGAAACTGTTTATCCCGTAGGGCATATGAATATGGCACATAACAAGATGCATGATTTGCTAAGGGAGTAGTGGGATGTCTTGCCAGAGGCTACTACTAAGTTCTACTTAAAAAGAGTGTAGAGTAGAGGAAAAACAGTATTCTTTGCAGATTATATTTTAGAGGAATTCACAATTTTTGATGCAACCATATCATAAAACTGGTGCATAAATACAAAGTGCTAAACTAGAGAAAGCAAGAATAAGGAGAAATATTTTCCATTCCCTATGGTGAAAGAGAATCTCAGATTTCACAGAACAATCAAACTCTAAAAATCGTTTTACGAGTGTTTGCTGTTTAAAGGTCTTTTCTAAAAGTTTCAATTTTCAGTATACTTCCTATCTCATTTATTATCTCTATCCCTATTATAATATTAATTATCAAAAAAATTGTCTACATATGGTTTGGAATAAGTCGCAGGGTGCTTCCAGACCACACTTAAACCCATTTCAGAAAAGAAATGAAAAGAAAGCTACTCCAAAGTGGGTTTAAGTCCCTACATCCAAAAAGCGTACATCCAAAAAGCCCCAGGTTTTGTCCTCATGTCCTCCTGCCCCATCCCAAAGACATATATACATATATACATATATACATATATACATATATACATATATACATATATACATATATACATATATACATATATACATATATACATATATACATATATATATATATATACACACACACACACACATACATACTGTGTAACCATTAGGCCTTTCTGGAGGCCTCCTGGAGCGTACCTATGATGCACCAGGAGGTGGGGAGGCCAGGAGCAATCCCCCCCTCCCCGGCTGCCTCCTGGCACATCACTAGTACTAGGGTAACGTGTTTTCATTTCTTCGCTTTTACCTGAGGCGTCATTTGGATGCCTCAGGTAAAAGCAAAAAGTAAAACAGGGCTCATATTTTGGGCCCTGTCTGGAAGGGCCCTTAGTTTAACAATGAATCCCTCAAGCAAATGTGGAAAACTATCAATATAATAATTTTGCTTACCGCATCTTAGTGAAGCCAGAGCCACTAGTACAGCTACAATTTTGCTTGGTGTGGAGGCAAGGATTGATGATAAAACTCCAGTGGAGACACCTTTTCCTCTTTTCAAGAGTAAATTTCCCTTCCCAGGGGTAGATTTCTCTCACTACCTGTTGTCTCACCTCCTTTCTTAATATGAGTCATTTCTAAGTCAGATGTTTATAGGATTTTATGGTTTTAACTTGAATTGTTTTTAATATTAATAATATTTAATAATGTTTTAATATTTATATAGTGTATATTTTAAGTTGTATTGTAATACTTGTGAGCTGCTTTGAGTCTCTGTATGGAGAGAGAGAAGGCCCATGAGGTCTCTTCCAACTCTATAATTCTATAATAATAATAATAATAATAATAATAATAATAATAATGCAATAACAACAACTCAGGGACTGCATTTACCTATAAGCTTGTCCCTGCCATGGTGCACCCATATAACTGAGTCCATACCCATGTAAAAAAAACAAAACAACAGTTCTGTAACTCAGTCAATAGGCCTGGGTGGTTTTGTTCGTTAATTTTGTAATTCGTTAAATATTCGTTATTTTTAGCATTTACGAAACGATTACAAAACACATTTTCAAACCCGGAAGGGTTTAAAAATAACGAACCGGCAACCCCCATAGTTTTAACGAGCTTCCGCCCGTTTCGT